TATTTTAATACCTTTAGCTTTACTTTATATATTACTAAATAGGTATTTTAAATTTATAATATTATTAATTTAACCCTAGTTTAAATTACTGCTTTTCTATTAAGTTTATTAGATTTATTCTTATATATAAGGTTAATTAGTTATATAGTATACTATATATATTTAATTAATAAAATTATAACTTTAGGTTAATTTAACTTTTACTAATTAATTTATATAAAAATTAACCTAATTCCTTTAGTTTTAACTTTAATAGAATTTCTAAACCTTACCTTTACCTTATATTTATCTTAGAATACTATATATAAATTTCTTTTACTTTTATATAAGAAGGAGGATATAAAATACTTATTTAGCCTTAATAATTATATTCTTAAGCTACTCTTTATATTAGGCTAAGTTACCTATAAATATAATAAGAAAAGCTACCTCTTCTGCCTTAAGAGACTAGCCTTATTATAAGGCTTCTTTTAGCTTCTTTAATTTAAATAGCTTTTTAGCTAGCTAGGTTTAAAATATTATATTACCTAGGTAATTTAAATCTATATAACTAATTAAGCTAATTAGGCTATATTTAAAGATAATTATCCTAATTAGGCTTAATTTACCTCTTAAAGAGAAGTTTATTTTAATAGCTTAAGCTATTTTATATAATATATAATAATCTTTGCCCTTAGCTTACTTTAATATTAATCTAATTATATTAATAAGATTATAATTAGTTATATAATAGCCTTAATTAGGCTATAGGCTATTATATAGTATTATATTAGTAGCTATAATTAATATTAGTAAGTATAACTAGAAGAGAGGAAGTCAGTTTAGACAATATACTTAGGAAGTATAATAAATAGACTAGGCGTATCCTTTAGGTAGGATAAAGGAAGAAGGGTAACCTAACTACTAAGAGCTAGTAATAATACTACCTAGTTAAGGTAGTAATTATATTATTAAGGTAAATAAACCTTATATAATTTTAAATTCTATAATAATAGGCTATTATAGGGGTCTTATTATTTAAGCCTTTATAAAAAAGTTAAAAAGCTTAATAGCCTTATATAAGGCTAATAATAAGGAAAAGAAAAAAGAATTATTAATTTAATTAATTTAATTATATATTTTAACTTTATAAATTATATCTTATATAAGCTATTATTATTACCTAATATAATACTATTAATAAAGGCTTATTATTATCTTAATATATTTAAACCTTATTTTAAGTAATTAACTAAGTCTTTTAATACCCTAATTTAGCCTATAATATATTTAATAAGAAATATATCTTTCTTAATATTAAGAAATTATATTTAATAATTAAATATTATTAAATTAATTTATTATATTAATAGTAATTTATTAATATATAATAATTATTTTCTTATAATTTTATAATATTATAAAAATAAAAATATATATTTATATATTTAAATTTAAGCTTATTAATATTTATTAAGGGATTAATTATATAATTATATATTATTAAAATTATATAACTATAGCTAGGTTAATTATTATTAATAATAATTATAAAATAATATATCTTATAATAAAAGTTAAGGTTTTTTATTTATTTTAATATAGCTTTTTAATATTAAAGCCTTAGTAATAATTACCTTAATAAGGTAATAATAAAAAGGGTATTTAGCCTTTTAAGGATAAGGTAAATATTTTTATTATACTTATAAGATTAGATATTAAGGTCTAAGGTAATAGTTATATAATCTACTAGGACTTAATATTAAGGTTATTATACTTTTTAATATAATATTTTTTTTTTTTAAGTTTGCAAGTCAGCCTCGAAAGGTATATCCAAGCATCTCCAAAGTCTAACATAATTTAAACATTCATTACCCCTCAGCAGGCAAAGCTTCATTAAGTCAATATCATCATAGTTAGCTGCCTCAATTGCAGCCTGAACCTAGCTGCACATAACCCAGCTGGAGAGCCTTACTTGCTCTTCAGCTGGCCCCAATCTTCTTCCTGCAACCCACTTCAAAGGTCTTTCGCCGACCCCTGCAGATACCACGCTTGAATCATCCACTGCGCAGTAAGTGATCCGATCCGACTTCCTCTCTTCTGATCGCAACCGCTAACAGCATCACAGCTGCTCCATCGCGATGCCTGTTATCCGAAGAAGCCTGCGGCCACCTAGGCCCAACGAGCCCTACTTAACGGAAGACCACAATGTGATCCGAATGATCAAAAGAGCTCTCTCGAGCGCTGAGCAGAGCAATCGCGATAAGCTTTATATGATAGCTGCTGAAATCGGAGTAGCCTAGATGGTTGAAGATGATGTCGGCCGCGTCAGGCTGGCCCTCTTTGGCTGTGAGGTCCTCCGGCTTGTACGGCCGTATCTTCATATCCCTCGGATCAGCGAGGCCTTCCTTGATGCTGAGATAGAGAGCCTTGAGACTCTCAGATGGGCACTAAATGGAGGCCACCCACGGAGGAGGCAGAATAAGTTCCTAAAGAAACTTCGTGGCGGCTTGCATGACGAGTGGCTCCATGATATCAGGAAGCAGGCGATGGAGGTACTGCTTTCGTTGAAGGAGATCGGCGACCCGTGACAGGCTGATCATGGTCTTGAACCACAGCGCGAAGACGAGGGGGACGGCGTGCCGCAATATGGATGGAAGACGGGTAATCGTGGGGTTTGGGAAGAAAATGTATTGAGTTTTTTGTGAGTTCAGTTGCCTAAAGTCAAAGACCGTCGGCGTCGGCGGCGTAAAGAGGGTCAAATGGGTCACGGGACACAGCACGTGACAGATTCAACGGATCAGCCAAACATCAGTGCACCATCAATATAAACAGGGGTTTTAATATAATATATAATGCCTTATATTATATTATATTAAAAATATATATTTTATTTTAATATTTTATTTTAATATCTTTAGCTTTATTTTATATATTAATTAATAGGTATTTTAACTTTAAAAAAAAAATTAAAAATTATTATCCTAAGTATTATTTAATTATATTTATCCTTAACTTATATTTCTCTTATTATATTATCTTATAACTTAATTTAATTTATTATTAATCTATTAAGCTTACCTTAGTTTATTAATATTTATAGTTTTTCCTTAAATATTAAAACCTTTTTTCCTTAATTTACCTTTTTTTTTTTTTTTTTTTTTTTTTTTTTTTTTTTCTTTTAGCTTATAATAACCCTTAATTCTTATAATAAAATATTTATATTATTAATTTACTTAACTTAATTATATATTTTAACTTTTTAAATTATACCTAATATAAGCTATTATTACTACCTAATATAATACTATTAATAAAGGCCTATTATTACCTTAATATATTTTAATTTTATTTTAAGTAATTAGCTAGGTCTTTTAATACCTTTATATAGCCTATAATATATATAATAAGTAATATATCTTTCTTAATATTAAGAAGTTATACTTAATACTTAAAAATTATTAAATTAACTTATTATATTAATAATAATTTATTAATATATAATAAGTATTTTTATATAATTTTATAATATTAAAAAAAAATAATATAAAATAAAAATATATTTAAACTTAAGCCTATTAATATCTATTAAAAGATTAATTATATAATTATTAATTACTAAGATTAAATAATTATAACTAGGTTAATTATTATTAATAATAATTATATAATAATATATTTTATAATAAAAGGTAAGGTTTTTAGCTTATTTTAATATAGCTTTTTAATATTAAAGCCTTAATAATAATTATTTTAATAAGGTAATAATAAAATAAATATTTAATTTTCTAAGGATAAGAAAAATATCTTTTTTATATTTATAAATTAAGGCTATTTATTTAATTAGATCTTAAGGTTTAAGGTAATAATTATATAATTTACTAAGACTTAATATTAAGGTTATTATATTTTTTAATATAATATATAATACCTTATATTATATTATATTAGAAATAAATATCTTATTTTATTATCTTACTTTAATACCTTTGGCTTTATTTTATTTATTATTAGATAGGCATTTTAACTTTAAAATTAATATAATATTTTTTTTTTAATTTATTCTCTTATTTAATATCCTATTACCCCTCTTTTAAGACTCCTTCTAGTTATATAATCAGCATCCTCCTTAGCTGAGGCTCGTTTAGGCTAAACCACCTGTGGAATTATATAATCAGACTTGATTCTATGATCCCGCCGGTTTAACAGATCCCGCCGGTTTAATAGTCCTTTTCTAGGAAACGCTTGGTTTAACACTAGCCACCTTTACCCCTGCTACTCCACCGACGCCCCACTATAAACCACAAGAGCCTCATCGCGGTTGGAATCAATCTTGTCCTTCTCTTCATCAGCATACCTACATCATGGCTTCTAGCATGCCCGTCTCCACGTGCGTGTCATTGCACACCCGACACCACGTGAAGGATACCTGCTAACGTTCAGTAGTGTCTACGTCCAAAATCTCGAAGAGCGCGTCAAGCTTGATGCATTGGTAGATACCTTGAGAACAGTATTCGCAGAGTTCGGCAATGTTGTCGACATTGTGGCGAAGAAGAATCTGCGTGCCAAAGGGCAGGCATTTGTTGTCTATGATAGCCCTGAAAGTGCCCAAGATGCTATCAACGAAATTGATGGGTTCGAGCTTTTCGGCAAGCCTATGAAACTTGCTTTCGCGCGAACGCAGAGCGACAAGACCATTGAATTAAAGGGCAACCAGGAAGAGCTCGAACAACATAAGCGCCATCGACAGGCTGAGAAGGGTAGGATTCATTTAATTTCTCATCTTATTTCATCGCTAACGTCGGCGGGACATATAGACAAACGCAAGGCTCTTGAGTCTGCGGAAGAGCAGAGACAAATCAACAAGCGAGGGTCTGGCTCAGTCAACGACAACAGACCCGCAAAGGCGGCGAAATCATCAGGTCTCAAGTCCACCAGCGCCGCAGCATCCGGCAGTGTGCTTGACGAGTTCCTCCCTCCCAACAAAATTCTTTTCGTCCAGAACTTCCCCGAAGATTATGACATTGAGACTTTGACCAGCGTGTTTGGCCGATTTGACGGATTTCGCGAGGTTAGGCTGGTACCTGGTCGCCGTGGTATCGCATTTGTTGAGTACGAGGCGGAACAAGGCGCTATTACCGCAAAGGAAAACACGGCTGGGTTACACTTGGGAGACAAACCCATCAAAGTCACCTACCAGCGACAGTGAATATGAATGCTAGCATTGATAGAAAGAAGGCCGTATTTGTTAATTGATACGGCCACAACGTTGGCTGATGGATACTTATTTAATGATAAACACAACACACAACGAGCTATCTCCTGCACTCCAGTATTGTACTATGACCACCTGTTTGTCGCACGCTTCAAACACAGCTTCCGCCCTCTCAAAAAATGATGTCTTCGTCATCGCCGGCGCCCAGAACATCTGCAGGTGTCGAATCGTCTTTCTGGGACTTGTCTCCGCCCTGCGCGGAGGCTTCCGCCTCACGCCTTGCCTTCATCTCGGCATCTGCTGCAGCAGTATCTCGCTGTTTCTTGTTCGCAACCTATCATTTGTCAGACGAATTGCCATGAATCGGATAATGCCAAAACCTGCCTTCTTTAGCCTGTAGAACTCCTCGCGATCGAGCTCGTCAAGCTCAGAGTTGATGTATTTGATAGTATTTTCAGTCCTGGGAATAATGACATGCTCAATCGCGTTAACTGGGATGATAATCAGTATCACAGTTGATGTCAACAGTTCGGGCGACTTACCACGCCGATTGACCACTTTGATGACCTCATCGAGGATGACAAACGCGGTCTGCAGACTAGCCAGCTCAACCAGCGCCTCAACAGCACGGGCATATGTTTCCCTGCATCGCTGAACCTGCTGTCCTCCCTTGCCCAAACCCGTCAGACCGAAGTCATTGTTTCCTTCGGTAAGGTAGCTTTCGAAAGCTGGAAGGAGAACACCAGATACGTTGTCTTGTTTCGTACGGACGCGAAATCGAGCAGACTTGGCGGACTCCTGCACTTGGTAACCAATGTCACCACCGACGGCATATGTCACTTCTGCCAGCGAGAAAGCTGCAATTTGCATGACTCGCCCCATTTTTCGCTTGGCCTCATCGATTCGCCTTGTGATTTCTGTATTATCGGGTATCAGTACGCTGGCGAAAGGATTGGTTTACACCAAGGGCCTGTCGGGGATATAAACCTCGAAATCGTCTACATTCAAGGGTTAGCCGGCCGCAAAAACAAGTGGGCAGAGCTGTGGCGTTGCACATACTTTGTCAGAGCTTCACTCTTTCGCTTCAATAAACTATGGCCTGTCTCTGCGCCTTTAAGCTTTGCCTTCATGATGCCCAGCGATTGCCGGGTTGGAAAGACGGCTTCGCGATCCTAGGCCAACATCATCAGCGTTTCTCTCAACTCGTATAAGGAAGGCGAAAGCTTTGACCTACATTGGCCCCCGACATTTTGATAGGCAAGGTTTGATGAGACGGGCAGGTTTGGTGTTGTTCGTATGGAAGTGGTGGCTAGAGTCTGAAGCTGTCTCGCTTCAGGCTGTCTCAAGGTAAGGTATCTGGGCTGTCGTCGTCACAGGGCCAAGGCGCTAGACTAATCGGCTGGAAAGCTCCCCTAGACTTTGTTCGCTCAGAGTTGCTGGGCAGCTATCAATGCTATAACGTAAGCAGCAAGGACTGGTCGCCCCACTCTTTAACAGTTTAGTGGACCGTCTCTGAACTGTGAGGACCCAGGTGTCGCGGGCTACAGAAAAATACACCAACCTCGCGTTCTCATCAGCCGAACATCAAGGAACCCGGGAGTCCTCTAGTTTCCTTTCGTCGAAGCGCATAAGGGGTCAGCAACATTCGGGGGTGTTAAGTTGGCACCTTCGGCCAGACTCGGGCCTATACGAGGCACATTGTGGCTTTCGGAGCGACGTCCTTTGACACTTTCCAGCTGTCTCGACGATGTACGGTTCACGTTGATTCGACTCAACCGCCACCTTTGCGAAATTCCTTCAGTCATTTCCTTACCGATCTAGAATTCCATAATCATTATGGCTCCGATCGATCACGCTCTACACGGGGCGCGCAGACAGCCGCAACTGCATCTCGTAGTAAGCACACAAACACGATGCTCATCACGTATGATACTCAACTGACCGAACTCCATCAGTCCAACGAGGATTCCGTTTATGAGCAAGATATCCTTCGCGACCCTGGTAGTGTGAAGCCCTGGCTGGCATACATTGAGTTCAAAACACATCACGGTACCATCCTTGAGCAGACGTACGTGATGGAGCGGGCTTGTGCTCAATTGCCGCGTTCATACAAATTATGGAAACTGGTACGATACAACCCACGGAATGGCATCCGTTGCCTAATGCTCAGGCCTAACATTATCTAGTATCTCTCGTTTCGACTTAAGCACGTTGCCAAGTTGAATCCAGCATTATTCGCCGCAGAATATCGAAAAGTCAACGCCCTTTTCGAAAAGGCCCTTAATCTACTACACAAGATGCCACGGATATGGGAAATGTACCTCAAATTCCTGATGAAACAACCGCTTGTTACTCTCACCCGACGGACATTCGACCGAGCTCTAAGAGCTCTTCCCATATCTCAGCACAATCGTATTTGGGCCTTCTATCGCCCATTCGCGAACTCGGCCGCTGGCGAAACTGCTGTGAAAATTTGGCGACGCTACATGCAGGTGCATCCTGAAGACGCCGAGGACTTTATCGAACTACTTACTCAAACGGGGCTTTATACAGAGGCCGCGCTGAAATTTATAGATGTTCTTAACAGCCCCAGGTTCAACAGCAAGCATGGGAAAGGCCATTATGAACTCTGGAGCGAAATGGTAGATCTTATTGTTGAACACGCCGCCGAAATCGAGACAGGATACGAAAATGGCATTGACGCCGAACGTATAATCCGAAGTGGTATTTCCAGATTTGCCGATCAAAGAGGGAAGCTATGGTCAGGTCTCGCTACTTATTGGATCCGGAGAGGCAGCTTTGAACGGGCTCGCGATGTCTTTGAAGAGGGAATCACCACGGTCATGACAGTGAGAGACTTCACCCTTATTTTTGAAGCTTACACCGAATTTGAGGAGTCTATCATCGGTGCCCTCATGGAGGTTGCGTCTGCAAGGGCCGAGAAAGGGATAGAAGACGAAAACGCGGACTTTGAGCTGGATATCAGAATGATGCGCTTTGAACAACTCATGGACAGACGACCCTTCCTCCTAAACGACGTCCTGCTACGCCAGAATCCAAACAACGTTCCAGAGTGGGAAAAGAGAGTTGCCCTTTGGGGCGACAACAAGAAGGAGGTTGCTCAGACGTACACGGATGCAATTGCGGCAATACAGCCGAAACGCGCTGTTGGAGCATTTCATCAGCTCTGGGCCAACTACGCAAAGTTTTATGAACGCGGAGGTGACCTGAGAAACGCCCGGGTCATCATGGAGAAGGCGATCAAGGTGCCCTTCAAGTCAGTGGCAGAGCTTGCTGATATGTGGATTGAATGGGCAGAAATGGAATTACGAAATGAGAACTTCGACGACGCCGTCCGGATCATGGCCAAAGCAGTTCAGGCACCAAAGCGGTCCACTGTGGATTATTTCGACGAGACCTTGTCACCGCAACAAAGAGTCCACAAGAGCTGGAAACTCTGGAGCTTCTACGTCGATCTCGTTGAAAGCGTGTCTACTTTGGATGAGACCAAAAAGGTTTATGAACGAATCTTTGAGCTCCGAATTGCAACACCTCAGACGGTTGTCAACTATGCCAATTTGCTCGAGGAGCACAAATATTACGAGGAATCGTTCAAGATTTATGAGCGTGGCTTAGACCTATTCAGCTATCCTGTTGCTTTTGAGCTTTGGAACTTGTATCTTACCAAGGCCGTTGATCGGAAGATCGGGATAGAACGACTTCGCGATCTATTCGAGCAAGCCGTGGAAGATTGCCCCCCGAAATTCGCAAAGACGATCTACCTCATGTATGGCAACTTGGAAGAGGAACGTGGCCTAGCGCGGCATGCAATGCGAATTTACGAGCGGGCCACACGAGCAGTCGCGGACGAAGACCAGGCTGACATGTTCAACTTCTATATCACCAAATCTGCCTCCAATTTCGGCCTGACGTCGACCAGACCAATTTACGAGAGGGCCATCGCTGCTCTTCCAGATGTCGAAGCTAAGGACATGTGCCTCAAATTTGCGGACATGGAGAAGAGGCTGGGTGAGATTGACCGGGCTCGCGCCATCTATGGCCATGCATCGCAGTTCTGTGACCCTCGCACAAACCCTGACTTCTGGACGAAATGGGAGCAGTTCGAAGTGCAGCACGGTAACGAAGATACATTTAAAGAAATGTTACGAATCAAGCGAAGTGTTCAGGCGCAATACAACACGGACGTCAATTTTATTGCATCCCAAGCCCTCGCACGCAGCCAACGTCGTCCGGGAGGGGCAGACGATGCCGAGATAACGGATGCCATGGCGGCACTGGAGAGGCAGTCCAGAGCACCGCAGGGATTCGTGGCAGCCAGTACTGGTCCAGTTGGAGGCACGCCAGCTACAACGGCAGTCACTTCAAATCCCGACGCCATTGAGATCGATGGCATTGATGAATGATGGACAGTTCCAGGTGGAATGTCTAATTTAGGTTTTCGTTGCATAGTAGGACGTGCAAGACGTTTGTCCAAGATAACTATTCCCTTAATTTCCGTATTTAATCTCCCATCTTACAGTTGTGAACTCGACAATCAATCATGAAACCAAACTCCTGCTACCTGATCACGCAACACTCACTCCCGATGCTTACTTGCTGCCGCTGCCCCAGTTCTTCTCGGTCATCTTGGACCAGTACTTGTCCTGGTAATTCCTGTCGACATGACCATCGCGGGATCCGGGCGTAGCATAGATGGATCCCTTTCGTTTTTGGAAACGACTAGGGGGTACCTTGGACGCATCTAAGCATTCCTCAGTTAGTTGCCGATGCACAATTATTTGGCAAGATGTTGTACGTACCCCATTCATCACTCATTCTCCGGTCTTGTGCGGCATCGCTTGCTCTACGATCCTGGGGGGGAGAGCCAACAACAGGCGTTTCGTTCAGGGGCTGTGTGGTACCCTCTTGGGTGTTAATAGGTTGCTCCATTGTTCAGTGTCTGAGCCGTGCAAGGAGTTTTTGTGAAAGAAGCAAGAAAGAAGGAAAGAAAGAAAGTTTTTGAGTTCAAATGTCTTGGGGTATCTTCAATTCTAGGTAGTTGATGGGTAAGGAAGAAGACTTGGAAAGGGCCAAGTCGAGATCGTTGGACAACGGGGTGTTTATATACTGCCTTTGGGAAGTATCAAATGGATAGGTAATGGAGGTGTCTAATTACCCCGCAAGATGAGTGCCTGCCTATCTCTATTCGGCTTGTAGGCAGTTATATTGAATTGGATGGACATGGGAATGTTAGACAAGAGCGGTTGTAGACTGACGCTTGCAGTGGCGCATCGGTTGTAGAGATACAGCCAATGCTACGTAAGGAGGCAGCTGGACCGTGGCTTAGATTTAGACTATCACGGCCATTGACGTCAGCGTGATGGTCACAATACAAAGGGTTCTTGGTGGATGGTTGAGATATACTTCAAGAGGTTGCCGCTATCAAAGAGGTAGCTCGACCGCGATGACGATGGAGTGTAGGATCAGCCAGCCTCTAGCAATAGTCTGAGGCCCTTGATTGGAAACAAAAGTCAAAGGTGGTGGTAGTCGTAACACTATATGGCTAACGTGCAAGCTAGACAAAGGTACCGTGACCATGTCGCTCATCACCTCAGGAAGCTATTTGCCGGGAGGTAGCTTTTTAGCAGACACGAACCTATTCGAGGCGTGGTGGTGGTCCTTGAAAGAAGGCAATTGGATCAATGTCGTGAGACACCAACCGTTGGTAGCTCAGCTCGGCAAAGAGCTGACAGATGCAACACGACTTATGCAGCCACGGTGGCAAATGGCCAAGCATGAGGACGTATGTACATAGATATGTGATGACAACGAGAGTCAAAGATGTTGCTGACAAAGATATGCTCGACGCAGACGCTGAGCCAATGCTGTTGGCAAGGGTTATCAAGAATTGGACAAGGTTGTATCGATACATAGCAATGAAGGGTCAATGGGTAACTACAGCGGAACGTCGCGTGTTGTACTCCGTAGACAGACAGACTGAGCGAGTGACTAACTGAACTGACTGCTTGGCATGGAGATCTAACGACGATGAGAATCGGATAGCTCGCCTAAGCCAAGAGGCTTTAGCTTTACCCCGGAATGAGAGCTGCAAGAGGAGAGGTCCTAGGATGCGTACTTTGTTGTTAGTTTACTAGATCGGCAAGTTCATGAGCCGATGTAAACACGCTAGATCCAGGCCACACCAAAGGAGCCTCGAATGGGTGAACTAAAGCATAACGACTGACTTGCCAATGAGCAATGGGAGAGCCTGTGCACGTATTTGGAGTTTGGTAGAATAGAATAGAGCCATGTTGAAAAGGCTTCAAGCGCATCGATTTCGACTGTTTGTTTGTAAGACGGATGGTAACTAATTCATAGGCATGTGACCGGCACTCGACACTTACAACGTCATCTGAGATGTGATGTGGGGAAACCGCCGACCATCGATCCGTCCTTGACCTCTGAGGCAGGAATTGGTTCTATCATTTCGTGTCCAGCTTCCTTCTTTAATTGATTACGACACACAACATTCTTCATGTACAGGCAGCAGCAGACACATTCGCCTGGTCAACTCGATGCGACTCACCATTTTATATGCTCAAAGATACATCCTCTCTAGCGATTCGCCTGCGCTCGGACATGTCACGCACTCGTCAGAATGTCTGAGTATGGTGTTCCAGACGCGCTCAGCTCAGGCCCTGAAATAGACGCCCTTCCAACCACCAACGACGCCAACGGCGATGCACCTGTTTTCCCCTCGCTACAGAACAATGGCGCGGGAAGTCCCTTATCTTCAGAAGCCGCTGGCGGCCCCACGATCGGTGAAGACGACAATGACGACGAGCCCGCTGTAGCGAAGCCGTTTATGCGAACAACGAGCCCCGACCCGTCCACACGCGCATTCCCAGATACCTTCGATGACCGTGTCCCTGATCGCCTGATTTACAAGATGCACAAGTTCAGTCTCTACGAAACGGCCAGTCGGTATTACATCGTCGGTGTCGATGTCAGTGAAAAGCGCTATCGAATCCTCAAGATCGACCGCACCACTGAGGGTGCTGAGCTCAACGTGACGGACGACAAGATTGTTTATAGTTTGAAGGAGATGAACCAACTGCTCGACACAATAGATGACGGGAACCGAGGTACCGGTGGCATCAAGCTTCGCTGCACCACATGGGGCCTCCTTGGCTTTATCAAGTTCACCGGACCCTACTATATGCTCCTCATCACAAAAAAGAGCACTGTCGCTATGGTCGGAGGCCACTACATATACCAGATCGAGGGCACTGAGCTTGTTTCCTTGACTCCCGCCAAGTTCAAGCCAGACGCCCGCAACACCGAGGAGCAACGATTCCTCGGCATCTTGAACAACCTCGACTTGACTCGTTCTTTCTATTACAGCTATTCTTACGATGTTACACGTACCTTGCAGCACAACGTCATCCGGGAGCGCGATGCTCTTGCCAAGGGAATGCTGCCGCCAGACGACGATGATTTCAACTCCATGTTTGTCTGGAACGACTATCTACTACAACCTGCCGTTACTGCTCTTCGAGACCCCTATGACTGGTGTCGTCCAATTATACATGGATACATTGATCAAGCGGGTGAGTTTGGCAAATAGGACTACGGCTGCTATTTCCATGCTCCGTACTGACCTTCAACAGCTCTATCAATTTACGGCCGTACTGCTCACATCACTGTCATCGCAAGGCGCTCGCGCTACTTTGCCGGTGCTCGGTTCTTGAAACGCGGAGCCAACGATCTTGTAGGTGGTTGTTGCTTTCTCTCCTCGGTGCTCGCGTGCTGACACTCCTAGGGTTATGTTGCCAACGATGTCGAGACGGAACAAATCGTAGCCGAGTCACTGACCACGTCGTTTCACGCACCTGGTCCTCAACTATACTGCAGTCCGCAGTACACCTCTTATGTTCAGCATAGAGGGAGCATTCCGCTTTACTGGACACAGGACAGCACCGGTGTCACGCCTAAACCCCCGATTGAGCTTAATTTGGTTGATCCGTTCTATGGGGCCGCCGCTCTGCACTTCGATAACCTGTTCGAGCGCTACGGTGCGCCGATCTATGTTGTTAACCTGATCAAGTCCAAGGAGCGAACGCCTCGTGAATCAAAGCTACTGGAGGAATATACTCATGCCATCAACTATCTCAACCAATTCCTGCCTAAGGATAAGAAGATCATTCACAAAGCGTGGGACATGAGTCGCGCATCAAAGGTGCGTGGTGGGGATGTTATTGGCAACCTCGAGCTTATCGCAGAGTCGGTCCTCGCTACGACAGGCTTCTTCCGAAACGGAGACGGTCTCACGAGCCCCATGACAGCACAGAATGGAGTAGCCAGAACAAATTGCATCGACTGCTTGGACCGTACCAATGCTGCGCAGTTTGTCATTGGCAAGCGAGCCCTAGGTCACCAGCTACATGCCCTTGGCATTCTTGAGGATACGTCGGTTGATTACGACACGGATGCTGTCAATTTGTTCACTCACATGTGGCATGACCATGGTGATACCATTGCTGTTCAGTACGGCGGCTCACAACTGGTCAATACCATGGAAACCTACCGCAAAATTAACCAATGGACGAGTCATTCAAGAGACATGATCGAGAGCTTCAAGCGATATTATAACAACTCTTTCCTGGACAGTCAACGTCAGGAGGCCTACAACTTGTTCCTCGGTAATTACATATTCACTCAAGGCCAACCTATGCTGTGGGACTTGGCAACTGATTACTACCTCCATCATGCCGATCCACGAGATTGGTCCGCCAGGTTGAAGCACGACTACATCAATTGGTATGTTCCCGCTCACTTGCAGAAACGATCAATTCCACCATACGTGCCAAGCAAAGACATTGCCCGCGCCCATCCGGTTGAATTCTTTGATGACTATTGGCTTGAGTATTACAGGCCATCAACCCTCTCTTCTTTTCCCAAGATGTTTGCCTACAAGATGAACTCAACTATCAAGTACATTCCCCTTAAATCTACCCAGGATGGCCGCTACGACCTCAGCCCTTTCCGGGTTCGAACCGACAATGAGGTTGATCACGGTGACAAAAAGAAGTCGAAGAAAGATGCTCATCCACACGCAAATGTACCAAGTTCTCGAGGACAGACTGTGGGGGCGAATGGGGCGCCAGACTCGATTTCGGACCGGTCACCAGCGAAAGGGATCTCGCTCCAGCGTTGGCTGCAACCTGTTCAAGAGAAGGGTGCACTCGCCAGCTCTCTGCGACTGGACACGAATCAGCCAGTACAGGCATCTGAACATAGCCCCAAGACGAAGCCAACAGCCCTGGAGAAATCCAAGGCTGCACAATGGACTTTCACCAAAGCCGTCCATGACTCTCTGAATCCGTCTGTTGCCGAGCAGGAATCCGAAGATTACGAGCGATACATCCGTCATCCTCAAAACCTTCCTCTCGTCATCTCAAGCGACACGCCCGTGGACGTGGATGCGTCCGAGTATCAGGAGTATGTAAGCGGCGACTGGCAAGATGAAGGTTTAATGGTCAAAGGAACTGAAGAAGAGATCGATGTCTACGCTGAGTTGCTCAAGGTGGGGGAAAACCCTCTGACAGTGACTGAGGAAGATGGTCCGAAGAAACGATACAAAGCCTATAGGAAATGGCTGCGTGGGAAGTCTTTCTTCAAGCAACAACCCCTAGACTGAGTCTTAGCAACAGCCGCCCAGCCTTCAAGCCAGCGTTTTCGGGAAAAGATCAGACAGCCGCGGTTCTTGCTTCAGGACTTCACTCAGCTTCGCAGGACATTTAGAGGCATCGTGGTCCCAGAGTGCCTGTAGAATTCGAGCTGTGTGTGCCAACTCTCGTGACAAGGTGTTGATATCAGCAGAAGTCTGAGACACCTCACGCTCAATCTCCTCAGAGACGTTTAACCAACATAATGACAGAATTCGGGTGACGTTCTCCATATGCTCAACCTCTCCGATACGAGGCCATGTGTTAGTAATGATGGCGCTCAGGGTTTGCGTCGCCGCTATCAGGGTCGGAGGATATGAGACTGCGAAGGGGTCTGTCATGACTAATGACACCATTGAGAGAAGAGGCTGGCACAGATGTGTTAAAGAAAGCTCGAGGCGTTTTTCGGTAGTAGGTGGTTACTCACAGTTAAATGTTTGATTGTATAGATACCCAGACTATTGATTACTGCTGTTGCCTTCTGCAACAGAACTTGGACAATGCGAGTGTGCTGAGAAGCATGGAAATAGCCTGCGAATACTCCATCTCTGAGGATCTTGTCAAATAGTCGGCGACGCTCAATGCTGTTGGTATCCCCGGTGGACTGGGCCAGCTTGATAAGCACATCGTAAGCCGGTATGAGTATGGTCGTAGACTCATCCTCTGGTGTAACGCTGGGGAGATAGAGCAGGAGCGGGAACGTGACGCCTGCAAATACATGGCCTATGCCTGTATTTTGCAATACTTGAGCTGGGCATTTGCTCATGAATTCCCTCGTGGTCCTTAAACCTCTGGCCTTGGTCTTGGTAGACTGGTTCTCCACCAGCGCCAACAGGACTGGCAAGAAAAGCGGCCAGTGCTGTTGAATGAGTGACGCCTACCAGCGAGTGTCAGCGCAACTAATCGCATTTCCACCGGCACGACCTTACCGTAGACATGTTTACTGTCCATTGTATTGTAGCCTCTGTCCACGGGGCCTGAGTTCTCCATGGCTGCACTTCAATCACAGGTCGGGACCGATCGTCAATCATGGCATACTGGGAGGGTCGTCCTGAAGCCGTGATTCGCGAGGACGATTTCATAAACAATGGCTTCAAATATTTCTGAAGGATCGTGTTGGTGATAAACTCGGTCAGACTTTCACACTCAAGTTGTTCAGCCAAAAGTTTCGAGGCTGCTGCTGCAGCTTGCGCAGTTGTCCATGGATCCTGAGGATCAGTAACAGCTGTGAGCTTCACGAGAGTAGTCTGGTCCAGAACAATGTGATATTTCGAGCACAAGATATTGAGACTGGCAACAGCTGCTTCTGTGAGGAGTTCCGAATGTTCTTTGTGATGTTAGTCAACCCACAGAAGTAATAGATTTATGCACGCTGATGTACCTTCAACACTACTCAATGCCAATGCCTTCTCACTGATGGCTGCCGTAAGCCTCGATAATTGGCTTTGGTCCAAGTTGTCCCCCGAAGACGAGGCATGGTTAGTTACACTGAGAATAGATTGGCGAAGGTCCTGGAGGCAGCGATTGTTAGCTCGGCGCCGTTTATCTGAGCCAGATAGCGTCACAGGCGTATAGGAAAACGCACTGCATCATTGGATTCAACCAAGGAAGATATTAAACCTTCAGGTTCTGCACGAAAATGCTCTGGTTTACCTGAAAGAATGGATACTAGTCAATTCGATGCTGTGAAGCTTACGTTGAGCTAAGTTCATACCCGAGACTTTATGCAACAATGCTGTGTTTGAAGGACCAAGGAGCCCTTTTAACGCACAAAATATGGTATCAGAGTCAGCGACTGACATCTTATCGTTGATTGAATGTTGGTGAGTAAGAAGAATGAAGAGCGAACGATCAGATCTTGAGACAGGATGCCTCAGGTAGGTTGGCTTGGTAGGTTAATTGGATCCACATACGGTGTCGAAACATAACTAGTCGCACTGTATGGGAACCGACTGTTTGCTCATCATGATCAACCAACTTTGTCAGCTTCAGTATACAATTTGTCAAGTTCTTTATCATTATACTCATTCGTCTTAACTATAAGAGGGGCGGTTTAGTTGCCCTACATATCCATTGCGTCCATACAGGTCGTGCATCCATCATGATAGTCAAGTCATGGCAGCTTAGCCTAGACCAATACTTCACACACCAAAGTTGCACCGGTGCATATGCAGAGCCGCCGACTTGGGACGAATACTAGCTCCTTACTCACGGTATCCCCAACTCTTCTCTCCGCCGCTGTACTTCTTCTATCGCACCCGTTGGGTCTGTTTCGCCAGGGTTGCGTAGTTGCCATGCAACACAGACATCTAGAGCCGGACCTGTCCATTTCCCCGGTTTGATACCACCAAGTGCTTTGGCAAGTTTTCCGCCATCAAGGAGCTTTTCAAGTGTCGTAACTTCATAGACATCTAACTTGGCGAGGTGGTCGAGGAAACTCTTCCAACCTGCTAAGAAATTACTTTGTTCTAGAAACAAGTTACCCAGATGTTCATATGGAAGGAAAATGGCATCACCCTTACCTGCTGACTTTTCTTGGCGCCATTCCGGGAGGGTTTCCAGGGCCTCGACGAGCAGTGCATTCAAAACCTGCAGTCTCCAGGTACCGGCGGGCGTGTCCCACTTCCTGATTGCCATGCCGAAACGATCTCGTTCTTGGATGTACGACTCTCCATTGCAGACGGCATGTTTCAACTCCAAAATCTCGTCACGATTGCGATGCGAAGCAGCAACAATACTCGACAATCGATTTGGGGCCTTGAAGCCTTCGCGCGAGACAATGGCCACAAGAGGGAGAGCGTTTGCTTTCCTGCGAGGATTCGGAGGCTCTTCAACCGTCATCCATGGAGAGAGCGCGGCAAGGTTCCAAGCGGAGTAGGTGGCATCCGTAGATGTAATGAGTCGGCCAGCAATAGAAGTCGAGTCTCGATCGTTGAGAAGCTCATCAAGACAAGTATAAGCAACAGCCCACCGCGATATGTCGGGAACTGGGAGGTTCTCCTGAGTTGGGTCGGTAAAGATTGCATGGAAGAGTTGTAGTTCATGGATGAGTTGAAGCGCTTCAAAAGGGTGATCTCCTACCTAGAAGTTAGTACATACCGTTCAGATCAGGTCAGATCAGATCAAATCAGATCAAGATGTTGCAACAACCTTTGAGCATTTTCTCCAACTCTACGCCGACTCGCTCTCGACTGATCTTGGCACGCAATGCCTCAAGGACCTTTGGGTCTGCCATGAATTTGCGCGTGTTGGCGTCAATTATGAATTGGAGCCGGCTGGAGAAACGAACAAGTCTCAAAACCCTCAGAGGGTCGTCCATGAAGGTCTGGAAGGGCTCCAAAGGGGTTCTGATTATTTTTGCTTCCATATCTGCAAGTCCCCCCGTAAAATCTTCAACACGATCGTCATGTAAGTTGTAGAAGAGTGCGTTGACGGTGGCATCGCGGCGGCGAGCGTCCTCTTCGGCCGTACCGAATTCCATTTGAGGGTTTCGACTGTCCTCAGTATAGGTTTCCTTTCTGAGGTTGACGAAATCGAGATCCAGACCAAACATCTTGACCATGGCCGTTTCCAGATGCTTGGACTTCTCAGGGTTGCGCGCAACGTTGTGGAGGCTTCCGATATCTGCAGGGCCGATGTTGTGCTTGGACATGGCCTCTGCTCGTTCACAGTAATCGCACATAGCTTGAGCAAAGGGGACCCCAGTCATGGCGTTGATGGCCACGTCGATGTCATGGCTCTGGATATTGAGTAGCTTGTCGCGTACCCAGCCACCGGCCCAACGAAGAACAATAGGCTCTGGAGCTTTTCCGGACTCGTCTATGTCTTTGGCAACATCAAGAAGCAGATGGCGGAGCTGCTGCTCCTTGCTGGTGAGTTGAATGGTGGTGGTTACCATGTTGGACTTGGGAACCTTGGCAGGCGGTCCAGGAACTTTGACTTTGGGAGAGGGCGCTATTGGGGTCGTGACCGAGTTGGAAGTCAACGAATAGTGTTCCTTGAGAAATGAGTCAAGATTTCTCTTCATCGCAAGACGCAGAGAGCGTTTGAGCATTTAGGTGGGGCCGCTGCACAAATTACAATGAGAGATGAGGATGAAAACAAGTCTCGCCTTATTTCCTTGACAATTTCGAAAGACAAGAATGAATGTATGTGTCAGACCGAAAAAAAATGATGCTGCCTCATAAACACATGCCTAAGGCATATCTAAGACTGAGGATGTTCGAGATGGGGCGTCTGGGTGATTTTGTCTTCAGAATGAAGCTTCGACGTAGGTAGGTACAGAGTCTCAGTCAGAATATATGAATGACTAACGCCCGAGGTGCTGGTCCACAAAAAGGTTGCCAACTAAAACAATTTATACATATACCAACTCCCATAAATACGCTGCAATAGAGTCTCCTTTCAAACCATAGCTATCAATCAGTCTATATCGGGCCTTTAGGATATGCTTGCAAGATCAACGCGAGAATTTGTATTACAACTGTTTGATACTGGTGGATGAATTCTAGTTCAAGCGTTTATGCCCCCTGTTTATCTCAAGCAAACATCTGTCAATCTAGCTCTTGGAGCCGATGATAGAGGCGTTCTATTTGTCATTTTGTACAAAGTCCTCTGTCAAGTAAACATCTAAAGTGCACAGTAGATCCCATCCAAACGCCGATGCGCAGATATATTGGTAACATAATCTTGATGACTCTGACTTTTCCCAGTCTCCTCCAAGCGAAGCAAGATTTATTCTTCAGCAACTTTTTCTGTCGTGGCTGGGTCTTCAGTAATCTGGTCCTCTTCAATCTCAGTCTTCTTCTCGATCTCTTTTTCCTTCTCTGGAAGCTGTGCCGACACTTCAGTAGTCTGGTTGTCTGTCTTGTTCTCGTTCGGGGGCTCATCAAGAGCGAGTTCGCCACGGAGTTCAGGCAGGAATCGATCTATGCGCTTCCAGGTCTCTGACCAAAGTTCCTCCTTCAAAGGATCTATGTGGGGTGACACAAGATACTTACTACTGGCCATAAACAGCAGCACATTCTTGAGGTTCTCACGAACAGCCTCCTCCTACTATTTGTCAGTGCCCTGTATCATTGCAAAGCTGGGTAGGTTAACTCACAAGACTGTCACCCTGGCCACTGTTCATAAGACGATCCATAATCTCAATGATCTTGATCCAGAGATCCAGCATTCCGTCCCATTCTGAGAGGAGTACCATATACTGAAGAAAGACTTTGCAAAGAAGAGAAGCAGACTGGACTCTCATCTCGCTCATTCCATCTCGATCGGACAGAAAGACCTCAGGCTTGAGCAGCTGAATGATTAATGGAAAGAGAACCTTGCCAAAAATAGCAGTCCACTCTTTAGGGTCACTGCAGGTCAACTCTGGGGACAGAAGAGACCGTTGAAGAGCGGAGAAGGCAAGTTGTCGGACATCTCTGCATGGGTTTGCACACTGAGTGGTTAAAGCCTGGAAAATTGGCAGCCAATATGCAGACCAGGCTGTGGATTTGTTAACATGGCAATTGGAATAATAGTGTTTGAAGGATGACACACCTTCACTGCTCTCAAGCTGAGACTGTTGCATGAGATGTGGGATCCGATCCGTCAAATTATAAAGCATGTTGACAGCCTTGGAGCCTCGGCTAACTGCTTCCGCATTGCTGGGATCATATCAGTGTTATGTTCAAAGCTTGGGGTTTGTAAAGTTTTACGCTTTTTTGTCTTGCTTGGAGGGGGCTGGCCTTTGGGGTCTAGGGCTTCGGGTCTGCATATTAGGTTGCCGAGGGGTGGCAGCGGAGGCAAAGTCGTTCAGAAGGGATATTGCTGCCTCGTAGTTATCTGCCATAATAGCTGGAGGGGTTCCAGCAGTTCCCTTCTCCAAAATTTCGAACACAAGTGCGGCTGATTCCGGACGTTGAGCCAAGGCTCGCAGTATTGCCCAAAAGTCAGGGGATGTCATCATTTCTCGTTTCAACGGGCCAGACTCCTCGATGCAAAGCGAAAGGCCCTGCAACACAAGATCCGAATTCTTCCCCAAAGCCTCTTGCGGCAAAGTCGAGATCGTGTGAAGCAGAAATGGAACATTGACAAAGTCATGATCCTTATATGATTAGCTTCAAGTTCAAAAGCGTTTGCTAGGAAACTTACATAGCTGATATTGAGTAGCTTGAGAGCATAGAAAGACGCCCGGGAAACTGTAATGGCATGGTATCGGGCTGGATCGCGAAGAACCCCTTGTAGCGTGTCGAAGACAACTTTACCCATGCTCTCGATGGATTCTGCATCCCGTGACGCCAAGAGTGTACAGAACTCTAGGATATACGCAACACTTGGATCGTACTCCAAATGCCCCGGCGGTCGAACGTGACCATTCGTGGGAGACGTAGGCAAACTTTCATGCTTGACACTAATTACGGTCGTGTTAGAATCCTCGGGGAGTTGATCAACAAGTGTTTCGACGATGACTTTAGCGACAGATGGGCTCAGGTTACTTTCAGATAGTTAGCTTGATCCTGACTATACACACGTACAACTTACGCAATATTTTCAAACACCGCAGTCATCTTGCATGACTTGATACAATCGATGGTACAAAGTGTGCTTTCCAGCTCCTCATCGGATGGTTCAGGGGGGTCGTCGGCAGCATAACTAGAAATGTATGATGTGAAGGCTGAAAAGAAACCAGTGTCCGCATTCCTCGCTACTCGATCGATGACTTGTGATGGTGTTTGCAGTGGAATGGGGGGCAGCGGTAGGCCTGGCAGATTGCTTGGGGAAAATGGCGAAATGAGCGAGTTGGTAAATAGATTGAGCCATATGCGAATCATCTGTCAATGTGAGCATCCATCCAACTGAAAAGACTTGATTACTCACATATTTCCAACTCCTGTGTATAAGGTTTTCACTTCCAGTAACGACACGGAACAACACAAGAGTCGCAAGTTGGGCCCTGAAATCCCTACCGAGCTTAACAGCGAGTTCGCTTACCATGACGCTACCATCCCCTGCCTGAACTTCAGTGTTCAGGGAAGTGTTGAACTGTGTTTCGGTTGCCAACGTCGACATGTGGCTCAGGCAATAAACAATCTGATCAAGAGCTTCCGAGTTCTGATATTTGGTGGCAATGCGAGCGCATTCATCGAAGCCAGTGACGATTCGAGCGAACACGGCATCATCTGTGGCGGACATGAATACATAGGACAGCGTAGAAACGATAGGTTTCCAGGTCGTTGCAAACATATCAGCATCATAAATGTTTGTATCGCATATTACAAGGTTACCTGCTGACTCTGTCTTGAGAAGCAGTTCTCTCCATGCATAGTCAAAGGCATGCTTGTTATCATGTTCATCGGGCAGGATGATTTCGTTGGACTTGATGGACTGGTAGATAGTCTGCAGATACTCTGGAGCAAAGTTTTGGCCGTTGTTGGTTCCCCTGAGGTTTCTTGCGAAATCCTCCAACGTCATGCGTTTCTTGGCGTCCAGGTTGGGGTTATGTTGATCAGTATTCAACAGGATGATGGCATACGTCAAGATGTACACTGCATCCTTGTCTGCGACTTCGCCAGTAGTATCGTGGGAGCAAAATTTCTCAGAGAAAGCTTCCACGATCGTAGCAATCAAGGGCGCCTCTCCGGGGAGTCGGAATGACTCCAAGAATTGTCTAAGTGCCTCGTCAACTCGCTTACCAGAAAAGTCGAAAAGGTCCAAGAAAGCTCCAAGAATTTCTTCATTGCCTCTCTTAGATATGAAGTCGCCAAGGACCTTCTTATTGACCCGTGAAGTGCCTTTGAGAAACTTAGCGACAGCAACAGGATCTGTGGCGTCCTTAATGATGCCCTGTGCTTCCAGATAGCCCAGACCTGCCTTCGGCTTCTCGTTGAACTTGCTTGCTCCCTTGACAATAATTTTCTTCTTTCGCCGTTGCTCCCTTAATGTCACAGGGTCAGGAAAGTCTTCATAAACAGGATCTTGATCAAGTCTTTCGGCAATAAACTGGATATATCGGAGCAGAGCATCAAGACAGAGCGGAGGGACGCTTGTGGTGCTCCAGGTTGCAGAATCAGGGAGAGCATTTCTGGAAAGAAGACCAATCATGTCTTCACAGAGATCTGCCCGGTCAACATCGCAATCGTAATTAATGAAGAGCTCCGCCATGAATGTCGGCATGCGCGACAAGACCCCAACACTTTCTACCATAGCCTGGCGTGCATCTGGCTTCCGGGATCCACCCTCCAGGCCAAGTTTTTGACGGTCTTTGACAGGGACTGGGGTCGATCGGCCACTGCTGGGCTGTGATGATTGTGAAGGTTTGACTAGTTTGGGTGTCTGTGGGATGCCAGCATAGAGAGAGGGGTCGATACCGGGCTCGCGGGGTATCTCAACCTTTGGGTGTAAACAAGCTACCAGGTAAGATAGGAACAGCTCCTGTTGCAGCTTAAGTACTCCACGACAAGTGGCCAACAGCGTACCAGCAACGACTAGCGACTCCTCGAGAATTGCCATGTTGTCAGACCTTACCAGCTGAAACAGATAACAGCACAATCGGTCCTCCGCGATGCCTGCCAAGGCAGGATGTCGAGAGATAAAGGGTCCAGCAACCTCAAGGGCGACGTGAATAATTCGTAATGCCATAACCCGCATTGTATCTGTGTGCTGTCGATCTTGGGGGTCCAGGAAGTTCACCAATACCCGGAATAACTCACGAACGGAAGGGAGGGAGTAAGGCCTAAGATCCACAGACTCCGTCTCCTCTGTCACGTCGCTTGTAGTTGCCAGTGCCGTTTCAGAGGTGGCCGTGGTGTCCCTGCTGCTGCGTTCGGGGTCTGGGGTAGGTATTCCAGGTACCTCCAGACTCTCAGGTTCGGCAGACAGTCCTCCTGCTTCAGGAGCGGGGTTTTCCATTCTGACACTATCGCGATCGTCATCAACTTGCTGATCCAAGGCGTTTGCGTCATCGCCAGCTTCAACCTCGAGGTGTTTCACGTCTTCGAATATGATTTGGCACATCCTCACCATGGAGGCTTCAGCAGTACGGCGCAAAACGGGGGAGAAACGAGGCTGTGAGCATATCGCAAGGCCGCGACCCATCATGTCGCAAACGCTCTCGTCGCTCAGAATATCTCCACCCGGACCAGACATCATATCCTCCATCAGATTCAGAATCATGAGAAGAACAACCTCGACTTGGCCTGAATCACTGATATCGAACTGACAATGTGTAACGGCACTTGACAGAGATTGCATAGCCAATGCAAACCGTGGTGACTCGGGGCAGATGAAACCATAAGCCAGAAACTTCCTTAAAGCACCTAGGGCCAAGATTGTGATCGGGGCGGCGGTACCCTTGGTTTGTATAACGTGGAGGAACGGGGCGAGGATCGCAGGGGCGTCGAATGACCGGATATCTAGAAGGGAAATGTCAGCCATCATGGGTGAAGAAAGGAGTAATAGCGACTAGTTGGCCAGCCATACCTTTAACACCGGCAAGCTCATGCCTTAGTTTCCCAAAGCCAGCAATCATGGGGTTATCTTGCATGCTCTTTCCCCTCTGCCCACGAAGACCCCAGCGGTTGGTAAGGCCATCATGGGAAGCATCACCGCTGATACTCGCCGCGGGGCTCTTGCTTCGTCCACGTGGTGAAGGACTGGGAGGTCCAAGCTGTACGGGATTCGGGCTTCCACCAAGAATAGCGGAAACGGATGAATGTGGAGAGCGAGCATGCTTCTGGATAGCGGAAGTTATGGAGATGCATTCCGAAATGACAAGCGACACGGGGTCAACTGCGACGGACACAGGTCGGCTTCGATACTGCATCCGTACAGGGAGCGCGCGGTTCTCGAAACTCGAAACTCCCGATGGCCTAGGACTCTCCATAGTCAGAGACGGTTGTTCATCGCGACTCATGATATTGCAGGCTCGTAATCGTTGGTGATGGTTTGCGACTTGGTGATTGACCCGAATTCGGGGGTGACTGAAGAAGGTCCGAAAGATCGTAGAAACCCGATGCTACGCTTGCTGGTCAATCGAACACAAAGCGAAAGGGAGACTCTTCAGAGGAAGCACCACGTCTCCAGCGAAACGAAAAGGGGAATCGTTTGTGGCCGAGTTTGCTCGAGAGAGTTGCGAGGTTGGATGATAAAGACAAAGTCGCAACGTAGCGTACCTACGGCTAAGATACCTTAGGTAGCTAAGGCAAGGTACCACTTAACTTTATGCCAAGATCTTAGAAGCTGCGCGCTGTCCTTCTCCAGGTGTCGCCCCATGCCTACGCTGATTGGCCAGCTGCCACCATCTGTCCTGGCCCCTTGAAAGACATGCACGGCTGGAGGCTAGATGAGAATTTTTTGGAATTAATATTGAAAATAGCAAAATATTCAGCCCGATTTCGTTCATCACATTATCAATTCGACTCGCAACAAAAAATGGCAGGAAGACCGGTCTTGCCTTTAAGCCTGAGCTTGATCCCAAACTCCCACTGGCTCCCTCCCTGCCTAATCTGTATAGGTACAGTTCCACCTCGGGCGGTATGAGAAAAGGGGCTCATTTATTTGCAAACTTCCATGTCTATAAAGATACGACAATTGAAGGATTGCATGAATGCATCAAGAATTTACGAGAATGCTAACACATTCTTTAGAAATAAATCTTCCGGGAAGCTCTACTTACATGAGGCCCTATCCTGTATAAAAAATAAAAATAAAACTAAACCAAAGTCAGTATGCTTTATTTTTTCTTCATGTTTGTCCACAACAGTATAGTAATCATTAAAGCGTATGATTTTTTGTCTTCTTTGATATTGATAACGAGTAGCCCTTCCCAACCAAACGCCAATGACATGCCAAAGGGGATCTACCAATGGTCACACCTTTTAACTGTCCGCCGTTCTCCGCCTAAGCGTACAAACTCACAACCAACGACTCCGATGACATCCATTCTATTATACAGCAAGTAGATATCGTATGCGATCAAGGAAACAAGACCAGAGAAGATATTAACGGAAACTCTTTAAGCAGCTGCATTACCGGCTTGCTGAGCGGCCCCTGGGTTGGCTTTGGGCGCATCTTGTGCACCAACAGCAGCTCGTTTGTCTCCCTCTTGAACAGCTTTGCCTTCTTGTCTTGCTGCGTTACCCTCCCGCTTGACCACTTGCGCTTTGATGTCGCCTTGAGCGGCATTACCTGAGCCCGCCTTGGCTTGGTTGCCAGAGCCAGGTTGTTGATTATGGGGCTGGGCCAACCCATCTCGGCTGGGAGCTTTCTGTGTGTCTTTGACAGGCTTTGGCTGAGCTGCCAGATTCTGCATCTCTTGCTTATCCTTCTCCCACTCATTCCGGGTGTCACTATACTCTTCTTTGATCTTTTGTTGGTTCTTTTTCTTCTCTTCCTCTTGCTTTTCCCGGGCAAGTCGTTCCCGCTCCATTTCCTACACTCGGTGTCAGTATACAAGAATTTTTGTTTACTATAGCAGAGGGACACTCACCTCCATATGGCGGATATCATCCACACTAGGCTCATACAAATGCCAGATGGTATAATGAGGTAGACCAATGACTGAGTACCCCATTCTCTTGGACATCTGTTTTATACATGTTAATGATGGCCGTTTTGGTAGGGTATCTGATTTCTTACCTTGCCGAAACCTTCTGTTTCGGCGTGCTTCTCGAAACTGAAGGCTGGAAAGTGAACACCGGATCGGAAGACTTTGGCTTTTGCCAGGATACTGACACCCCCAACACCATCAATTTCCATTTCCATGTCGGGATCACCAAAAGGATCACGGAGGTACGCTAAATGAGGGCGCCAAGTGGCATATTCGGCATAACCTTCAACAATGACAGCATCCTCATCAAGTGTGTCGGCGAGGGCCAAAGCTGTCTCAGACTCCTGCCATGAGTTCAAATCGTAGGGCTGTTCACCGCCAAGCCAGTCAGGCAACGGTCGCCAAACATCTGGACATAAGTTAGAAACTGGGGTTCATCTCCAGACATTTTTACTTCAGGTAAACCTACTGGGAACGATGACGTCCTTGTTATGGCGCATGAGATCCTCCAAAATGGTGAAAGGTGCCGTTTCAACATCTACGTCGCGCCAATAAACCCAGGAGTGGTACGGCCGCAGAGCTGCGCTCAGAAGCCAATTTCGGGCTTGCGCCATCAGCTTTCGTCGGCTTGCCTGAGCAGCGAATCCGTGACGACTTTCAACATCCTGGTTGACCTTCTGCCCAAAGTCTTTCTCAATGATTGAGATCTCCCCGTATGGTTGCTTAGGATCCTGGTCGGCTTGGATGGCCTCCAAACTCTCAGAAAGAACCTTTAGAGTATTGTCTTTGGAATCGGACACGAGAAAGGCAAGGTCGATCAAGTGGTGCGGATATGTGAGATTGCGCATATGAGAAAAGAACATTCCCAAGTGCGCTTCGGCATCACGAAGTGGTACACATAACAGAATGCGCTCTTCGCGTTCCCAGCCACGAGCAGTGCCCTGGACGGTGGTCAAGTCGTAGTATCGAACTGTCTCAAGCTCTGGTGCACCACCAGCAGAAAGGAGCCCGAAAGACACCAGCGAAGCCACGGGGCTGGAAGGCCAAAGCCAGAGACTAAAAACGAACAGTATCGCCGCTAAAATGCATAGGCGGACGAGAAGCTTATTACGACGCCGTTGGGCAGGCGTCAAAGTGCGCGGCTGGAACCTAGTTGAGACGCCTTGTCAGCTAATTGCCATAAGTCTTTGCGACGCCAGTAGTGTACGGGTCATGAGTCGATGTTTTCAGGAGAGGAAGTCGTACTTGTGGGGGGAGATGTCAAAAGTATTGCCACGAGGATAGCCATTCGAAAAGGCGGCGGCATGATGCCGGGGCATCATCTTTGAATTGGAGCCTGGCAAGTCATAGGATGGCATTGACAGCTTTTGCGCAGAGACGCTCTGCGGCGCGTCGATCGAGAGTGATGGATAGCAGAAACTGCTTCGAAGAAACTGGTGGGCGAAGGGACCGGATGGTCTCGAGAGCGATCGAATAGGTTGCGCTTTGAAGGTTGATAGGGGATATGAGGCTAAGTTCAGGGTCCAAATAGTGCTGCTGGCGTTAACGTCTGCATCAAGCGCCCGATCCCTGTCGTCCCCAATATGGTTTGTTGACGGCTTTGGTCGCTTTCAACTGTATCGTATCGTTTCTCGTAGGCGTCGTCGCAATGAATAGATATGTGCTGTGATGCGTGGTGCAAGGGCAAGGTGGCTCCAATGCCGACCAAGATACTTTAGCAACGTAGCTTGGGGAATGGGATACGAGGTCTTGCGTGCCAGGGCGAAACGAGTGCTGTGAAATGCATGTGTTCAGTTGCTCTTAGTCAAGGGAAGGGGTTGAGGGGTTCTTTTGATTGGGCCACTTGACATTAACTCGTTTAAGACAGTGGAGGCTAAGGTAGATTGAATAGGCCATTCTGAACGCCGATACGATCCACACAGCTTGTATCTAAAAATGGGATCCTGTCAGATTACGATATAAACCTGAATAGCTACAGATCAACCACAAGTTATCGGTGGTAATGGATGTATTTATGGAGAGCTATTCTCAACCGACTGAAGGGCCCGAGCTGAGGTTACATTAAGAGACTACCCGTAGGCAGAAACAATTGCATGAAGCAGTCGATGAGAAGTATCCAACAAGTCAAGCATGACAATTTCTTATTTCTCATCAAACTCATTCCCATTCGTTCAGCATCTTCCAGACGCTACTGATATCACAACTGGCAAGCCAACTCGGGCTTCGAAGCACCTGAAGATTTGAGGACAGGCACGAGAAAGAAGGTCGGATTCGAAAAGCGAGGTTTATATATCATCACTATGAAAGGCAACTATTACACTCAGATACTAACTTACCGCACTGTCGATTTAGCATAAGCCTGTACAAAATGCTGAGGGCACTGATCACTGTGAGGAATCTGCACCCGTTAGCCATTGTTCAAAGCCAAGGCTAGAATCGGACGAAGAGTATAGAGAAGCAAAAGGAGCGTGTGATAGGTCAGACAAGCCGGTTTACTCAGTCATCTCGACCGGCCCAGGATACTGATAACCCAAAACGGGCTACCAGCAGCCCGAACACTGGAGTCTTCATAACACTCGAGAGAGCAACTCCACAACCAGTCATCGACTCTCATAGAAAGCCTACGGTGCGGGAGGGTGACTTGGTCAAGAAGAAGTCGTTGAATGGATAGAACTTGTGTCATCATGCAACACAACTCCTTTGCCCTTGCATCTTCGCAGTGAACTTACCAATGTTTCATCAAGCACCGAGGTCAAGCCAAATAAAGCTGGGATAAGACTCGGAGGGGAAGAAGATAATTAACTTGGGACTTGTTTGATAGTTAGCTTGGGATCGAAACAAGCGGCGGTAATATTGAAAGAGGAGGTAAGATGTGTATCAGAGATCTTGGTTTGGTAATTGGGAGTCATCACAATGGTTCAGTAGCAGAACTGAATGAAAGGTTTTCTCATCATCGACATGGGAAGGAGCTTGTGCTTGAGTGGAAAGGGAAAATCGGACTAACCTTGTATGGTTCTTCACCACTGGTAATTGGAGGTGATAGCAAAAGGAATAACGTCTTTTGTGATGTTAGCATTGCCCCATCACCAATATCGTGTGAAAGAAGAAGAATCGTATGGTGCTCAGATGGTAGTGCATGTTGTTCAAACGCTCAGGTTTCGCGGGAACAGTGGTGTGAAGGATCATCGTTGCGCGTGTGGGAAAACGCAGCGGCGCGTCACGTACCTCGTTAAATCGGCATCATCGAGAAGCCTTGCTGCTCATTCAAGTTATACCACGACATGTTTGAACAAGAAAACCAAATTTAGGTTTGTTTTGCTTGTCGAAGGCATTCGTTGACAGAAAGCAGGCTCTCGATGTATGAAGGAGAGAAAGATCAGAGCTCTCGAAGCAGGCCCACGAGAAAATTTGAAGGGTAAGAAGATGGAGTCGCTGATGACTAAGCGTCGTAGCGCCCCGTTTGATGCATCGATGAATTTCAACCCACTCCAGGTAAAATCCATGCCCTCAGATTGAGAGATCTTGGAGACAAGGAATAATTATCGAAATGGCGGACCGACGACGCATTAATGGCCCTGGAGGTGTCACAGTGGCACCTGTTTATGAAGCCGATGAGTTAGCTGTTTCCACTCGGACTCGCGCTCCAAATGGTATTAGGTCACAATGTGAGTTCCCAACCCTTCTCTAAGCAACTTGTAGTTGTCTATTGTGAAGAGTTGACTGATTACATTTGACTAGATTTGCAGACTGGGTTAACCCCATCCGCTTCTGGATCGGCGTACCTAGAAATTGAATCACAGCAAGATTCTAGTAGTAAGGGCATGAAACTTTCATGCACCGTTCATGGGCCTAGATCTCTACCTCGATCAGCGCCCTTCTCCCCTCACATGGTCCTCTCTACACATGTCAAATACGCACCTTTTGCAACACGTCAAAGAAGGGGTTATTTACGCGATTCCACCGAGCGTGACTTGAGCACACATCTCGAAGCAGCTCTCAGGGGCGCCCTCATTGCAGACCGTTGGCCCAAGAGTGGAGTGGATGTGGTTGTCACCATTATTGAAGGAGATCAAGCCCGTCAGGTAGCTGTGGAACAGGGAAGTGAGGAATGGGACATGATGAACGTGCTTAGCGGCTGCATCACTGTTGCCGCCGCCGCTCTCGCGGATGCTGGTATTGACTGTGTCGATACTGTCTCTGGAGGTGTTGCGGCTTTGGTGCCTGGGGCGGACAATGATGAACCCATCATGGTGCTCGATCCAGTTCCTTCTGAACATTCACAAATTCTCGCAGCTTGCTGTGTGGCCTATCTCCCCTCCCGGGACGAAATCACAAATCTCTGGCTGAAGGGAAGTTTGCCGTCATCAGACGCCAGTCTGCATCGAGACCTCGTCGCCCGTGCCGTACATGCAAGCAAAGGAGCCAACCTTGCAGTAGCTACATCACTCAAAGAATCGGTCATCGTGGGTTGATTGGATAGTAGGTCAGCATATTACACAACTTCATGGGTGTTTCCAGGCGTTCAATCAATCATACCATCACGGGCTATGTCGACTAAAAAGGCCAGCTTGTTGACTTCGTTGTGCTCGATTAAGGCAATACCACTGAATTCCTTCGCCTTATGCGGGCATGTCATGGGCTTTCTTTGGCCACTCTGGATAGTCCTGGCTCGAAATGGTCTCGTAGGACACAACTTTCGGACGAAGAGGACAATTGATCTTCTTTGAAGTATCATAAAACATCGTTGAGAATGAAGGCAAGGGAAAGGAAATAGGCAAACTGTCGGGAAAGTTCAGACATCAAGAGTCAAGCATATTTATCTTATAAGAAGATACCCCTGAGGCTCCTGTCCTGCTGAATAACCTATGGACCTTTGTCTGATAGAAACGCTAGACCCAGCAGGATGTCAGCTCTTTCGGGGTAGTGTCAGACGGTGTTGAGAAAACTTATCCAGTGGACGTGAAAGGACGAGATAATGAGTAAGCCAGCTTTAATATCATGTCCTAGAATTGAGCGTAGTTACCCTAAGGTACGCCATGCTTGAAACTCCTGAGAGCTACTAAGCCCGATCTGGCGCCGAAATCGGGACCACTTCCCGTGGGTTGATGCAGGGGACCTAAGGTGGGTACATCACGTCCTTTTAACAACACTGTGCATGACTGTGCAAGCACTCCTACAGCTGTTTGGCTGCTACAGTGGGCCCCAGAGGACGCGCTAGTATCCGTGAGTCCAACTCAGTCTGGGCTTTGTCTTGACCTGGCAGGTACATCGATAGTCCATAGTTTCCGCATGTTACCACCTCCACCTCGATGTCAACACTGAGGTCGCTCAGTGCCTTGCCTCATCATCGCTTCCCCAGACCAACAAACCACGCTTCAAACAAGGACACTTCACAATGTCCTCGGCGAAACCCAGTGACTCGTTATCAAAATAACGCTCCTGCGACCGACACGTTTATTTCGCAGCTTTCATTTTCCTTAACTTGCCTTCCATTCTCTTCCGACAACTTCGTGCCCGATAGTTCTCCTTAGGCCATGGCCGACGAGTTCGTCCCCTCTGTGCCATCACCCCTCACCAGCTTCACAACCAACACAGGGTTTGGTGCTGCCAATGCATCTGGTTCGTGGTACAATCCTGCTGTCTGGACTGTCAATGTGACACGCTATGCGCCCATACTAGAGGACCTTGTCTGGGCCGGTCCGCGATTCGTTAAGAAACTTGGATCTTACATTTCTGTGCCCGAACATCTCGAGACGACGACCGACAATTCGAATTACATACCAGCAGTAGTCGGCGCGAATACCATACTTGCTGAGGCCGACCCGACTATTCAGAACATAATGGAGCCTTTGTTAGGTGCAGGGGGGTCTGAGACAGCGACCACTGCTCCCATAGGACGGGTACCCGTCGACAGTGTCCGTAGCTTGGGCAGTGTCTTTGGATATGCCACCAGCAAGTGGGCTTTGTGTTGCATAGCTATGGCAGTCATACTTAACCGGACACACATATTCGCTGCCACTCGACGACGCCTACGCTTGCGATGGCCGACAAGACTCTTATTACGATTCGTTCCTATCGTCCTATTGGTAATACAGGCGCGCCAGTTACTTCAATCTATTCAATGCCAGACCTCATCCGACTTTTCCGAGCTACGATGGGGTAACGCAAGCAAAAGCTCGGACTTGATGTTCTCACACCGAAACGCCTTTCTCAACTCTCTGAGTTCAATTTTACTCTTCTCAGCCTCCGATGAACACTCCTGTATTGCCGTTCGGATGATACCGTCAGATGAATCTGGCTCTGCTCGTAATCTGACCGGCTCTTTGTCCCTGTTGTGGCCTTTGTTCGGAACATTTTGTCTTAGCCAGTTCCTTGAGACCGTTTCCTGTGCCGTGCAGGGGCGTCCTGTCGCACCGGAGACAGGTATGACACTATTTGAGCAGTCTCTTGCGTTTGCAGAGGCCGATGCTGCCATCAGTAACCAGCTTGGTTGGAACCTCTTCACTAAAACAACCTCTGCTGATGCCCCAGCCTCAGGGCTTGGAAATGCTATAGCTCTGACTAGGTCAATGGTTATGAGAAGGGTCAACACCTCGCCCGAAGTTCTCCTCGTTGCCTTGCTATCTTCGATGACGCATATTACGAGCCATGTTCTCGGTATCTTCAATCTGCAAGCTAAGTACCGACTAATCAGCACGGGATTCTGGGGTCTCTGCTTTATGGCTAGCATTGTATGGGCAGCCATCTCCTTTGACCTCGACAATCCATCCTCTCAGAGTCTACTCAGATTTCCAACTGTTTGCATCATAGGGTTTGTGCCACATGTCCTTGTTCTACTAGGTATCGCTATATGTCTGTTCATATACGGACTGGCTTTGCTCCTCTCAGCATTCTCTCCCCCTTCGACATCAGACATGGCTTCAATGACCATTCGTCAGCGTCTCATCCATGCCCATGAGAACATGCAGGCGAACGTATCGCTCTCTTCCATTCGCATCACTCGAGAAATGGATTTCTACACGGCTCTACTGCGAACTGGGTTCGGCGCTATCACTATGGCTAGTGAAGCCGTCTACCTAAATGAGGACAGGGGCATCAGTCTAAAACGACGCACCTGGCTGGAAGAGCAGCGGTTTAAGGAGGCCGAGGAGTTGCAAAGAAAACTAATTGGCGGTGGCGGCGGCCTGCCCGACTCGCGATATGATCAGATCGGCGCAATCGGCCTGATTCCCGTGAAAGGGGGCCCATCAATTGCATCCAATGGGTACGCCCGCGAACGTGCTGCTCAGAAGATACCGAAAGGACGCAGTGAGCGCAACCTTCATGCGGGCATTGGGGCGTCTGAAAGGAGTTCTCGTTGGCTTATGGCACTGGAGTTTCTACTCAGTATCAACAAACTTATTGCAAAAATTAGCGCCAAGTCCTTGTTATGGTGTCTTGCGACTCTACGGATCCGATATCAGCCGGCATGGCTCCTTTGGCTTGCTCAGCACCCAAAAAGCATGGACAGCCAGAGCAAAAGCTCTAGTCGTAAACAGCCACGACCAAGAGGACCATCTTCATATAATGATGGACGCATACCGAAAGAGGAGACGGCAGACATCGAGGCCGAGTTCAGGCGTGTGGGCATTGACCAAGACGAGGAGAGCCTAGATAGGGACCTATACAAATATTGGGTGAAAAACGGCTGGTGGGGATCTGCAGATTCCAGCGGCGACTTTGAACCTCACTCAGATGACGACTTCGACACTACAAGCGTCGTCTCTATGTCGACCGCCGGTGATGGAGTGGATGATTACCAAGCATGGGAGTCAGAAGACGAGAATGACGACGGCCAACGAACACCTACTCAACGATCCCCTCAAATCAGTCGTGAGAGCACGCCTTTCCATGACACCCCTATGCAAATATCCGATCTAGCACGCCTTCTGCATCCCACAAGCCCTGAAGAGCGCGAGGAGGCCATGACCTTGTCTGCCCACCTCCAAAGTGATGGCATCATGACACGCGCCAAATACCGGCGAATGGAGCAATTGCAACGCACTCGAGTCTTGGCCTCCCCGGGATCTGGCCTACTACAGCCCAAAGCCAACATCATGCAACCGGGGCGCAGCACCAAATTAGATCCTGACGAAGAGGAGCATCTTTTGGAACAACTTTTACTATCACGGCGGCAAGCGTTTGCATCTGCGGCATGCTCCGAGACATCATGGGAAAACGGGGGATCAGGTTTTGGAAGCGATGGTCCGCAATGCGTGGTGTGTCAAAGCTCACCCAGGACCATTATTGTCTGGCCCTGTCGATGCCTAAGTCTATGCGACGACTGCCGTGTCTCTCTTGCTATGAACAACTTTGACAAATGCGTCTGTTGCCGCCGGGAGGTTATTAGCTTCAGCCGCGTTTTCGTCCCCTGAGCTCCTGCAAACCCACGATTAAGGGAATCGGTAATGGTTTGTTTGCTGTAATTAAGCACCTGTAGCCTTTGTTCCACTCATTTGCGTTGTTTCATTTTCGGGAGCTGATGGGCATGAATTCACAATGGTCAAGCTTTCACCTGTGACTCAAATCATGTCAGGATATGTTCGGCATAGCATCTATTATATTCAGCTTTTTACATTGCAGCCCATTCGATACTAAAGGTTCTCATCTCCTGGTCATCCCGTGATCCATTTGCTAGTGGCTGTTGTGCCCCTATCAAATACGCCTTCTTCACAGCTGTTGCGAGACGGCCTCCTGCTACGATATCCAAGACGGGAATATCTTCTTCCCATTCATACTGGTTTGCCATGAAATGGGCATGAAACCTCAAGGGATCGCCTGGGTAAACACTATACTTGGCACCAAAGCGAAGACCGGGAGTCGTGTAGTGACCAGAAGTAAGTAGAAAGCCACACAAAGGGCCTTGCGTAGGATTAGTGGCCTGGTATGTTCGTTCAGCTTCTGAAGAAATCAGCGACCCACTGGATGTTGGGGTGACGCCCAGGGATTTGATGGCAGATTCCTGCTGATGTACGGCGGGCTTAGTTTCACTAGTGATGGTGTCGTCGTCTGCATTGCTAGGAGGCACACGGCGGGATTTCCCACGCTTCAATGCTCCTTCAGCAACCCTCTTGGCATTCTTTTCAGCAATAACCTGTTGTGCTGTCTGCTTTCTTGTCCTAAGCGAGTCGAGGTATAACTTCCTCGCCTCGGCGTTGTGATTCTGGAGAACATGGTGGTGGGCAGCTACGTCGTCTACAAGATAAGCCACATTCTTATGCAATAACGCTTCAGCCTCCTCCGGCCGGAGTTCAATTGGAAGACCGAGAAAGATATTCTGAGTCGGTTGCTGAGGCGCCGTTCCAGCTAGAGTACCGTTGATATTCTCATTCCGACGCAAGAACGCAGCTGCTTCAGAATCGAAGATGAGATATCGCCCAGCGATCTTGGATATCCGAACAGGGGCTGGGTCTAGAGAAGCCATGGTATCTATTGAAGCATTGTGAGTTAGCGGGCGCTTCGTTGGAGTATAGCGAGCATAAACAAGTGTGAAAAGGACAACATCATAAGTCGTCTTCGTAATTTTATTGTGTGTCGTCACAGAAAATCAGGGGATTGACAGATTAATAAGTGTATAATCATTGTGTCCGAGTCGCGTGGATAAAGTGCGAGAGAGAAAAAAAGATTCTGACATACCTTTTGAGATTGTTGATATTGATCAGAAGAAAGAAGAGAAGAGAGGTTGAGAGCTTGGAGCTGCTTTTAGGTGATAAAATTTTTAGGCGAGTGGGGTCGGGAGGAAAAGATAAGATAAGAGTCCTGAGCTTGAGACCCAAAGGCAGGATCACAAACCAGGTCAATCATTGAATTGTCCTCTCTTCAAAAATCCAAGGTCTCCTTCTTGTGATCGTTGGGTTTGGAAACCTTACTTGGCTCTTCCTCGTCTCCAATCGGTGGTAGACTAAAGGGTGTAATTACCAACCCACTGGAACTGCTCAGCTTGAAAGATAAGTTTTCCCTGTTCCAGGTACCTTCCAGACCACCTCCCTTTTCGTGGAACACGGGTAAGCTATGAGCACGTAGTAGTCCTTGGCCCTTGTCTTCGTTGCCGGGCTCCCGCACAACTGGAGCTTGGTGTTGCAGAGGAATCAACTCGAGAACTCCATCGGATAGCAACTCCATCCACCGCGTTAGTCCCGTAGAGCGAGGGAACAAAGTAACTGGAATAGTCACAAATGCCGTGACCTGGGTTGAGTACTGTCGAAGGAGTGCTCTCAAAGCATGGAGGAACTTCAGGACCTCTTTGGGTTGACTGGCAGCAGAATTATACAGTGTAGGCGAGAGGAGGCTGGGTACCACGATTCGATGAACTGTAGAAGGTGGCGAGTTCTTGATTTTGGAGGTCACATCGGCAATGAACTTGTGGAAAGGCGTGTTTGTTGGAGATGCCATGGGACCTTCCACTGGGGTTGTGTGAAGCTGACCCTTGATGGCACTGTTTTCAAGACGTTTGGTCAGGTCGAAGCCATGACAAAACGTGCTCGGTGTCTGTCCGGGAGTTGTTGGTGCTTGGGCATCTACAATAAGTCGCAGGTCAACATTACGTCCTTAGAGGGAGCGCACAGAGCATACCTCTGACTGGAACATTGCGCTGTCCGAGTGTCTCGTAGCGCCAAGCAATCTTCATCTTTTCATCTGATAATGAGGTTGGCTTGCTGCTCTTCTTAGAGCCATCAGGACTGCCAAGACCAGGAAGCTCTCTTCTCCAAGCATCGCCAAATCCCAAGAGGTGAACTTGATGTCCTTGGGCAAGTCCTTCGGCGGCATAGTATCGTAAAAGTACTCCTCCAAAGTCCGTAGTTCCTGTCTCTTCAACGAGCAAGGAAGTGCCCATTGGCATTCCAGCATGACCTGACAAGAGCTGATCCAAAGACTGCGTGCCTGTGGAGGTTGTCAAACGTCCATCTAATGGAGATGGTCTTGTTCCGGGTGCAAGAGACTTCTCTTGTCGAATGATGGGAGATGAAGACCCGGCAGCTCCAATGACGACATTACGCTTGCGAAAAGACATTGTCTTTGTCTTTCGTGTGCGAGTCGCTGAGTGATACTTTTTTCTTCTCCTCTTTTCAATAAATGGAAAATGCTCTAAGAAGTTAAAGGTAGGTACCTAGGCTGTGATAGAGAGGGTGATATCGTATTGTGTGTGCCCCACCTACACCTGAGGTACCTAAGTATCCACCAACTTTTTCCGAGCCGCATCCAAACATTTTCTCTTCTTGATACAAACCAACGACAACGCGAAGATCGTAACGATACAAAGCACTCGCTCTTCCTCCCGCAAGATATCCTAACCGTTCTTCCGTCTTCTTCTCGACTGCCCAACATGGCGAGCGGCGACGCTACTCTCTTCGAAGAATCGTTCACCGTGACTGAGTATGATCAGTCCAAGTACGACCGTGTCGCCCGCATTTCGTGCACTTCAAGCGACTCTCAGACTGTTATGACTCTAGATATCAACATCGAGCTCTTTCCCTGTGCTGTTTCCGACACTCTGCACGTAGTTCTGTCTACTACTCTCTCTCTGGACGGAAGCAAGGAGGACGAGAAGGGCTGGCGAGACGTTGGCAAGGGCGGTGATGCGCCAGCGACAGCTGCCGACCTTTATGACTACGTGTGCCATGGAAAGATCTACAAGTTCGAGGAGACATTCGATGGAAATACCATGTGCGTCTCTTACATGAAGCCCCCTTGTCGTCACCGAGTCTGGAACACACAAGTTTGCTGACTGAATCTAACCTACAGCAATGCCTACTGCTCTTTCGGCGGTCTTCTTATGTCGCTTCAAGGCCCTATCAAGAAACTGACTCCCCTCCGTGTCGACAACGTCTATCTTCTCGTCAAGAAATAATCAGAAGCGCCTAAACTTGTCCATTTATCTAGACTATAGCTCTTCGCCACCACTATGGGCTTTTGTGTTACCACTAGCTCTAAGCCACATTAATGATACCCATGCGAAAACCGCCGTGTTGCCCCCAATGATTCTCAAAGTCGAAGACCCTGTCCCGTCTCTGTGAGCCTGGTCTATCAAAATCACAATGAGCGCCAATTACTTTGATGCGGACCTGGGAAAGGAATGTCGCGGCGCACTCTCCGCTTGATCTGCTCAATCTCGGGCTCGTTTCTGTCAGTGAGAATTCCATGACGAATGAAAAAGTCGAGGGTGACGAGGGCACAATTGGACTTGAATCGACCCTCGGCGAGATCCGCCTTGACTTGATTAACGTCGCAGAGGTCAAATTTCTCCGCCTCGCCATCTTTGGGTTGAGGGATCACATCGTTGGGAAGCTCGAGATCGTATAACCATTGGCACTCAGGATAAATAAAGCCGCCTTCGCCAACCTGTCCCTCGTCCGTGATGTAGATGTATGTGACGTTGCCGACGAACTTGGCACTCTTGCGAACAATATCATCAGGAAGACTGGCTTCCTCATCAGCCTCGCGAATGACGCATTCGAAGGGGTCCTCTCCTGTCATTAAACCACCTGCCACGGTATTGTCGAGCATGCCGGGAAAGGTTGCCTTGTTCCGAGCACGCGTAGGGACCCAGAGGCGAATGCCATGAGGTGCAGTCTCGTCCTTGACATACGCAATCATGTGAACGCCGTAACGCACCGTACCAAGCAAGCCTATCGCAGCTCGTTCCATGCTGAACAATAGCTCGCCACTACGTCCGTATACAGGCCAGAGTTCGTCACGCCAGCGACGGAGAAGAGGGAACGTCCCATTCTTCCGCCAATAGTCGGCCAGGGTCGCCGCGCGACGAGTACGTTGTTCCTCCGTAGGTTCCTGAAAGAGCACAATAGTTTTCTTCTCATCGTCGCATTCCATTTTTCCCCTGACCTCTTCAGGGACCTGATGTAGCTCTCTGGCCACACGGTCTAGGATGTACCCAATAGGGTATGTGCCTTGGCTATCTCTCCAATCCAAAGTATAGAGCCCGGCATTCATCTTGGTGAAAGCGTCGGGATCAGTCTCGGCATACGGGAACCTTAAGAGATGAGTTACACTTGCATTAGAGTGGCAGGGATTTTGGATCATACATGTCGACTTCGTCGATGAGATCGATGCTTGTTTTGGCCATTTTGATGCAGGGAAAGATGCTTGTGTTGTTGTGCTGGTGGGATTTTCTTGGTTCGTGACTGATCTGTTATCGTATATACTCAAATAGATAGATGATGAAGTCAATGTTGAGTAACAACCGACTGTTTGGCAGTGAAACGTTGATGCAGTTGCGGGCTTTTCCCAACGTTGGTTTATATGCGAGATCGGCAGAGCAAGCACCTGCCCTCGAAATGTATGCTCTTTGGGAGTGATTATGATATGGAGTTCCGGCTGTTGTCTGTCCGGGCTTCTCGGTGAAGCTGCATCAGGAAGTAGGTTGCTGTGCTTTTACCGGGGTCAGCGACGAGATACTTGTGTCATGTTGGTAGCCCCACGCTGCTCAGTGAGACCAAGTACGTTCTCCATGTACTCCAGAACCCTTGACTCTAGATACACTTCCAAGTGCTCCAGAAAGTTGAGGGATACATTCCCCTATATTTTTAGTCTCGTATACTATATCCGAATTCTCAATGTTTCTGTCACACTATATTGAAACATCAAGGGTCGACTTGGCATGCAATGTCCTGTCCCCTACCCTAAAGACCCCTGTGGGGAACCAAAGGGGTTTGGCTACCATATGAGGTCACTGCTGATCAGATTGCTACCAGAATTCCACTTGTTTCTAGATTACCCTCGAAACACCCACCAATCGTTTCACACTAGACTACCAGCGAAACACGACAAAGAATAGCCTGGACCCTTATTAAACAAAGGACTCACCACAGCCTTCCCCTCCCATCCCTGGTTAGAATCAAATATTTCTTTATCATATGATCTTACGATTGAATATATCTTACTCATCTCGATTTTAGTATCATCATGTCAAGCCCACTCTTTGGCATCGTCCCTGCGGGCCAACCACTCATCACAGAACCTTCTTCAACCCCCTCTCCAACCTCACTACTCTACGCTCTCCCCACCACAAAACACTTCTCACATATTGTTGTCTTTATGCTACCAGGCATAAGTCTCCCACCGAACACTGCCGCAGCAATCTACCTAGCAACAGCCGCCGATGTCGCAGCAGCAGCTCAGTCAGGCAGCACACCCAACTTCCGCTTCCTTGGAGGTATAGGCCCTGGAAAGGAGAGCGCGATGTTCAAGGTCAGCGGTGGAGGAGAGGCCAGCGATTTAGTAATTGGTGTATCAGTGGAGTCAGAAGAGTCTGTTGGCCAGCGCTTGCAAGAGCTCGCTGCCACTAAGTCTGGCAACTCGTCAGGCGGCCAGCCCAGTACGGCCATACTCGCACAACGCATCATCCAAAACGCATTCAACTTTCTATCAAGCTTTAGCGGTACAGCAGGACCTGGTGGTGTTGAGGTTGTGCCGCTCAAAGCCTTTGAAAACTGGTGGCGCAAGTTTGAATCAAGAGTTCGGGCAGATCCTAGTTTCCTGGAGAAGCAGTCAGATTAGTGTTGGCTTATGCGTATCTGGAAATGCCTGATCAAAGCCTCAAGGTGTATAACATTCGGGCAGGGAATATCTTCAATGGCGAAAAGGCGAGTCTGGCATGGCATCAGGGGGGGGGGGGATTATAGCAAAAAAGCAACAGACAAAAGTACCTGCTTTGAGCGACTGACAAGATCGATTAATTGAATACCAATTCGCACAACTGAGCGGACGCCCCTACCGAGAAACATCGTTGTGAAACACTCCCAGAAGCTCCAAACAAATAACGTAGTGTGATATCCAAGAGAGACTCCAATTTCGTCGCCAAACTCAACCAACAGATCAACAACTGCCACGACTCTGTTTTATGGTATATGCGTTCTTTTGAACGCCATGTCTTTAATGCTCCTCCAGTTCCCACAAACTCCCCGACGCCGTGATGTTGACCCCTAAAAAATACCAGATATATATAAATTTCGCATTAATACGTCCCCATGAATCATATTGAAGCGCTCAATCTTCCCGCACAGGCGACATGAATGGACTCTTCGCACGAGTTGGGCTGCCGTTGCGGCTTTTTCGGCCAGCACTCAATAGTGAGGGCGATAGCCGTTCTCGACTTTCAGTCCGCACTACAAGCCCGGCACGATCCATTGCTGACGGAGGGCGAGTGAGTTCGTCCGCGCGGCCTGCAGAGATACTAGGTGTTGCTAGACCCGATGTTCGTCCCTTTCGCGAGCCATTACTACTGCTGTCCGAATGATCGTGTTCATCCGAATCAACATCGCCCAACTCAAAATCAGAGAAGTCACCCTCCTCCATTACTCTCTCATAAGATGGCCCCGAGTTTCGTCCGAAGAGCTTGTGGACAAGAGAGGAGCCGCGGCCTGGTTTCCCTGATCGCTTTCGCCGGCTAACCATGCTGAATATCTTTCTTCTTCGCTCAGGCTTGCGGAGCAAATAGGCGGCCAACAGAATTATCAGAACAAATGCGACGAGTCCACCGGTTGACTTTCCAGGCTTCTTCAGAAGATCTTCCAGGTCATCATCATCGTCCTCGTCCCCTGTGTGGGGAGCGATAGGTGAAGAACCGGCGTGCTCAAAGTCCTTCGCTATCCCCTTATCGACATTGCTTCCAAAGCCGACAGGCAGCTCGGAACCGGATGGAGGAACTTGTCCGGCGGCGTATAGGACCATTTTACCCAAAGTCCAGCTTAATTCGATGCCATCGATTGTGTCCACCGGCCGGAAAGGGTCGTTAAATGACTTCTCACCATCGTCCTTAATGGTGTCGTTGGCTGCACCACCTTCGAGACCAACACGAGGGATGCCAATTCCGTCGTAGAGCATATTAATCAGCCATGAGGCCTTGAAACAAGCCAAACGGGCCTCGGCTGCCTTCTTTTCTGGTGATTTCTTGCGTTTATCAAGATCACCCTCAATGTCCGACCAATCGCGACTGCAGAATTCCATGACATTGTTCTGATATGTCGCCAGATCGTAAGCCTTGTGTTTTCCGCCAAAGACACCATGAGTTGTATGCCAGTATTCCGAAACACCAACGAAGTGATTGATGTCGAAGTCGATGCCGGGTACATGCTGGCCGTTGACAAGGCAGGGCTGGTCTTCGCATGGCTTGTCTTTGCCCAGTAGAGGATAGGTTACCGTCAAACATTCGTCGAACTTTCCTGTACCAATCAAAACCGTCTTATCCGACTTTGATTCAACAAGTTCACCGTCTAGAGTAGTTCGCAAGCCATTAGGCATACAGGGGTCAGGCAGCTCCTGGGTAGAGTCAGTGTTGTAGTGTTCTTGTAGACGTTCGACATAACGGCTGCGGGCCTGATTGGCACCAAATCCGAGCCAAGTTGCAGTGAACACTTTGTATTCGGATGGTGATCCGTCGAGTGTTCGCATGCGCACCATCTTCAAATCATCCGCATGCTTTGCGGATTCAGTTGCATTTGGAGCAAAGGCAATCTGAGCAGATGCGCCACCCATATCGAGGAAGCCGTAGGTGTGATGATTCTTGCCATGGTCGTGCTCCTCAGGGTGATCGAAGCCGCCCAGCAAATAATTCGCCGCTATCCAGCCGTACAGACCCTCGGTTTCGCCAGAGATAACCTGAATATGGGCATCGCAATCCGGAAGAATGAAATTCGTATTCGACTGCAAGTATGTGCACATTGATTTGAGGAGTGCCGACTGCTGAGGCTTTGGTAGCAATCGCATGCCGGCAGTTGCCATGAGGTAAACGGGGGTCTCGGAAATCTTGCTGTCGGGGACTTCGTCGAGAGCGATATCGATCAGCTGCTGCAGATGATCGGGACCGATTTGCGCAGGCTTCTCTGCAAAACTCGAAACTCCAGGATGGATCTTCTTGTTTTCCTTGAGCTTGATCTTGGGGAGAGACTTGAGCTCGGCAGCCGACGCATCTTTGGCAGCTTTGGCGTGATTCTTCCACTTGTAGATGTATACTCGAGTTCCTGAGGAACCAGCGTCAAGAATGACGCCATATTGTGCTGTATGGGACACAACTGTCAGTCAAAGTCTACCAACAAGAAGGCGAATACCGACATGATTTACCCATTAGGGTAGAAGATTGAGGTTGTTCAGTTCTGACAGGTGCAACAGCGACGATAAAGACGGAGCAAATTAGATATGAGTTGGCGTAGCTTATTTGATCGTCGCGAATGTTCTTCTTGATAAGTATACCGCAATCGGCGTTGGACGAGCTGTTTCTAACGTTATGCGACGTTTCGTGATGTTGCGATACGGGGTGGATCCCTAATTGAACGAAGTTGATGATATTTCGACTTTGACGATAGCGAGAGCGTCGAGAAGATGAAACGATATTAAACTAGAGGCCGGCCCCCGAAAAGATGTCGTTGAATAGGTCTAGCAGGTGAAGCGAGTGTCGAGCATCATTCGGATGCGTAAGCGAGTGGAAGTTGGACGTATAAAGTTGCAAACAAGAGTCGTAGAACAAGATTCCAACAATGACAGGGACGCAGAAGTGAACAAGGCCAAAAGAGGGTTAGCGAGGATGAAGTTTGACAAGGATTCGACGAAGACACGAGACGGGAGGTGGATTTGGTGTCGAATTGATTGGATTATTGCGCACGGCGCAGTAGGACAACTGGTGATTCAAGATAAGGCAGTTGATAAGATGATAAGGGGGAAAAGGGACGAAAACAAAAACACAGGGGGGATTGCTTCGATTCCGTTGGCTCACTGGAATGGAGTCTGTACAGTATGCGGAATGGCGTCAGTAGTGCATACGCGGCCATGCCATCGTTAAGCTTTCCATCACGTGAAAGTCTAAGAATAGACATCCGCATGAGGTGAGGTCCGATACGGACATTGTCGCAAATTGATCGATCACACTCACTTACAGTCTCGTTTGATGGACCGAATGGCATCCCATGACCACAATCTATTTTAAAAGAAATATTTACCTACATTCAAGTGTATCATCTTTATCCGCATCCGCTCATTGCAATCTATCTATATCCTCTCTTGCTCATGAAACATGAAAGACGCCCCTATCTGTCCCAGACAACCAGATAACCAACCACCTGTCAGAGACGAGAAAACATGATGAAATGAAGGAAATAAAAACCAAGATATGACCCGGGGTAATAAAAAATCCAAAAAGATTCCGCGAAATATCCTCAACAAACGATCCCAACCTAATCTGTCTCGATGTTAAGAACGATCCATTTCAGCATAGCCCAGCTAGATTTCACTATCCTCCAGCCTTACCACATCAGAAGTCTTGTTTTGCAATCCCGTATGCGTGTTGTACTGCTCACGAAGTCCAGGGTACTTTCTCTCATACCACTGAATGCGGGCTTGCAGCCACAGTATGGTCGTTTGAAGTCCCTTTAATACCTGCAGCAGGGGAACAGGATCTTGTAGAATTGGACTCCAGCACTCCCATTCATGTGTTTGGCAGTACAGCTTGAAGGCAAACTCTTTCGCTACGAGTATTTGCTGCTCTAGCTCCGTTCTGATTTCCGTTAGCCGTTCGCAATTTCTCCGGATCGTCTGTATGTATGTCTCGAGACGAAGAATTTCAATATCATCTTGGACGACATGACTTGGACCTATCAGAGGTTGAGGAATACAAGATTCATCCAATAGTATCTTGAGATCCCGCTCATATTCAACAGTTCCGTTTCTCTGTGCATGAGGCGTGTCTCTGTGTTGGTGACCAGAGCCCTTCGCATTATCGAGCACAGGGTCAGAAACAAGAATGAATTTGCCGCTCTCCCCGGGTGGATGAGAGTCATCAGTGACGGGAACTGGACGAGAACCAGGGGCTTCATGCTGGTGCGCTGACTGACTTCGCTCAAGTCTCTCCCGGGAATATATATCTGTGTTGTCACCTGGTAGCTCCGCTGGTACAGGTGGAAGCCGTTGCAGTTCCATGGCGGGACGTGATATGGTGATCGGAGGCGACACCGTACCTTGGATTTTGGCTTGTTCAGCGAGATATTGTGCTCGTAGATTCTGAACTTTACCCCCAGCCCTTCTCAGCTTGTGCCATTCCCTGGTTTTCTCCCTGATGCGCGTGAATATTTGCACAGGTTTCCCGCCATCTCCCGAGCCTGATGGCTCAGATGACGGCAAACCCAGTGACGATTGGGTATGCCATTTAATTCTAGCGATGAAGCTGTCTTGCATATTTGATCACCTGTTGTAAAAGTATATGATGTTCGAAATAAGTGCTGTTCTCCCGACGGAGAAGAGGAGATCCAGTCTAGAATGCTGTGGAAGCTGCTGTATTTAATGTCTACGAATCAGTCACGACGTACTGAAAATGCATATAAGATTTCTCAACAGTCATTGTGTTCTCATCAAAGTCATTGATCGAACATATTTTCTATCAGTGTGAACAAAGTGCCAAACCAGAACACTGTTGAGTATATGACAGGCAAAATAACTATTGAATTTCCCCTCCTTTGTTCTAAAGTATCAGATACTACCACTAATGCAGGCCTTGAGAAAAAAGCGACGGAAGAGAGCGCAATAAGCTTGATGCCCTGAATGCGGTCACTTTCTTACTGTCCTGTCCATTTCATAGATGCCTTGAGGGCATATCCAATACTGGTGGGTTATTCGCTTGGCTGACTTTGATACCGGATGTTAGTCCAACACCTGCCAGACTACCCCGATGATGACTGAAGCCCGGAGCAAACGTGCTTGTAGACTGCCTTGTACCGCCAAAACTAGGAATTGGGGTTCCTGCGAGAGTTGGCAATGTCGTCGTTTGGTATACGGATGTTGTGTTGATGCCAGATCGGCGGAGGCCACCAACAGGGGCTTCTGATGTATCGCCTGTCATACGTCAGCAAGTACTGTCGGTTGATGAAATGAATGCTCACAATGGGATGACCCTCCTAGTCGTGGCCAATGGTTTCCTTCTCTTGTCATATTTGTATAGTTTCGTAAGAGGCTGGTGTTCATTCCTGAGATATCAATGCGATGACTCTGGCTAAAGGCTGGCGGAGGGATACTTTCAGCATTGCTTTGTGTAGGCAAGCTAACTTCATAGCCTGAGTCGATCTGGGTTGTTTGTAAGGTTGAGTCAACAGCATCCGATGCTGCCCTCTGAATCTGACCAAGCTCAGCCTTTCTCTTGACTTTGTCGTAGAGTTCTTGTAGCTGCAGAACCTTGCGACTTTTGTCTTTATAAGCTCGGGAGATTTCGCCATTCTTGCGCCGCAGAGCATCCTGTTCTGCTGCCAGACCTGCTCTGTGTCAGCTGAATAGATGCGAATTTGAGAGGAGTAGAGCACTGACTTGACAACTTGTGGTGAAGACCTTCGATCTCCGAATTAGCTTCGTTCACGGTCTTCTCGAGGCGGACGCTGAGATTTGAGTACTTGTCGGTCAGGGTTTTGTATAAATACTGCTGGTAATAGATGTCTTGGGTGGTCTGGTAAGCCCAGAAGCTGAGAGCCCGACCGGCACATTCCATGATAACGTTGGGGCTCAGTCCGCTTAAAACACTGGTCTTGTAATCTTCACTTGGATTCAGGTTCGTAATCACGGCGTCGTCCGGATTGGTTAGTTGCGAGTGGCAGGCAGGGCATGTGTTGCGGCGATCAGCTTCCTGTCCGTTGACACCGAGTCGCTGGGCGCATTCCATGCAGAAGATATGGCTATTAATTTTGATGTCAGAAGGCCGCTGGCATCTGAATGTCATATGCTTACCTGCATGTCGTTACAAGTGCACGTTCGCTCAGCTCTCTTCGACATTTGAGGTTATTGCACGTGAGTGCGTGCTCCATGTCTGCTCTTCTGTGATTCTATGCCCGCGTCACGAAAAAGGACCGTGCCCAAGAATGGTTTTTTTGATGGAAGGGGATGGTTTGCGATTCATCTTGAGGATAGGAACGGCATGGCTGATACTAACAGACGTGGGAAGGAAGAACACCGCGATGATGCCTTCCAGATGTGGAAGTTCAAGCTTACACTTCAAATCACCTCGACAATGGAATGGAGAAACTGAAAACAGAGACAATAAGTTAAGGGACCTTAGCTAAGGTACTCAAACATCAAGAGATATGTATGTGTTTGCATATAGATACTACCTAGGTAAGGTAGGCAAAGTAAAGTACCTAGGTAGTCATACTGTAGATACCTAAAGTAAAGTGAAGCAACGTAAAGCAAGTAAAGGGTCGTGACCTCGTTTCATTGTCGTAAGCTGTGATCCGGCCAAAGGAGACGACCTGCGTCCCCGGGGGTGCATGATGCCCCTATACCCACTCAGAGTCGGGAATCGCATGTAAAAATACATCGAGAAAGGTTACATTTTCGTCATCTCATTTCAAGTGAGCCGTAGATTCCACGCTCATCCTCATACATCGAGTGTTGCATCGGAGTGACCAAGTCATGGCCATATGGCTGACCCTCCATCATAGATGGCACGGGCACTGAGCTCCACTGCCGTGAGCTATAGTCCCACCAGGTTTGTTGTGTGAGATAGCCGGATCCATCATTGGTTTCAAGTTGTTCGGTGGGTATCTCAAATTCAAGCTCTCCGATGAGTGAGTCGAGGTCAGCCTCGAGAGAAGACTGAAGTTCCAGGAGGGAGTCTGATGGTACCAGAGATGTGTCTGGCTTGGGAAATGATGACTCGAGAGGTGGCGATGGAAGAGGATCTCCAAGTGAACATTGTGATTGAGCCAGGAGGTTGATAAGTTCCTGTTTGTCCATGGTCCGCAGTGCAGAAACGTCATGGTTTGGGTAAAGGCGCCGAAGCACTGACCTACACTCCTCGAGAGATTGTGCCAAGCTATCCAGAGCCCTGGAGGACGGTTAGCTGAAGAGATCTTCAGTTTTTGACATGTCACCTACTTTCTGGATGGAATCATTCGTTGGCGATGTTTATCGTAAGAGCAGCTCTTTGGAGCACGGCTGGTGATGCATTGGCCGCATGGCAGCTTGCCATCGCAGCGGATCTTTCTTCGTTTGCACTCGGTACAGGCATGGGGAGTCGTTATGCGCCGTGTGCCGGCGACCCTGGGTCTTGCATTGCTGGAAGCAGCGGGCTGCTTTTTGGGAATGATGCCCTGGACTTTGGTGCTGTTAGGACATGGAGACGACGATGATGTGTTGAGGTTGACTTACAGGTATGAAAGGAGCCACCAGCGGCAACCTTGGTACTTGAAGGAGACATGTTAACAAGGAGTTGACAGCGCTAGTCAGGAAGATATTCCTATTGTGCAAGCCACGAAGAGAAAGGGCCCCCAAACTTTGATCTGTGTAAGGCTGGACACCACACTTATTAAGTAGTGCTGTTAGTGAAGCAGGTCTGCCAAGTACTTTAGAGTAGCGGCGACGATGTTACTGTCGAGCCGGCGCCACCCCTAGCAGATAATGCGGAGAAGGACGCTGCAAGACGTACGGGAATGGATCGTGGGGAACAGGAGAGCAGGGTCCTCATTCGTGGGATGATGCAAGTCCTTGAAATGGACGCATGAAGAGGGACGATCCAGAGCGTATGGGGTAGCGTAGCATAACACGACACGACACGACACAACACTACGCAGCAGACAACTGTTTTTGCCCGGAGAGATGAGAGGGGGGCGGCTATGACATTTGACTATGCCCAAGTAATGGGACGTGAAATTAAGAGCAGGTTAAACTCAGGGTCCTGTCTGTTGACGATTGTCTTCGGGCATGGCGACCCATTTGGAAATGCCTGCAGAGGTGATTTGCTCAGAGTAGGACGAGACAGGACGTGATCTGCTGGGCCGCCTCCACGACAGATCAGTTTCTGCGCGTCATTTCGTGTATTGTACCCGAGGTTAATTAGACGCTTCTGCATTGCATCGAGACCGGTGAAAGACAGCACCGGTAATATCTGTATCCGTACGAATACACGAATACTCTCAAGACATCAAACCAACAATCACAATGAGGCAGGGCAGGGCAGGGCAGGGCAGACAAGCAAGGCATGGTGATGTGAGGTGACGATTCAGGAGTATCTGCAGTTCCAGCGTCGAGTCCAGCCCAGCCGAGCCCAACGCTATCCCCTCACCATTGCAAGCCAATCCAACCCAACCCAGCCCTTAATGACGGGCATATTGGCTTGGGCGGCCCGAAGCATTCACGGCAGTCGACTGGTGGCTGCAACGGAGGAGTAGTAGTAGTAGCAGCAGCAGAGTCCAATCTTGTAAGCAAGATCTCCAAGAGGCCTCGGCGTTGCGGTAGCTCCCTTATTCCCGAAGAGTAACAGTAGCATCGCCTCGCATCCATCACACGTCGCTCCCTCGTCATGCTTCATCAACACCAGCACCTTGCAAGTCCAAGTCGGTGGATGGGGACGTGATGGGATGGGATGACTGCGGTGGCTTAATGCGACAGGCAACAGGGCAGTAAAAGGCCACGAGATGAAGGGGCCAGAGGGTCGCGCTGCATGGCCCAGATGCATGTACATGTAGTTCGAGCCGCCGATTGCTGCCCTATCACGTTTATCCATGCCCTGGCCCCCTGGTCGATTTGCATTTATCCAGGAACCACATCTCAAGCTTCCTATTTCGGACTTAGCAATTTTATGGTTAAGTTGACAAGTTACGGGGAATTTCTGGGGAAGAGAGTCAATCGATGAACCAACATTCAGTGAATGATCTGCTTTGACTGTACAATTGAGGCGTACATACATGTTGGGTTGACAAGCGAGATCGTGTACTACATAGAGTGGATTACATGTTGGCTCGTATATGTAAGAGATCTATCTTTCTGCCAGATCGACCGTCAATCTTTGAGCTCTCACAACACAACACAAAATGAAATAAAATAAAATAACCAAAGAAAAAAAAATCAAAATCAAAATCAAATGTAATTCCGCTCTCCCTGATTAATTTTCCGTCAAGCGCTATATCATGCAGGCATTCATCCGATGTTACCACTCGCCTCCCCATTGACCTTAGTCTTGCCTTAGTAATTAACCACATCACACATCACCTTGCTTTTAGAACAAAAGCGCGCACTTCACGCACGCACGCACGCACAAGCAAAGCGAAGCAAATCAAATCAAATCAAGCAAGGCAAGCGATTCGTTCACATGGACAACCTCCGAGGATGGGACACCAACTTCCCCAAGGTACGGAGTACAGAACGCACTCTTGTCAAAAATGAGCCTCGCATCGCGCGTGTGATCATTAATCGACCCATCGGAGACTTCTTTCATACCACTCACAGAACTCTGGTTAATACTCCCTCTACCAAGGGTCTGGGATCCTCGGCCCGTTTCTCTGAATCCCCTCCAGCTCACGACTTCTACCCCGGGTTTTCCCCTCCAAGCCCTCCAACTGTTTCGGACCCTGGTTACCTTTCAGGGAAGGTGACCGTGATCCGGCTGGATAATAGTCCTGATACCGAACTCCGTGTCCACTGCTCGTCACGCTCCACGAGACTCGGAGACTCCCTTCAGAGGCCCGCTCACTGCTCTCTTCAGTTTACGAAGACCTGGGGTTCCCGGCGCCAAGATTCATCCACTTCAGAATGAGCCGGCCTGATTTACCGACCATGTTCCCACGTGAGTTGGCTATCGGAACACTCTGGCAGGCTCTCGCCCGCTGTCCTCAGCCTCGGCGCGAGAAATGGCCGCCTCTGCCCCTCCGGCCGGATGGGTCTGACTGTAACGAGCCATTCCAAACAGCTTCGTGATTCTGCCCTCATCTAATTCATCGACATGTACGGATACGTCTGTCTGTCTGTCTGTCTGTATGCATGCGCTGGACACTTCAAAGCCACGCCTGAGATTCCAGGTCGAGCGGCCAGTCGGAGCGTAAACCCGTGGTTACCATTATGCCCGGATTCAACATCGGACATTGTCTCTATCAAGAATAAACTCAACCCAGAACTAACCCTCCATCAGCAGCTCAACACCCTATTCTTTGCTTCTTTCTGACGTTTTGCATGAATATTGAATACTCTGCTGCCCTGAGCACTTTGGCTTTGGCAACACTCGACACGCCCTGGACACAAACACGAAAATCCTGTTCTGGCGAGGCATGAAGCAGAGCTACAGTTAAACCTTGGAAAAGATCTCGGAAATCTCGGGCTCTCCGTCACACCAGATACTAGAATCTTGAAGAAAGAACCTCATTCTGTCCTCTGATAGGCACGTCGTTAACATCCGGTCACGGTCCTTTTGCATTTCCGTCGATCATAATACTTGTAGAATGCTGAGAGCCCCTGTAACATCCCCAGCAGCAGTGAAGAAAACAGTATAGTGGCACTTATATACCCCATATGTGACTCGATCTGATAACATGTCATGGCAGCACCCCTCAAATCCGGCACTGGAGACCCCATGAGCTTGCACTCGTTCAGACTAGTAGCCGCCGAAATTCGGTGCCAAGTGTAGACTAGCAGAGACGGCCCAAAATAATGCCGAAGATTGATTCGATTTCGCCTAATATCCCGTGGTTCATGTACAGATGTGACCAGAGGTCACCAAACCTACAGTTTGACAAGGCCATCATATACATCAAATATAGCTTAGCCGAGTGATGGCTGGAGACAGTGCTCCTTGCGAGATCCACATGAGATCCGGCGCGTTAGGTAAACTTTGTTATTAGCCATGAGTCTAATGATGTTTTCGTTGTTGTGGTAATAAACCTCCGGACGTATTATAGGGGCAGTGCTGGACATCCGACCTGCTTCATAGGAATATAGGCCGCCACCAATACACGATCAACAACTACATTGCACAAACTTGGACATGAGGTCTTTGTTACACTCTTGGCCTCAATTGCTACTTGGACATGCAGGTTGTGCGTACCTTACAGCGGAGGTCAGACAGCACTAGGCTTGAAGAACTTGGCAGTCGATGTAGAGGCGGTGGCGACGTCCAGCAAGAGCAAAAGCTTTGCTGAAAGAAGACGTCGTATTGCCATAAAGCGGTGAGTGGTAAGCCATTCCGTGATCCGCCCTTGATACGACTGTTGATCAACTTGAGACGTGGTAGAGCGCTTGCCACCTGACGTCCGGGGTAAAGAAACACTCCCTCCCAATCCACCTCCATTGAAGCTCCCGCATTCTTCGCTAAAGCTGAACAATAAGAGGACTTACTGGTAGCCCTATGAGACTAGCAAGCTAGGTTGTACCTTGATGATTGCGGTCGTTTCTAGAGAGTTCCCGTCAAAGTTCTCACAGCCTCCACACCAGCAACAAGAGCGTCGATCCAGAGGCAGATGCGACTCAGGCAACCCTGCTAGCGTATATAGGTATCTCGGGAAGATGCGAGAGAGAGTTTTCGGCAGGAAGAGGCTTTTAACAATTGGCAATATTCAGCAAGGGTGACTGACGGTGGATGACTTGATCAGTTTTGCTGGGGCAAGGAGCTCGTGGCAGGCGAACTCAAGTACAGCGCTAATTCGTTAGCCACAACGTCCCTTGCCAGAATATAGGTAGCTAAACTTTAGTATAGTTATCTTACGATGGCAAAAAGGAACGTAATTCCTCACCGGTTCCTGGCCTGATATCGAGATGACATGTTTGATGCCAGGAGTGTTGATGGCCCCGCAACCCACAACTATCACCGAATGAGGCCTTGTTTGTACGTACTCATGATTTCAGGAGACTGCGGAAACGCAGTCTTTCGATGAAACGTGACTAGTTCTGATAGTGGGACTGTCTTAGTCAAGCAACATGACCTGCTCATATGCCAGGAACATCGGGAGACGTCCCGGACGCTTCAATGCATAGAACATGCAGGACGAAGTGGCCATAAGCAACACCATCATCATGTCAAGCACATACGACCAAAGGTAGTGGAAAATACGGGATCCCGTCCGCTCTCCCATAGTCAAGCCACTAACCGGCGGATTAGTAGTTGGGTCGGTGACGACCAGCGAATCCCCGCTGTTGTATGTTTTTTGCTGGATGTGTGTCTCTTCTTGTCTTGGGCTTCTTGCTTCATATGGGAAGTATCGTCTTTTGTTCACGGCTGCGGCGAACACGTGGTCGATATCTGTGGTTGGGGTTGAGGGAGAATCGCGATGTTGAAACCGAAACCTGTTCTCATTCAGAAGATGGCGTCAGGAGACCCTACCACGTTGAGCTACTCCACGATGTCCATTGCTGCTTTTCAAAGTCGTTCGATGCGATGTTTTCTATTGTGAATCCTTCTATCCAGTCATTAATCGTGACATTACTCCGTTTCCATCTTTCCCATAAGATACCTCCAAGGGCTGATACTTTTTACAGGCGGAGGACCTGACAACGGCTGTCGATACCGTCGAAGATACAAGTGTTGTCGATGGGCACATATTGCTTGGTGATGATCTTGATCATCTCTTGAGCAACCATGCCACCCGTGAGGGCTGATATGTTGTGAAGCTCGCCGCCGGCCGCGCGCTCAACCTCTTGGGCAGTCTTCTTGTAACGTTCATTTTCCGTGGCTTTTGGTGCGGCCTTACCAATGAAACCCATAATCTCATCTGCAGAAGCAGTCTTGGTATTTGATGTTGCCAACAGGGCGAGGTACAGTGGGACCAGGGATAGAGGCATCTCGGGCCCAGCAAAGGCTGACATCTCGTCGTTTGCTAGCTCTTGTTCTGTACGCGATATGTTATTAAAAGCCCTTCTGACCAGAAAGAGCTGTACTTACCGACAAGCTTATCGAGACTGGTAGTCTTGTCTCCAGGGGCATTAATGAGCTTGATAAAAGGAGCATTCTTGCAGAAGAGCTCGACCTGCTCGGGGTCCACGTCCTGACCGCCAGGAAGACTTCGAGCGGTTTCCAAAACTTGACCAACATCCTGGCGAGCCCGTTCTTTGTAGATGTTCTGTAGTTTGATGTACACGTTGGATTGAGCCTTCATGTCAGGCAGTCCTCCAGGGACAGGTAAACGGCCATGTTCGTCATAGAATCGTTTCACAGCCTCTGTGATGACCCAGAAGCCAGATTTGATCTCCTCCTGACAAAGGTTAGTGATAAAGTCAACATTGATTGCACTTGTTCTTACAGGATCTTGGTGCACATAGTCAAAGACTTGTCGAAGAGAACTAGGAAGGGAGGGGGTTACGACATGCTTCATCACAGCAGCTATAGCCTCTTCAAAATTCTCTTCACCTCCCTCAGGGTTGTCTGTCCTCATGGCTTCGGAGACAGTTTTGCGGAATGCGGTCTTGTCGATGTAGCTGGTAGGGTAATCGCCGTCGTGAGCTTGTTTCCATTGCTCTAGATAATGAAGGAGAATGACGACCATAGGTAAGTGACCATGCTCATGACTATCGAGGTTGTCGATGTTTTCAGTCATGCTCTGGGAAAACTCAAGGAGTTCAGGCCAAGGGGCTAGAAGTCGCAGATCTGTAGTGGCGGTCTCGTCGGGATGGGTGTCAACGATAGGAAATGTGCCGGGTAAGGTGGTCTTGAAGTAGGAGTAGTATCCCACGGAATGAACCGCAATTGTAGGAATTTTATATTGGTGAGAATAATTTTGAATTAGCTGGACCTGATCTTGAGGCAAAGGCAGAGCATATAGGATCATGGTGAATGTTGGCGAGCTACTGAGAAGGTGATCTAGGTGGAAAGATTCATCCTGAGATATGTCAGTGGGATGGATCATTGCGGCTGGGCAGATTGAACGACATACCTGGGTTTTAGGATACCATTCACCCTGTACTTCAGGGTTAAGTTCCAAGAGAAAATTGGTGCAAGCTTCAGCTCTGGACTTGCCCAGCCAACTATCATCTACGAAGAAATTGACACCCAAATCTTGATGAGTTACAGCGTTCTGGTCGGCAATGGTGAATCGGCCAATACCAGGCAGAACAAGATTCTTGAAAGTCTCAACGCCGACAGTACCAGCACCGGAGTTAACGAGGAGAATATTGGCCGACTCGAGAGCAGCCTGACCAGAGGCAGCCCAAAGTCGGAGTTGGCGGTCATATTTCCGCTCCTTCTCTGATGGACCTTGAAGTACCGGAGGGGTCTGGATCATGACATCGGCCATATTGAGGTCCGATGCTGATGAACGAGAGTGTACTTGTACGTGACTGTGACTGTGACTGTCCAGGTAATGATGCGATGTGGCACCGCGTAGCTTGCTCTGTAAGAAGTCACACAGCGAGCAGACGGACTTCGGATAAACGAGTGCCGCGAGACCCTCGACAAGATGTCAGAGACTGCTGGTATAGATGCTATTGATGAAGCTCTCGAATGGAGTGGGTGAAGACGGTGTCGAATAATCGGGCAAGGTTGCTGAGTAGTGCACTGCCTAGCAATAGACCAACCATTTCCGACCACTCACTGTTCGACGTGGGGCTAAACTGCGCTACGTCACAACTGGGAGTAGCCGCTCAAGTGGAGTACTCGCGTGGTAGAAGCTCGTGATTGGGTTATCTTTGTCGGAACTGCTGAAATTGTGCTCTTGCCTTGTGATGACTTTTGAAGGAATAGATGTGAGACACGAGAAGGATATGGGACGGACGTAGAGCTGGTGATTTAAATGAAATTATTTTGGCTTCTTGTATTAGCTTGGGGACAATATCGAAAGTATATTACAGTTTCTCGCCGAATTTGAGGGCACAGCTCAGGACACCCGAAAGTAAAAGCCTTGAGGACGAACTTGAGCCGGGCCAACCATTACATGCAAATAACATTAAATTTTGTTGTGATGCTCTGACGATGATAGTTACCAAACTATTGAGCTAAGTGAAGAGAGAAAAAGATATAACTGGTTAAGGTTTACTAAGTCCATACTATTTAAATTTACCCAAACCTTTTCTTTTTGTGGTTTGAATAGAGGCCCTGAGATTTTTTGCCTGCCCCTAGGGATACAAGCCGTCCCACTCGTTCCAATATGACCGACCCCAGGCTCTATGTATGAGGTAATGCAGAATCCTTCGGCAAAAAGATGGAGTGATTGCAAAGCCTAGGGCACCAGGATGAGACGTTTAATCTTTTGAATGGACCTTATGACCTTAAAGATGAAACGGAAATCCGTGCTGAACTTCACCGTCCGCTCTCAACGTTATACGGTGGAAGATGCGTGATTCGCTGATAAAAACTCCGAGACCGACACTTGCAGCCAAACAAGCATTTCTCTGCACGACCGGACTTTCAGATTCTAGCAAACAGCTTTTTCGATACATCGGAGAGCCGCACGTAACCATAAGTAGCTACTTTGCCTTACCCAGGAGGTATCTAGCGGTTTGCTCATTTATCTTCAAGCTTCAGGATTGGCTTCCTTTCTTCGAATTGATTTCCCATTTACGCCTAGCGCTGGCCTTCAAGATCTTCAATCCCCCATCTATCAAGCACCCACGGATGAGACCTTGGGATCTGCCAATCATTCTACGAGACCATCATAAGCGAATGCGAGAGTGGACCCTCCATCACTCCACTTCAACGTCCTCAAGCTGACTGCTTCACTAAGATAGCTCGGACTCGCAGCCGGGAAGTCATGTTGGTCCCCAATTCTCATTTTAGTGATTCTCATAGCATGTCTCGCAAATCTTTGGCCGGGGTCATTGTATGCGAGAGATGCATCATCGTCAGCGGAATGCCTATATCCAGATCTCCGGGACCACTTACTTGCAGCCCTCATCCTGATCATATAAGGGACGGAAACTTCTGATCATTTTGTTTTAGTATAACAAAATATCAAGACTGATCGAGACAAACGAAGCACCAGAATAAAGCCCTATTACTCGTACTTGCTACTTATTGTTTGGTGATCGAGAATCCCCACGCGCCAGTGATTCAGCCAAACCTGCTTGCAGTGCAACATTTCCTGAAGATTTTGGGGCGTCCATCAGGACTACCCAGCTCCCACAGTCAACTACTTCATCCCACCGTTGTTGCAATCTTCTTGGAATATACCACAGGAATCTTGTCGCCTTTCTCATCTCCTTTCACACACCCATCATGGATGCAAGAGTAAATGAGAAGGATACGCGTACCCAAGACGATGGCAAACCAGAAACCATTTCGGGCTCCCAAACAGAGCGCTCACTTCCCGTTTCAGACCGCGACGAAACTGAAGTCCATGTAATCCCACCTGCTCGTTTCTGGGGCCTCTGTGTTGGGTATGTCCCATCATCTCTTGCCCTAGCCCGCTACTAACACACACTTCAAGAGTCCTTCTAGGCCTGTTCCTGTCTATGATCGACACCTCTATCGTTGCAACAAGTCTACACAGTATCGGAGTCGACTTTGAGGTCCTCGAGGACGTCAACTGGGTTGCTCTTGCATACACTCTTGCATATCTCGGATGCGCCATCGTCTTCGCTCGTATATCCGATATTGTTGGACGTCGCGATGCCTTTATCGCAGCCTATATAATCTTCTTCATATTTTCTCTTGCCTGTGGCTTTGCACAGAGTATTAACCAACTCATCGCATTTCGTGCTCTGCAGGGCATCGGAGGTTCAGGTATGCTCTACTGAACCGTCATATTCCCCATGTCGTTAACAGAGTCAGGACTGTACTCTCTCACGATGATCATGCTGCCTGAAATCAGCCCAGATAGCATGAAGCAGCACATAGCGGCTCTGGTAGGCTTGGTCATTACCATGTCAGGTGTCCTTGGCCCTGTTCTGGGTGGTATCTTGACACACTATGCTTCTTGGAGATGGGTGTTTTGGATCAAGTATTGCTCCTCCTTAAGATAGATGCTTTATCATGTAGCTAACAACTTGCAGTGGCCCTGTTGGTTTTGTATCTCTCGTCATATTTATCTTGACTTGGCCTAAACCGGAATACCTACCATCACAAGAACGACGTGCTTGGAAAGAACTTGACTTTCTTGGGTCCCTCCTTGCTATTGCTGCTGCAGTTTTGGTCGTTTTCTCATTTCAGAATGCTGGCACAGAAAGATCTAACGATGGATGGAAAACTTCCATATTCATTGCACCTCTGGTTTTTGGCCTGCTTGCATGCGGTCTACTCATTGCTTGGCAGATCTTCATTCAGCATCGATGGCACGATCGGTTTGCTTCCGCATTCCCAATCATTATCTTTCGCAATAGGATCTACTCTACTGCCGTTGTCAACACCCTCCTCAACGGCTTTCCTTACTTGCTGCTCATCTATGCCATACCCCTACGCTTCCAAGTTGTTAGTGGCAAGTCTGCTCTCATCTCGGGCGTCATGTTGCTCCCCATGTTGGGGACAGCCGCTATTGGCAGCCTTTTAGCAGGCAAGATTAACGCCACCAAGAACTACACCTTTGAGTCATTGGTACTTGGCTCAAGTGTTATGACAATCGGCTGCGGATTGCTCACGTCGCTGTCACATGAGCCCAATGATGCAAAACTTCTTGGTTACATGACATTTTGTGGTCTTGGCTTTGGCTTAACCGTCGCGTCTTCGACAATGTTATCAACGGTTGAGGTGCCTATTAGGGACTATGGTATGCATCACACCTTGGGTCGTGGAAGAAGGCTTTTGCTAACAACACATCATTAGCGCCCGCACAGGGTATTCTCTCTCAAGTTCGGCTCTTAGGTGGTAGCTTGGGCATCGCAGCATCATCAGCCTTGCTGAACGAGAAAAGCTCAAAGTATCTTTCGGGTGTTCTTACGGCCTATGAGCAAGCAACAATTGGTGGTTCTAACACACATCTCACTAACGCACAGTGGTCAGCTGTCCGCTATACCTACGCTGATGCATTTCAGGTAGAGATGAAGATAGCGACAGTAGTTGCAGCTTGCTCAGTCATATCCGCATTTGGTGCCTTTCGAAAAGGGCGTCTTTTGATAGCCGAGCAAAGGAAGATAATTGTTAGAGAAGAGGAAGCTCGCCGCCGTGCACAAACGGCACAGGTTGTATAGAACAACCTCGGCTCATGTTTATACACAGGATATCATACCACACACAGGGTTGCATATCGGCGTTACAATCTTTTGACTTAAATATCTTTAGGGTTGTATTGTAAATCAATAGGGGTCTAGATCTTCTTCTTGTCAACTCTTAATTTTTCCTTGTCTCCCAGCAAAGGGTCACCGTAGCCTGCTAAAGCCACACACCTTATTTCCGCACTTATAACCAAGGGGAAGAAGTATGAGCTGCACACCACTATAGCCGCCACCACAGAAAGAAGAGCTATACAAGACATCATATTGAATGGGAAGCATCTGAGTCGTTGGTCGTTATATTATCTATGTGCCATCATCCATACTACTACCTTCCTCCTTCGTTGTATCCCGATACATGTCCACCGCTGCTGTACTTGGCCTCCTCGGCTTCATATCATTGAGGGCCTCACTCTCCTCATCAATATCGTCACCGTCATCCCCCTCGCCGTCGTCATCCGACGCGTCTGGCGACTCTGCAAGACTGTGCTGCAGTGATGCCATGAAGTCACCTGCTGCCTCAAACTTGGTGATCCCCTCCTTATGAGGTAAAGTCGAGTACATCCTCTGGGCCTCGTCAAGACATCGCCTTGCCTGGATGTGCTTGGACTGCTGAAGCCAGGCATCTGCGCTGAGCACGCTCCAAGTTGCTGATTTTCGACGGCGCGAACCCCAGTGCCAACTGCCGACCCCCTCTTTCGAACCATAGCAAATAGCGAGTCGTTCCTTTATCAATGCATCGCCCACGCTGCCCGAGATCTTGGACTCAAGAAGCCTCACGCCCCAGCGGCCTGCATCATCAATATTGGTCCCACCCCGTAAACGCAGCAGCTCTAAACCCAGGAGCAAGCTTCGCAATGCTCCGTAGGGGGCACTGCACCGGGTGTTGTAGGAGTAAAACGCAGCCTCCAACATTTGATCTATTGTCTCGGCACGATTCTTCGATGACATCTGTTGTGGGAGAAGTAAAAGACTTAGCGCAGCCATCTCATTGGCAGCGGCGTGATGTTTCCAGGCCTTGGAATCGCTAAAATCGGATCTCAAAAGATCATATGTTGAATGCGCCAGTTTCCAATCCCTCAACATGAAGGCGTAGTCCGCCAATTTTCGCATAATAGCCTCAGGGGCTTCTGATCCATAGAACCCAGCAGCATTGTAGTTGTCTCTTGCGTTGCTTGTACCTGTGGAATTCCTGGAGCTGCCGGTGAACGCCCACTTCCTGGATAAATTCATGAAGCGACCCGTGAGACCTCTTCGGCGGGAAGCAACTTGGTCATTCCACAACGATACATTTCGTTCCATGGTAGGGATGACAGACATGGTCACCATCTCACGCACAAACGTACGAATGGCAGTAGCATCAGATTCAAATATGTAGCGTGTTGGGTCCTCAAAGTCCTCGTCATCTTCACTCCTTCGGATATCTTCCAGTTCCTCTTGCGCTGACATCCAGTCGCTGCGGGGAAGCGGAATACTGTCGTCGTCTGTCTCGGCACTCTGGCTGCTTCTCAATCGAAGAAAATGGCAATGGGGTCCCATATTTCGTTTCATTTGTTCAAACAGCCCCATAGATCTTGTTATGTCGTCCTTCTCTTCATCGTGGACTAGGACATAGTATCGAATAAATTCACTGTCTACCCAAAGCGGAAGTTTTCGGCTCCCCTCCTTTGTCTCTGTGTAGAGTTTCTTTAGCTCTTCAAGAGGATTCGGATTCCGTGAGCTAATGGCAACAACACATGCTACCGGATGTGAAAAGGTTTCATGGGGTGAAATAGGAAGGCCAGATAGCAACCGTCGCAAATAAAGAGCGTAATATGGTGATGTCTCTTCTGAGCCCGTGTCTGGACCCGCGAACAAGCCATGCTGGGGCAGCGCTGCGAACGACTCCTCTGCATAGGACAAATGGCTGTTGACTACAGCTTCCGCGTCCATGAGAAATTGCTTATCCCTGGATGTGCTCGCTTGGCTGCCATTCTGACCTGGCGAGGATGCAGGATTCCTGAAACCCGAAACTGTGGGGTCGGGGTGTTCAATATTATCACCGAATCTTGTAAACCTGATAGAGAAGCCTTCTGCGGCTTTGCTCATTCCGTTGCTATCCCTGATCGTAACTTTGCCTGGCACGTCTTCACCAAAGGGTCTAAGTAGTTCCCAGAGACCATTTCGAAAGCCCTTCTCGTCCATCAAAGTATCTGTATCATGGGAAGAGTAGATCGAGACATGAGGTACGAATGCCCGGAGGATGAGATTCAAAGGTTCGGATCCATCGCCCCCAGTCTCAGGTAGTGAGCGGCTTGGTCGGGCATCGAAGACGGTATGGGAGAGAACTCGAGAGGGCGATCCTCGACCAGCTGGGGATATTGAGCGCGATCCAGGTGGAGAGAGAGTCGAGGCATATAAGGAAGCAGCCGACGGGTTGGAGCGACGAAAGGCCAGATTGGTTTCCGATTGCGATAATGGTAGTGACTCTAATACAGGTGTGGAGTGTCGCGACTTTGTAAGCTTCATGGCAGACGCGGCTGCGGGCAACGCCTGGAGCGGTTCCGTCGGCGAAGCTGCATTCTCGATAGATTGTGGCATGAAGGCGATGGCGAGCAGCGGCTTGCGGTGATGATGTCGGACGGGGTCGTAAACGTAGGGGTCCTAGGATATAGGTATGATATAGGGCCGGACTTCGGAGGATTATGAGGCGTAAGAAGGTGAGGGTGAAAAGCGAATAGTATAGGCCACAACTCGGCTCGGCATGATCCTGTCACTGAAGCAAATGGGACATTAGGTGAATATAGGTAACCAACGCCTTTAAACTTGAAGAACTTTGATCTTAGATTAGCAACAAAGGTTTGGCGACCATGTGGAAACTCGGGATATGATGGCGGTACGTATCCTTACCTCATTGTGGGTGTGCCCAGACCGGGAGAGCCAGGGACAGCGGACAACGGAAAGTTGAGCTCTCCACTGTAATTGCTCTACCGAGGCGAGAGCCGCAATATGTGATAGCTGCATATCTGTACGGGAACATTCAAGGTTCCTAACTCAAAAGACAAGTCCTGTCACTCTCCTTTTAACCCAGTCCTTGTCGCATCAAAAAACAAAATGCCTTCAGACTTATCAGCATATCTCGCTTCTAAATACTTGGTCGCCGACCCAAAACCAGCGAAGAAACGGAAGCGCAAGCGCGGCGCCGATGCCAATAATGGCCTTCTTATTACAGACGATGACGATTCAGGTTGGGGCAACACCAATACGCAACAGGATGACGAGGGAATAGATGCTCCGGTCACAGTATCGGGGCGATCTGCTGAGTTTCGAAAAACCAAGAAGAGCAATTGGAAGTCAGTTGGAGGCGACGCGACATCAAAAGATGATTCGGCTGCGGCTGCGGCCGCAGACGCGATTCTAGCATCAGCAGCAGCGGAGCAAAACGCAGCTCGCGATGAAGACGAGGACATGCCCATTATCGAAGATGACGAATCAGCTGTCAAGATGAGCGACGGAACACATGCAGGACTGCAAAGCGCAGCAACTGTTTCAGCGCAACTTAAACGGCGGCAAAAAGAAGAACGCGAAGAGTTCGAACGGCACCGCAAATCAGCAAAGGAGGAAGAAACAGTATATCGAGACGCCACGGGCCGAAGAATCGACATATCAATGAAGCGCGCCGAAGCACGACGTGCCGCTGCTGAGGCAGAGGAAAAGGAACGCCTGGCCAAAGAAGCTCTCAAGGGTGACATACAGCTTGAGGAGGCTCGTAAGCGCCGAGAGAAGCTACAAGATGCCAAGCTTATGTCATTCGCGCGTACGGCCGATGACGAAGAAATGAATCAGGAATTGAAAGAACAGGAGCGCTGGAACGATCCTATGATGCAGTTCATGGCCGAGAAGAAGCAAACAGACACAGGACAGAGCAAAAAGTCAAAACGCAAGCCAGTTTACGCTGGCGCAGCGCCACCAAATCGGTACGGAATCAAACCAGGCTATCGCTGGGATGGTGTCGATCGCGGCAATGGTTTTGAAGCTGAGAGGTTCAAGGCACTTAACCGTAGAGAACGGAACAAGGGACTTGAATACTCTTGGCAAATGGATGAATGAACGGGTAGAGTTTGATGCAGATATTCTATTATATACCCATTTTAAGCGCTAAACTAATTGACCTTATCCTCCATAAGTAATAATCTGAATGACAAGATGTATACTGTTGTTGGATTCCGATATTACGTCTGGTTCGGGGTGCGCTAACAAAGAAGTCGCAAGGCAAATAAACTCCAGAGGAGAAAAAAGACACGATATTGCCGCCCTGATCGGGTATCTATTCTTTTACGATCTTCGGCGAAGTCGCTTGTCAGGTCCATAGTCACAAAGCTTCTTGACAAGCTGAATCCACTCAGTCTTAGACATCTGGCCTGGTCTATCACCCAGACGGTGGTTGAAGAGCTTGATCAACTCGTTAACGGTGATGCCTTCGACGGGAATCTTGTCGAGAATTTCGGATGGTTCGACAGCTGAAGCTCCGGGTGAGCCAGGAGAAGCAGCTGCAAGACAATATTAGTTATAAATCTGTCTGAAATCAGTCCAAAGAAAACTTACCACCCTGGGTTGGGTTGGGACTGCCAGCTCTGGATGCCGAAGGAGTGCCCCGAGCACTGCTACTAACCAACTTCAACTTCTTCCTCTTGGGTGCAGCTCCATCTGACATCTCGCCAGCAGTTGCCTCCCCATCACTACCAGATCCAGCAGCCGTAGGTCGACGGGCGGCTCCGCCTTGTAAAAGAGGAGTCCCAGACCTGCTTCCCGTGGCAGATGTGACATTTTTCTTGAGCTTTTTGCGGGAAGATTCGTTTCCACTCGACTCGGAGAGTGCTGGGGAGCCGGCTCGCTTGAGCGACTTGCTCTTCTTAGAGCCTTCAGGCTTCTTCCCGGAGGGAGTATTGGTGCCCTTCGATCCGGAACCGCTCTGGTTCTTGTCGTCCTTATTGACGTCCTTCTTCTCGTCATCTTTCTTGTCTTCCTCTTCCTCCTCGTCGGATGAGTTGTCATCAGACTTGAAATATCAGTTAGCATTATTTTGACCCAAGTTGATAAAAAAGGACTTTACCGAGCTGCTCCATGGATTCTCTTCGGAATCGTCGCTTTCGTAGATATCCTCTCGATCTCTCTTGATCAATGCCTTCTTGGTGGCTTTGCCGAGCTTCTGTCGTAGAATCTCTTCTCGGAGTTGTTCATCCAGTTCTTTGTCTACTTCTTGCTCGTCGCCTTCTCCGAATAAGTTGGCACCGAGTTGTTCCCGACGAATACGGTCCTTGGAGTCCTTTGTGTCTTCATCGTCATTCCTTTCGAACATGGGAGCCTCATCATCATCTTGAAATTCATCGCCCGACATATCAATCTCATCATGCTCCAGTTTCTCTGACCTCGAAGCGGCCTTGAACGTGGCACTTTCAGTCTTGACCATCGGGCCGCTTCCGTAGAACATTTTTCTTGTGGCTTCCAAGTCTTTTCGCCCAGCTTTCTTCTCTTCGTCTCTCATGACCCAACGGCCCACATCCACCTTCTTACTCATAAAGGCCTCCACCTCATCAATGTCGTAAGTCTGGAAAGGAGGCTTAGACGTAAATTTGTACCACTTCTCCAGGGGGATCATGCGGAAGACGGACTGATCAATCATGAAGGCCACGTTAGATCCAGAGAGTGTGTCCACGAAGTTGCCAACCCAAACATTTTTACCCTCTGCATCTTCGAGATGCCATGGAAGAGCTTCCTCGTATCGCAGGTCGGACGCCTTCTTAGCAGTTTCAGTCTTGGGCGCCCGGTTGAACGTTGTTTTCTCCTCTTTTTGCTTCTTCGGTCGCTTGGGATTAGGGTCTTTGGCCACAGGCGCAATCTTGGCCTGGTCAATGGCGCGCTGAGCCTCCCGTTCAGCTTTCCTCTGCGCCTGTCTTTCCACCTCTTCCTCGTCAGCCTGAGGCGCTTCAGGTGCTTCGGTCTTGACGGCCCTTCCCGGAGGGGGTTGGCGAGCATCTCGTCGGTGCAATGTTACAGGTCGTGCGAAGTCGTCCTGGTCGGTTGGATCGATGGATTTTCCTCCTGCTTTAGATTGAGTGAACTTCATCATGTGGTATCGAATGCCGTCGAGAAGATCCTTCTTCGTTGTCATAATGGGGATGTCGTTGTACTTAGGTGGCGGTGGCTCTGACCAGCCACCATTTTGACGTCGAATCTCTTCAATGTTTGGCTTTGTTCCATTTGGCCTACCCGAAGCAGATGGCGCTGTCGGCCTGGGTGGTGGTCTTCGAGAAACAAGGGGGTTTGCCTTGGGATTTTTACGCAATGGCCGAAGGGGGTTTGGCTTCTGTTTCTTCGGGGCACCATTTGGATAACCAGGCGCATTGGCGGGCGGATTGCCTGGGGGAGGCGGCGCGCTCATGTTGATGAAAGAGGTCGCGCAATCGCGAAAGAAATCCCGGAAATGCTCTGACGACAACAGGTCACAGCCTGTAGCCTAGCTCTGCGCAGAGCGCGAGGCAAACTAAATCAACGCGCGTATCTGGAGGAGTTCGTAGATTATAGTGATGGGAGTTTGATGCTGTTTGTTTTATCAATACAGGAAAAGACTGGTTTTGCCAGGCGAGGGCGGAAAGGAGCTTTTTATGCCCGGACAAAGATGATGCTGAATGCAGGGACAAAGGTCCTGAGCAAGATGGTACGCCTACCTTATGACGATGACAAAGGCTCTGAAGTAAGAAGCCACATGTGGCTGTGCGCTCCCCAGTTAGCTTCCAGCCGCCAGTGTTCCTGGGCCTTGAGACCTTGAAACTATGAGGTATAGACCACAGGTCGGGTCTTCTCGAGTTTTACACTTAGATACCCAAACAAAGTATCCAACGAGGAGTATTGTTAAACGAATGCCCTGGCCCTGAAGCGCAAAGGTCGTACATAGAGCTTTCCTATAAAATCACTGTTTCTTGATCGCGTGGGAATGACGCATGGTTGCTACTGTCCAAGGACAAAGAGAATATAAACTCTACCTTTATCTATCACGGAATGTTATTTGATACACAGTGTCAACATGCGAATACTGTCATTTTGTTGTTACCCACCTGTCAGAAGTAGGTATCAAGCTTGGTATGACAGACACTTTTTCACTCACGAAGTGGTTTGCACAGTAAATACTACTGAACACAGCACTGTAGTACACTATGAATGCCTCTGGCAAACAGTGAACTCATAACTGCATTTTGTGGAGATCAGCAGCTCCAACCACGCCCAGCACATTTCAACATCACACCTGTACGACTTCATTGCCGCAGTCACGGCCCCCAACGAACAATTGTGCACCCAATCCATTAATCTCTCTAGCTTCCCACTTCGTCCGTTCCTTTGTTCATCCGTGTTGGTGAGACGAGGCCAAAGCATCTACACATCTTTGCCTGCCAGGACCCCTCCCTTCATCCAGTTGAAAGAAAGCGCAGAACTGAATTGGAGTTGTTGCATCCATCGAGTCTACCGCGCGTTAGGCTTGATGCGCCTTATCACGCAAGAAAGTGTTCTTTACGGAAGCGAATGTTGGGATAGTGTTCGCTGAGCGGGATGCAACTATTCACACCCTGGTCGACATTCTTACAACAAAGAGTTCTATCGCACGGAGCTTAACGGCAAGACCAATTCCGTTGCTCTATCACATATTATTTTTCTCGAGTCACAAATGGTTCCTCATCGGCGTGAGCCTCAGGTGGAGGCCCCTGGTGACTCCCAAGCAGGCCTTGAGAATCACTTGCGCAATCTGATCATCTCTAATGGCCCACCATTACACGATTCTGTGCCCAGGGCTTCTCTGCAGTCAGCTCCACTATCTCAGAGCAACTCAGATAACAGGGGTGATTCTGTTGAAACGTCCGACGGTGCCCCTCATCAGTCCAAGCCTGCACGGAAGCGGCTAAACCAGGCACAAAGACGCCAAATGAGCTCTCAACTATCCATATCTATTGATCCTCGGGCCCAGCAACCTCCCCCAGATAGAGCTTACCAAAGTCCGACATCTCAATACTCCCGCCCCTCTCAGCCTTATCAACGTCACATGCATACTGACACTCAGCCATGGGGAGCTCCTAGCGAAAATCGTCAAAGTGGCTCGTTTTCCCATCGCCACTGGAATGGCCCTCAGCAGCCTAGGTATCGAGGCTATGATAATACTCCTCCCTCCTCTCGAGGCCGCCCTAACTCTATGCCAATCCAATCGAACCGGAGTTCTGGTTACTTGTACAACACCAGACGCGCAGTTCAGTTCCATCCCGAGGAAATTGCAGCTCAGGATGCTCTGCTTGATCAACTTTGTTTTCAAGTCGTTTCCAATTCTGAAATCGAAAGGTCGGAAATAGCAGAAAAGGAGGAATTCCGTTGCAGGATTGAAACCATTAGTCGAGAGGTCATCGCCAACTATGAGAAGGAGGAAAGGCCAGAAACAGACTTTCAACCCCTCACAGTTCAGCTGAAATGCTTTGGCAGTCTGTCTTCAGGCTTCGCAACCAAGGCCTCAGACATGGATCTTGGTCTTCTTTCACCAATGTCTGCCTCCCAGCCTGATGCTCCAGGATCTCCTATACCGCGTCTCCTAGAGAAGGCATTCTTGGAAGCTGGTCTAGGGGCGAGGCTTCTGACCCGAACTAGAGTCCCCATCATCAAGCTATGCCAGTCCCCGCCGGAAAATCTTCGGCAAGGACTTCTTGAGGAGAGATTTCGATGGGAGAATGGCCTTGATGAAGCCCCGGAAGGTCAGGAAGATGATGAACACGATCCACAAGCAGCAAACAATGAGCATGAAAGTCAGCAAGACCCCCTTGCAGGGATTCAAAACAGTCCCACAACCGTTGTTGAGCCCGTATCACAGGATTCCATCCAAGTCGGCACGAAAACAATTGAACTTAAGCAAGGTCCCAGAAGTTCTCTCTCCTCGTACTATGGCTTGGCCAAGCGAGTTCTTCGTAGGGCCGGTGGCCGTGATGCTACCATCTCTAATTGTCGCGTACTCTCGGATGAAGATTGGATTCTATTGAACAGAGTGAGCGAGGCCTTCATCAGCGGTCTTGCGGATACTCGTCTTCGTGATCGCCTGTCCACGTACCCGTCTCTCTCCTTTGTGCAAAATGCAGACACTCCCACCAAACGATCTTTGCTTGGGGTATACACCCAGGTCGAAGGCGAACATATTCGGCAGCGCTGGGAGGAGAGTGGTGTCGAAGAGCGTAACCCGGCTTCTCAATCATTGACTGGGCAGGCCTTGAAGGTGTGGGAGGACGCTCAATACAGAGAAACCTTTGGTACCGATCCCATTTTTTTCACTAAAGAACTTCAATTGGCCCTTGACAAGCTCAAAAGGGCCCCTTCCGTGCAATTTGTGGTTTTGGAACAGGGTCAGCATGAGGCGCCTATGTCATACTATACGAGGGCACTCTATATTTTTAACGGACTAAAGCCAGCTAATGAACAAGCCATCTCAAAGTGGACGAGTATGCTTGTTACTCAATATGTCAGCGGTATCCATCAGGAGGAGATTCAAAAGATGTTACAGTCATGCATAACCACATGTTCTGAGTCCCTGTCGCTCAGAGGAGTCGGACTCTTACACAAATGCATCCATTTAGCGTGGGAATTTGAACGAGCATTAGATAAGGATTCCTACGATGAGTCCGTCGTCCAGGATGTTATGGACTATATCACGCTGCTGCGGTCACCTTTACAACAAAATGATCGCCTGAGGCTTGGCGATGGGTTCTTCATTCCCCTCACACCAACAACGGTAGACCTTGTGGCGAGAATCCGACAACTTCCAGACCCTCACAAGATGGCTCCGAACCAGCCACGCGATCGATACAGAGATCATTTAGAGTTTCCCAAGACAGGCGCAGGTGTGCAATGTGACATCAACTTCTCCGCCCATTTGGCTCTTCACAACACGGCTCTCCTACGATGTTACTCTCACACCGATCCGCGCGTTCGGCCCATGGTCTTGTTCGTCAAGCATTGGGCGAAGACTCGTGGGATCAACTCGGGATATCGCGGAACCCTTAGCAGCTATGGCTACGTTTTGATGGTCCTTCATTATCTAGTCAACGTCGCTGAGCCCTTTGTTAGCCCAAATCTCCAGCAGCTCGCTCCTCCTCCGCCCCCAGGGCTCTCGCCTGTTGAATTCGAGGATATGGTTATGTGCCGTGGCCACAACGTTCAGTTTTGGCGTAACGAAGAGGAAATCCTGAATCTGGCACGTGCGAACCAGCTAAATGGTAACAAAGACACCATTGGCCACCTCCTGCGTGGCTTCTTCGAGTATTATGCCCATAGCAGTATGCTCAGCACTTCCATGGGCAGAGGATTTGACTGGGGAAGAGATGTGCTCAGTTTGCGGACCCCAGGTGGTTTGCAGACAAAGCAAGACAAGGGTTGGACTGGCGCCAAAACAGTCATCGAGGCTCAAAATGTTGGGCCTCATCCGCCACCTCAGTCCGACCAAGCGACTTCCACGACAGTGCATCCTAAGGAGAGTGATGTAAAGGATACAGGAGCACAGCCCAAGCAGGGCACGCAAGGCAGCGTCACAGGTAAGAATGGAGAATTCAAGGAAGTCCGTCACCGCTATCTCTTTGCTATCGAAGACCCCTTCGAGCTGGATCACAACGTTGCTCGAACTGTCACACACAACGGTATTGTGTCAATTCGCGATGAGTTCCGTCGGGCGTGGAAGATTATCAAGTCGGCTGGCAATGGCAGTCCCCAGGAAAGCTTACTCCGGGATGTGGCCGACGTAGAGGAAGAAGGCAGTCCTTTGTCTCGCCTCCTGGATGAGATTCATGGAGCGGGTCGATCCCGGAACACTTGATTGTATAATTATGATGTTGAGACGATGTACGAAGTTACGGACGGGTCAGGGTCAGGATCGGTGGTGGCGCAACGAGACGTAATCGTGTGGCTCAATATTTGAGTCTTTGATAATGGCTAGGCTTGGTGGGATTTATTGTCGGTACGATATTCACCATGTAACAAATTACACAAGAGTAGTAAGCTTCTTTTGATCTTGGTATCGGTATGCATTGTGATTTTTGATGCTTAACTTTATTGAGACAGCACATCAAAGAAGTTTCTTGACGAAGACTTGGCAGAGTTGTTCTGCCTTTTGGGGGCATCATCTTTACCCACCTTTCGCTTTTTCTTGTCTTTGGCAGTTCTTTTTGGCTTTGCGTCCATGTTGGCATTTGGCAATGGGACAAGCCTAGAAATTTTCTTGTAAATCCGGTCCTCATTGCTTCTTTGCAGAAATACAATGGTTCTCTCCACATCAGGAAACTCCGCCAGAGGTGGTAATGACGACAGCATGTCGTTTAGATCTGGTAGGGTTCTTTGAAGCTGCCCAAGTGAGATGATTTGCTTCAAGAGTCGAAACGAATAAAAAGCAGCTTGAAGATGAGCAACAAAGTGAAGAGTATCCCAAGTAATTTTCCTAAAAGTTGGGGCTTGTAAACTCTCTTCCAAAATCTGCAGTGAATGTGAATGCTTGCCATCTTCATGGCTATATCGTATATCAAGGGTCAGGCACAGGATGTACCAAGCCCGAGTTATGTCGACTTGTGTTCCTGCTCTGATCATAGTCATCAGTCTGACCAACTCTTGAGACCAAGCTTTCGCTTCTTTTTGGGGTAGCATAGGAACCTGTCGCCCTTTTTGCACCAGAGTGTTGACCCTCCGGTACTCCTGAACAGTTGAAAAAGCACCAGGAATGATCCATCGGGCTACTGTGTAAGCCAACTGTCGAATTGACGTGCTCTGTTCCCAGGCACTTCCCCGCGAAGGACTCTCTAACAGAATAGGAAGAAACATCTTGGGGTCGCTTGTAGTGTGCATGTGGCCACTCTGGGGTCCCAGTTGCAATACCATCTCCGATATTCTGGGGTCCAGTGAACCGATCTCTATTACTGTTCCGCATGTTGAGGTGGGAATTGGTGCAACTACATGGTCTAGATACTCGTGACAGAACTCAGTGTAACCCGTTTGGTCGGTGGTTGGTTGTGCACACTTCTGCAAGAGTTGTGGAAGTGTCGAATGGGCAGACCGTTTTCGTTCGTAAGCAAGTCGGCACATCTCAGCAGAAGACGCAAGCTTAAGTTTCTCGCAGATGTGGGAAGGACAAAAGCTTGCGCATGCGAGATTGGACTGATCATCAAGATAAATGTCGCGAAGAAAGACGACGCTTCCCTTGCCCAGATCATGAACCAAAAGATCCGAGTCGGAGGTGAGAACCGTCCCGCCCGATTGCGACAAATGCTGTGCGCAGTATGCATCCGCCTCGCCCGGAACAAGAATCACTATCTTTGTGTAGCGTGGCGAAGACCTCAAGGCATCAATGATAGCAGGGACATGAAAACTGGGTGGCAATGCCGGTTTTCCTGGTGGTTTAACTGCAGTGAAGAGGACTGGAGCAATCTCATTGGCAGCCGAGAAGTACGATGGGAAGAAACCATTGGTTTCAGATGAATGTGAGACCTTCAATTGATTGAGACTTTTGATCATGCGCTGCATGCGAACGGGTTCTTTTCCTTGTGGTAGATATCCGTCAAAGTATATGGCGTCGCTGTTGTGGTCAGTCTCAACCAGGCAACAAGAGACACCAAACTTACATGCCTACACCACGCCGAGTGAGTTCATCCAACCATGCTACAGCGGTCTCACCGAGAAGTTTGTATGACGGCTGAGGAATACCATGTCTGTTGCAGATGTACAAAATATGATACGCTAATGCTGGTCCATCGATGACTACGTGTTCATTGTTGAGGAGTCCATGAACAACGTATGGCTCTAGGGTAGGTATGAGGCGAGGAATCCCCATGTTGCGGGAGGGTTTCAAGGTTAGTGAAGCTCTATCCCATTTCCATTGAGAAAAAGCCCAGTTTGTTATTGTTCAAGAGAATAAAATAGGTCTTTCCGGGCTCCTCAGTGTCGTTGTTACTCAGAACTCAGTTGTGGAGGTTCCAAGGCTGCTCTTTCATCGTAAAAGGGACTGGCATCTCAGCTAATCGAGCAAGAATTTCAAGGCCCTTGTCTGAGAAATTGCGAGGCTGTGACGCAGTTTCCGGGATGCCCCGCTTAGTTAATGACTGCGGGGGTAGTAGCACAGTGTATGACACTGTAGCTCTTCCGGCTTCGGGATGCTTGATTTGGTGCCAGAATTGGCCTTTGACCCCACTATAAGAGAAGCCCAGCTACTATCTACAGTAAGTGTCAGCTTTCCGACACACAGTGCAACGAGCCGGGGCAACGAAAAAAAAAAGCTCCAACCTGAACGCGGCTTTCCTTCAACCTCAACTTTTCTTTCTTCCTCCATTGCCTTCAAAGCTTCACCCTTCCACGTCGGTCGATGGGCTGGTCAAGATGCGCAATACACTGATCTTCGCAGGCAATTCCTGCCCAGTCCTCACAGGTCAAATCTGCGAGAATCTGGGCATGCATCCTGCCAGCGCTGAGCTTACCCAGTTCTCCAATGTGAGCTTCCCTTGCCCTCGTGCTCGTAGCCATGGTCATTCAACATGACCCTTCTTTGGCCAACCATCACGATTACTCCTCTACAGGCCCATGTTTGGCAGTAAAACAAGCTGCGTGCTTTGAGCTAACCAGTGCCCAAGGGTGAAACGAGCGTCAGAATTCTGACAAGTGTCCGAGAGAAGGACGTCTTCGTTGTCCAATCAGGCAGCCCCAGCATCAATGACTCCATCATGGAGCTTCTCATCATGATCTCGGCCTGCAAAGGCGGTTCTGCTAACAAAGTCACTGGTTCGTGGTTCTCGTCCCCTGTTTGAGACCTCAATCGGCTTACTTGTTACGTCCAGCCGTCCTTCCTTATTTTCCCTACAGCCGCCAGTCAAAAAAGAAATCGCATAGAGGTGCGATTACTGCTCGCATGCTTGCCAACTTGTTGGGTGTTGCTGGCGTTAAGCACGTTATCACTGTCGACCTTCATGCCTCGCAGATGCAGGGCTTCTTCAAGTGTCCCGTTGACAACCTGCACGCAGAGCCTATCCTCGCGAAGTGGATCCGCCACAACGTGTCTAACTGGCGCGAAGCGGTCGTGGTCTCCAAGAACGCTGGAGGAACGAAGCGAGTGACATCGCTTGCGGATGCTCTCAAGCTTAATTTCGGGATTGTTACTACAGACAGGAAGCGTGTGAGTAACATGACAGCGAGCATGATCATGAGGCACTTCGATCATAACGTCGAGCGTCAACCCACGCCGTTGGAGTCTAACCGACCCATTCCCTACCGCGGACCGCCGGCTTCCGAACGTGCTGTCGAGTCCGAGGCTACCCCTAAGAGGCAGACACCCCCTCCTCGCTCCACGCGAATTGTGACGAACCCACAGGGCTCTCCCACACGGGTCAACAGCTCTGCTCGTTCAGTCACTCCCAACGCTGCCGAGGCTGCGGATCCTAACACTACCCCCCCTGCTGGATCACCCGATGGTTCGGCCGATGGCGAGGCGGATTATGATGATCATAAAGCGTCTGAGGTTACACAGGGCCGTTTGGTTCAAGGTCGTATCGTCGAGGATGACTATCCGTCTCCTGATCGATCTGTTGTCGATGGCAGTGTGGAAGATGATCCTATGACTATGTCTCATGCTTCATCATTCTTCGTCCCTGAGCCTCAATCTCTTGGAGGATCTGGCGACGCTGCGGCAAGTTCCGATGAGGAGGACAACGCATTCGAGGATCCAGGTGCCGAGCATCTTATCACTCTAGTTGGAAACGTCAAGAATCGGACCGTTTTTATCGTGGACGACATGATTGACAAGGCTGGCTCTTGGATCGCTGCAGCCGAGACGGTGGTCAAGAAAGGCGGAGCAAAGAAGGTTTATTGCATGGCCACGCATGGTGTTTTTGGCGGCGACAGCCTGGAACAACTGCAAGCATGCGAGTGCATCGACCAAATTGTTGTGACCAACAGCTTTCCAATTGATAAGGACAGGGCACGCAGCATCAGCAAGCTCGTGGTTCTCGACCTCTCATTCCTACTGGCGGAGGCCATTCGACGTAACCACTATGGCGAGGCTCTTTCGCCTCTCTTCCAACATTATGGTGATTAGATAGGACTGCATCGCAATGCTTCCAATCTTACACAGTCACCCGTTGCTACGCAATCGTGCCTAGTCTGCCTTGGCAGCTAAGTGCTTATCGACACTACCATTTGTGTTTTGATGATTACTATTCATTTTTAGCGAGGCGTCTGGGGGCAAGGACATATCGGTACCCTATGCTGGACCATTGAATCTGAGGATGAAAATTCCGACAAAAAAGCAGAGTAGGTGATGAATTACGATTTCAGTTCCTGGTCTTTTCGTTTGGGTTCGTGATGTGATGTGATGTAGCGCCAGCCTTTTGTCCTGGATCAGTTAAATGCAACCCAGCGGTGCTGTCACTTGTTGACGGCAAGGGCCCGATTCATCCCAGAATGGGTTCTTAACGGAACGTTGGTAGAATAATCCTTCGGTCTTAGAAGGCCTGCAACTTAGAACCGTCATGGATTCATGTCTCTTCGGGGACAAATGAGTTGTGGGCAAGAGAAATTTCCGAACATTTTGTAAACAGGATGCACTTGATACCAGTTTGTGTCGAATATAGCGGTTTAAGCCATCATATCTATCTATAACTAAGACTTTTATTTAATACAACTCATATAGTAATTGTACCATCTGTTCGCTTGAATCGCTGTTATGCTGGCTGTTTATTATGTTTACTTTCGACTGTCTAAGTTTTTCGGTGCATAATACCAGCACCAGCCTGTGGTCCAGAAGATTAGCCAGAGTTTTCGACTCTCGAGTTTTTGAGTCAGTATCTTACCTGATGACTGGGGAAGACTAGCGTATCGGCAACAACGACGTTCTCTCGGCGAGTTGCGGTAAACACGATGATCTCAGCAATGTCGTCGGGGGTGAGAGGTTCACATCCGCTGCTCGCAAGTCAGTACTGTGTATTTTGACCAGTTCAAGACAACCTACGCATAGACAGCATCGGCCTTTTCCTTGTCGCCATAGAATCGTACCACGGAGAACTCCTATTGAGCCGTGAGAATCTCGTCATGTTGGCCACACATAGGTTACGCTTACAGTTTCGACCTGACCGGGATCAATCTCAATAACACGGACACGACTGGCAATGAGCTCCTTTCGCAAGCTGTCAGTGAAGCTGCGAACAGCGGCCTTTGTAGCGCAGTAGATGCCACCACCGGGGTAAGGCTCTCGGCCAGCAATGGAGCCGACGTTGATGATATCGCCGTGGCCACCGTCTGGTCGGGCGAGGAAGATGGGGAGGATAGCCTGGGTCATATTGATGAGACCTGTGACGTTTGTTTGGAACATAACATTGATGTCCTCCTCAGCAATTTCAGGGGCACGAGCAACACCCTTGACCAGACCTCTATTGTGTTGTTAGCAACCATCCAGCGAAATTGTCCACATACAGGAGCTTACGCATTGTTGACGAGCACGTCAATGTTCCTCCACTCCTCGGGCAAGTTGCCGACAATACCCTTAACCTCAGCAGGGTTGCTCACATCGAGTTTGAACGGCAGAACCTTGACACCATCGCCGACCTCCCTCTTGATTTCTTCAGCAAGTGCATTGAGGGAATCAACACGGCGTGCAGTGAGGATGAGACGAAGATCATTCTTGGGCGCAGTCCGAGCGAACTCCAGAGCCGTGGAGCGGCCGATGCCGGAGGATGCACCAGTGACAAGGATTGTCTTGCCAGTGAGACGTTTGGCAGCGGCGGAAGCCATTGTGCGACGAGTGAAGAGGGGGCGAAAGAGGGGAGTGAAGTAGTTTGAGTGTGAGGTTGACAAAGAGACGTTGAGGGTCTTGAATGCGGTAGTGAATAGGCGACGGGTATTCATTTGTTGACTAAGATGGTGGGGAAGATGGAGATGAGGATGGTGTGATTGGACTTGATAAGAGAGGTTGAAGATTGGAGGAGTCAGAGTTGAAGTATTGGAAAGGGTTCAGTTCGGGTATGAGAGATAATGATGTTGTCTAGACCAGATATTGGTTCCTATCGTGACTCCACTGAAGATATCTAGATTACAAAGACACCTTCTGATCAGACAAAAGGAACAGACAAACAGATCAAGAGAACATGATGATGAGAGTCGAATTTGAGGCCTTTCCAAGATACAATGCCTCCAACGTTCCAAACTGTCATGTTGGAGGAGCGGCCTTTTCTTACCCCGCCATTCGACATGTATTCCAGTGGGGTCGGGTGTTGGAGTTGAGGGGCCTGGGGGGCATGAGTCTAGGAATTGTCCTATCAAAAGCTATAAAAGTTGCTATATTTCTGGCCAAAGTCACGAGAACGCCTATAATCAACGTCATTTTACGTCCTCTACTCTGTGTCTACCCCCAAAACTTGACATGAAGACCTCGGCTTTGAGTTTAACTACCGCCTTTACCCGCTCGCTTACAGCTTCAGCTAGGCATTGGATTTCACTCATCGCCATCATTCGTTAAAACAAGATCGAATTCTTTTATAAGTAGTCCCGAGAGATAGTAGTTTGTCACGGCACTGTCTAACAGGCGTGGCTGCAATCCAACGAGACTGTACTTAAAGGTGCAGCATGGAAAGAGATCTTTATTGAAGATAATTTTGTCCTTGTATAAGTCGCTGCTAGGAGGCGATACTTGCTGAACACTCACCGTTTCTTTGAGGTGAAAGTGTAAACTTGAATGGGTTAGAAGTGAAAGAATCTTCTTTATAGGGCTAGAAGGCAAGGTGGCTCTCACAAAGGATAGGCTCTCAAGCACATGACGAAGCAATTCAATACTAAGGTATCTATGAGTTGATGGTTGAGATGAAATCACTTTATTGGTTGCCATGACATCCGATATTCTTCAAACACTTGCCACGGCACAAGGGATTTAGGATTTGATGAAAATCCATGACTTGCAGATGACTTTAAAGGAAATTCTGTAACGCTTAGAGCGGAAAGGTATAGTATTTAAACTTGCATAGATAGCCTCTTTCATTCTAATGGCACCTGAAGATCCAATGCTGTCCCTACCTACCCGCTGAACCATATCGAAAGGAAAGGGGAATCACCCCTGGCAATTCACTAACCCCCCACCAAGGTATCATTGTCCCTGGTGACAGCTAGCTCTAGCCCACCAAAGCCACGGGACGGGGCGATGCCACCGTGCATTGCATTCACCGCGCGCATCCTCCAAATGTGTCGTCATTCTTCAAAACTTTCTTTGAACATCCATTATTTCGTCTTATGACGTGAAAAACAGCTGTTGACGAATCTTGACCTTTTATCCCTGTGGGCTTACGTTCTGCAAGGCGAAACACCCTCCCAGAACCGATTCTTATTTGCGTACACCGATTCAGCTTGCAAAACGACATCATGGGCGAGCTCGCCGACTACCTCATCAATAACGACCCCAGCTTCAGCAGGTAGCAAACCCTGTCCCACGTATCTGGTTAACTATTGTTTATTTGACTAACAACTCTCGAGGTCACGATTAGCAGCCCGATACTCGGATTTTCGATCACAGCGCACCTTGAATCCCGATGGCTACCAGGCAAATATTTCCGCCTGGCGCCAGGCCCTCTCAGATCTTGTCGCCAAGGGCAAGATTTCCCACCGCGGATCCAGCCCCGACCACTTCGTCCTCAAACTCGACGACTCCTTACTGCGGTCACTGGAACACAAGGAATTTGGCCAGCCCCTGGCCCTCGGAACCGTAGTGCGCGAAGCGACCGCCGGCCGGGACTTTATACCACTACAGGATTTCGAGAAATCGCAACAGAGCATCTATCAGCGCAGTTGGGCAGGTCTGCCAGGGAGTGTGATGAGTTGGACTTTGCGACAGCTGGGCGTGGTAGACCCTGCTAGAGGCGACGACAAGCTGCCCACAGGTCAATATGTCATTGTCAAGAATATGGAAGCTGCCGCGAAGGAGCTGGGCGATCTGATGGCCGAAAAAGTGTCAAGATTCGATCGCGTTTTCAGCAGAGCACAATTTCAAAAAGCCTTTTCCGCCGCTCTCGTTAAAGGCCAACATCTGACGGACTCGGACCTAGACGTTCTACTGAAGTTTTTGTCGCGGGACAAGGAAGTCATCGAATATGATGGGAAAACGATCAGAATCAAGGGCTCTGGGGAGCAGAGCGGTATCACAAAGGAAGACGCTGCGATCGCATCCCTGAAGGAGCTCACAGAAAGTCTGAAGCACCAAGCCGACCTCCTTAACACACGCATCGATGAGCTCTCCCAAACAGCCAAGGATGCTGTCACTAAAAAGAATCGCGTTGCAGCTCTTGCGGCGCTCAAATCCAAAAAGATTGCAGAGACTTCGTTGGCTACTCGCTACGCGACTCTGAACCAATTAGAAGAAGTTTCCGCCAAGCTCGAGCAGGCTGCTGACAATGTGCAGCTTGTCAACGTCATGGAGGCTTCTTCTGGTGCGTTGGCAAGCCTCAATGCACAGGTCGGTGGTGCCGAGCGCGTCGATGCAGTTATGGATCGCCTACGGGAGCAGAGCAGTGCGACCGACGAGGTGAGCGCTATTCTGGCCGAATCAACAGGCGAGGTTATCGACGAAACTGCGCTCGACGACGAGCTCGAGTCTATGGAGGCGCAAGAGCGCGAAAAGGAAGAAGAGAAGACGAAGCGCAAGGAGGCCGAGGAACAGAAAGCCCGCGACGAACGGGAGGCAGCCGAGGCGCAAAAGAAGCTCGACGAGTTGCCTGATGTGCCTGCTGATGGTGAGGAGATCCGACAGAAGGAGCAGACACCAACATCCGAGACTGGAATTGCAAATCTGGCGATATAGAAGACGCCAGGCGAGCGGACTGGGAAGAGAACGAAGCTCAGTGCAGGCCGAATGGTTCATACGTGTACATGATGATATAGTAGGATATCCCTGGCGTTTTTGGGCTTAAGATTGTACAAGTGGGTTTTTGTTCATTAGAATCTATACACCAAGGGCACATTTGTTGTGCCATTATAGTATCATTAAGTGGTATCTCAATGCATGCCCTTCTATATATGCCATTTCAACCATCAGTACGCCGTTCTTAACCGACTTACGAGTCGCGATCGTAGTTCTCAGGCCAGGGGTTGCTGTGTATTCGGTCTTGTGAGAACCTGTCCCTGCGGGTGTCTGATGGATGTCTGCTCGAATCCCTATTGCTTCCTCGGTGGCCCTTAGATTGAGAGTGCGATGGCTCAGGCGATGGACTATCGGAATGCGACGGTCGACCTGGGATTCCTTCAGCCGGTCTTGACGGAAAAGCCGAGGGTCTTGACACAGCCCGCCAGTCTGCAGAATGGTCTTGCATTCGATCGCTATTCTCTTGTGGTGTTGTTTCCCCGTCCGTTTTCGACTCGTTAGCAGCCTCTTCAGCCTTCTTTTTGGCCTCAAGCCTAGTCCTCTTTGCATTTGCAATCAGGTCTTTAAAGGACGAATCATGTTTAGCTGCCCATGCTGCACCGTCGAAGTCTTTGTCTTTGATGATTGCTGCATTCTGTACAGATCGCCCTGTTGTTGGAGCTCGTCCTCCTTGTGTCCGTTCCCAGACATCCAAATCATGTAACAATTCGTGACGTTTCCTTGGGCGTGCAGCGTCGCAGTTTGAATTCCATATTGTCATCCACTCTTTATGTCGGCGCTCTAGAAGAATTCGAGTGCCCTGATTTGAAATACCAAGATCAGACATCTTCTTTCGCAAAGCTTGGTCCTTGAACATAGAGTAATTCATTGCAGGGAGGCGGTCCGGAGCCTTTGTCTGATGTCGCTGTTGGCTGAAGCTGGCGTTTGAACTACTGCCAGGAGTTCCCCGTGGCTTTTGTACAGGTCCTGTACATGTCTCGAGGTGCTTGAAAACCTGCCATTCCTTCATTCGACTTTCGCAAACTGGGCACGCGACAAGGCCGTCCTCTGGCGATTGTTAGGAAAGAAATATGCGCCTTTGGCACTGCTGAACTCACCTGGCGCCGGCTGAAAGTCCTCATCATCCTCTGAGACTTCAACAGTCTCGTCCTCTTCAGCAGGAACTGTATATGAGGGGGCGGATCGAGTGTTTCGCAGTCGCGTGGATGACCGTAGTCGCTTGCCGTCTGGCGCATCCCCCGACTCATGATGATCTTCGACTGTTTTTCGTTTCGAGCTTGTCTTCTTGGTATTTGCGTTTCGCGCCAGCTCTAGTGTTGCTGGTCTGGCATTGATGAATGCTTGCACAGCTTCTTCCATTGCCCAATTGCTCCGTAACTTGAGCTCTTGCTCTGATGCACGACACAGTGGGCATTTGCCCTCATTGGACAAGGCCCGGCGGACACATAGCGAGCAGAAAGTATGGCAGCAGGTGGTGATCATAGGGGTTTTGTAAAAGTCCTTGCATATTTGACATCGTAAAGCGCTTTCGACTGCGGCAAGGGCAGTTAGTGGCGTCGTGAGCCAGTCTGTAGAGTCGGGGACATCATGGTCGGCCATGGGGGGCGCAAAAGTGCGAACAGGGGCTAAAACGAATGAGTAATATGATTCAGAGGGCGAGCACGTCCAAAGAAGACGGCCTCGAGGTTAAAATGGTCTTGATATCCTCAGTTGGACTTTGTAAATTTAGGACAAAGATCCCAGACCCAGAATAAAGTGGTCGCGCTGGAGACGCGATCGCTAGGATGACGCTGGCAGTGATTGAAGAACCCGATTCTAGAATAACGCCCTTGAAACGGTCAGATTGAGTTAGTGTAGGCTTCGATAGGGTATTACTTATGCATTTAGCCAGTGAGCGGCTGGCGTTTTGAAAGCACTCCACGTGATGTCGCGTCCTCTCAACGCGTACTTTCCTGTTTCTGTTTCCTAGGAGCTAGGTATGGATCTTTAATGAGGGACAGCGATTTTGTCAATTGAGTCTCACCGCGTAAAGTCAACCATTTTTCGTGTTATTTGCCCTCAATCTTAACTCAAGTTACAAGACTCCAAAAACCAAAAGCAACATGGACGAACATAAAAAGTTTCTAGCAGATCGTCTGCTTAGTGAAGAACAACCGGTTTGTTTCAACCCTTTTGTCACTTTCACTTAGTATAGCCACTGATGGAGTGTAGATCACATATCGGGTCTTGAGTAGAGCTTTGGATGTACATGTCAACACTGCCAAAGAGTAAGCTCGAGGACTTCGACAGGCTCTGATATAAGCTCTAACAGTTGACAGGATGCTTTATGACTTTCACAGCTATCAAAATGCGCAGAAAGCTAACTCTGTTCATGCGACATATCTAATTTATGGCACCAAAACTCCAGAGAAGGACGAATCTGACGGCGATGTTGAAATGTCAGGCTCATCGCCCGAGGAGCCCCTTTCAGATGAGGTTCCGACTTCCACACTGACTCTGGCTCGGGAAGAAGAACTAAACGGTACGAACCTATTAAGGGGAACTTATGAGATGGACTCGAATTGACTTGTCTCCTAGATATTCTAGCTGCTTATGAGCAGGTAGTTTCGATCCACGTTTACAGTCTTTCACCTCATCCCCAAAAAAACCTTTCTCTCCTGTCAGATGTTGCATCTCAACTCTCGGAGTATTCATCAAGTGGGGACATCACTGCCACATCTAAGAAGTATGGCGTTATTAGCAACCCGAACGCTCGAAGTAGAGAACGGACGATCCGACCTCAAGCGTCTGCTTCAGCTCCCTCTCAGGCCGTCAAGAAAGAGCCTGCTGCATCAAAGTCAACATCCAAGACAACGGTCAAGCAAGAAACGTCAACGGTGAAGCCCGAGGCAAAGCAAATGAAGTCTGCTAAACAGGAGTCTTCAGCTCCGTCGTCCAAGGAGGGAACACCAGCTCCAAGTGGCGGGAAGAAGCCAGCGCCATCTCTTAAACGAGGAGTATCTGGCGGTATCATGCAATCATTCGCAAAAGCGGCTGCACGACCACCTAAACCCAAGCCTGCCCCCAAGAAGGAAGAGGACACAACTATGGCTCTCTCTGATGACGGGGAGGCAGATGACTCTGATATCGTGGCAACCAAGTCAAAGTCCACTGTGGATTCTACCGATATCAAGCGAAAGCGCCAGGAACGTGAGGATGCACTACGAAAAATGATGGAAGACGATGACGACGAAGAGGAGAAGGAAGATTCCGACAAGGAATCCGAGCAAGCCGACGAAGAGATGGAAGAAGCACCAGAACCTGAGCCAGAGCCCGAGGCCAAGAAGGAAGAGAGCGAACCAGCAGAAGTGATCTCGAGCACTGGCGATGGGCGCAGGAGGGGTAGAAGACGCGTGATGAAGAAGAAGCGAATCCTTGACGATCAAGGATATATGGGTAAGTCCTCCTTACGATATTATTAGCTATGATGCTAATTGCCAAAAGTCACCATCCAAGAACCTGGCTGGGAATCCTTTTCTGAGGATGAGGCTCCCCCACCGGCCAAAGAGGCAGCCCCTGCTCCTACACCTACACCATCATCATCTACAGGCTCCAAATCAAAGAAGCCGGCGCCAAAGGGACAGGGCAACATTATGTCGTTCTTTTCGAAGAAGTAGAATGCATTTAGAAGGACCATTAAAAAGAACTGGGGAGGATAACGACTGCAGAAAACATATTCTAATCATTTGTTGGCATCTATAATATCGCTATCGGCCATTGTGCTAGCAAGCGCCTTGTATTTCTCAGGGTCGGCCTTTATCCTCTGAAGCACGTTTGATAACCTCTCAACACCTTCTACCAAGTCCTTCTCGGGGACATATGCGAATGTCAGCCGTACGGCGTTGTCCAAATAAACAGAAGCCTCATCGCCAGGCACTTGAAACATAGTCCCATTTCCCACAACTACATTCTCCTCGGTCATCGTGACTTCTGAAACAAGCTTGGCTGAGATACCCTCTTCCAATGTGAGCCACACAAAGTAACCGCCATAAACACTGCCGTTGACAAGACCAGCGTCTCGGATGCCAACATTAAGAGGCTCGAGGTGCTTATGTATAGCTTGCATCATGATCCGGTGTCGATGTTGAAGTTGAGGCCTGAGAGTAGTAGCAAGTCGCTCCTGAAGAGCCCCTGACTGAACCAAATCGGCCATGATAGATGCAGAAAACTGACTCGGCGAACCACCAGACTTTGTTGCACCCGTCTGTGCCAATCCAAATGCAAAAGCAGGAGATCCTTCGAGCCAACCAGTTCTCATTCCCGGGCCAGTGAGTTTACTGAACGATCCATTACTGACAGCGTGCCCAAAACCATGGGGATCGTTGTTCGCACGACCCATGGCCAAGTCAATGTCACACAGGCGCGGGAGTAGCATTTCTGGATGCTCGTTGGCGCCCAAACTGCTTGAAACTTTGCTGGGATCGCTGTCGATGCGCCATTGGAGAAAATCATAAACGTCGTCGCAGATGATGAGGGCATCATACTTGCGCGCGAGTCGAACAAGGGCTTCTCGGCGGCGAAGAGACATTGTCTTGCCGGAGGGATTCGAACAAGTGGGAACCGCATAGATGACATGTCGATAATGCTTACGGTACTTTCCAGCATCACTCACAGGAGCCTAATCGGCGTCAGCTCAAGGACTAGTCACAGTATTCGCGAGTGTCATACCTTGGCTTCTGGGGCGTGCTTCTCAAACTCAGCTAGCTTAGTCTCCAACGCTTCAATATCAACACCCTCCTCATCTTCTGGCGTTGCCCTCAGCCGGCCCTCAAAGCCATTGTCGCGGAAAATCTGGAAGACAAGGTGATAAGAGGGTGAAATGCACCAAACAGCCTGAGTTACATTGGGATCTGTGAAGCTCTGGAGGATGCAAGCGACATTCTGACTTGCACCGCCAGAGATACAGATACGATTCGGATCTCGTTCAACACGATAGTGCTCCGACAGCCAAGTCGCCAATGCCTCGCGCAGCGGCTGATATCCGGAATCTGGACCGTACTGTAGCGCGGGGACATATATAGCTGGGTCTGAGAGATTGCGCTGAGCAGCAGCTGAGAGGAGGTCAACAGGCAGAAGACCTGGGTTTGGCCAGCCGCGAATCAGATTAATCTGATGCTTCCCCGACTGAGGATTTGAGGGGACTTCAGAAGCGTGGGTTGGTTTTGTCGTCATATTGGCTGTGTTGATGTATGATGGTGATGACAGTGATGATGGTGTTGAGGGGCAATGCCTATTATGGTGACATAGAGGGGAAGCTGCAGCGTTATGAGACAGCACAGAAGAATTACGGCTCAACGCCCTGTGATATTGGTGTTGCGCTCCTTTATATATCGCACAATTTCTATACACGCAAACGTCAACAGCGAGCCCAATCGAGCGATGTCGGACCGGTTGGAGGATATTCATGGAGACGAAGACGATTGTCAATGGTTCAGACGGCTAACTTGCCTAGAATGGCGAGGGGTAGAGACGGATAACTGTGGACCTTTCTCTTACAGTACTCGCAGCCAGTCCATTAGCTCAAAATCCGGGGTAACGAGATCCGATATCAGTGGCTAAGCTTGCACTTGATTATCATTTGCATTGTCTATTCTTGAGTGGAAGATCACGACAATTGTCTGTGCTCAAGCCAGTACAGGAACTATAAAGCATTTATTATTGAACTACTTTTTGTCACAAACACCATATGCTCCAGCATTCTCGTCAATCATATCTCATACGGTGCAGCGCCCTCGCCAAAGATCAGGTGTGGTTTCCTCTTAGCCAAGTCCAAGATCGTTGATGCAAATACACCATTTGCCCAGGCGAACCAACTTCTTGTGTATTGAGTGATGTGCTGAACATCAATACTCTCGTGGACCAAGCCCAGCCTGGCGGAGTCGAGCACAAGTTCAATGCATTCTTTGATCTCTTTGTCGTTGTCAGAGGTTCGAGCCTGAATGAGAAGACTCATCGGCCACGCGTTTCTTAACCCGATATGTGGTCCTATGAACTGTCAGTGGCCGCAATAATCGTGTATGTATTAGACATCTTACCTCCAATACCCTTGAATGCATTTCCTTCAAGATAGTAAGGATTTCCACTCTTTTCCAACAACATCTTCCTTGTGTTCTGGTAAATTGGATCGTTGACCTCACAGAATCCCATTAGGGGAAGTGCCAGTAATGAAGGATAATTGGCGTCGTCCATTAGGATCGAGGAGCCATATCCATCTACTTCATATGCAAACACATCTCCATATTTCTTGTGCTTGACCACGCCATGCTCCATGATGCCTTCGCGGAGCTTTGTGCTCCAAGTCTCTAATTTCTGAGCTAGTGTTGTTTTACCCACCATCGTAAGAATCTTGGATGCTCGCTTCAGTTCGACAGACATTTGCGCATTGGCGGGGATGAAGAAACCGAGAATTGTTGCATCGTCGCTGGGTCGGAAGGCTGATCGAACCAGGCCCGTTCCCCAGTTTAGAGGATTACCAACACCCTTCAAGTTGAGTGTTTCAGTTCCAATATCGGTGCGCCGCGAGAATGTGTACTCGTTACGCTGAAACTCGCCAGTCTTGGGGTCGAAGGTCGACTTGGATTGCTCAGTCAGCACGTTTAGTAAAGTTTCAACAGCGCGGTACCATCTCTTGGTTAAAAAGTTAGTCGAGCCGGTGTGATCGTGGAAGTCGTTGCCAAGAGCGAGGAAATGTGCTAGAGAATCTAGCTCATACTTGCATTCGAATACTGCTTGTGGCTCATATGCTGGGTGTACGTTGTCTTCTTGTCCATTAGACGAGAGAGGTAAGTCGCTGATAGGCGGAGGTTGAAAGGCATTGCAGTATGGGGACTCGATCACATATTCGGCCTGGGTGTTGATGGCACCGAGCAATAATGTGTGAATGGCGGGATCCTTCTTCGCAAGCGGCTGGTAAGGGCGCAATTGGTTTGTTGAGTCGCGTAGCCATTCCGCGATAATGTCACCCGTTATGATGAAGGATTGCGGTCCCTGCCAAGCTCCCTCATCATGGAACCCTCCAAAGCTTCCCATGCGGAAGAAGCCTGTATCTTCTTTTCCTTTGGTATGGAACTTGACGGTTGTATCGGTCGTCGAAGGGAATGCGTTCTCGAAGAGTCGTGCTAGATCGGGGTCTTTCATACGTGACGTCACATCTTCAATGACCTTTTCGATGGCGTCTGATTGAAATGTCCGGCATTTCGTGGTTGGTCTTTGGTAGGGGAGCTCTCGAGGGCCAGTACTGAAAGGTCGGCTGTGCAAAAGTAATGTCAGAAGGGCCCGGTATGTTGCGCAATGAAAGTAACATACTGAGGATATGCTGCATATCGTGTATAGTCGGGACATATACGATGGTAGTCGCCAAGAGGTCTCTGTTCGTCATCTGGACTGGCGCTGGCGAGGGTCGCGCTCAAGCCAAGCAAGCTTGATGCCAGTAGGCGAAGTGACATGATGGGAGGCTAGAAGGTATGCTGTTGACTTGGGAATGGTGATATTAGGATGGCAACATAGCAATTTCTTGCAACTTAGGTCGGTGTCAATTGGACGTCAAAGGACAAAGTCAACATGAGAATGGAAGTTGTCAGAGTTGTGTTACAGCTGTCGCATTATTATCCCTCCGATTACGTAGGGCGAGACAAGCTCGGCCAGAGCTCCAACGTGGGGCTGGTCAAGGTTGGGGTAATCATCAGCCAAACCATAGCGTCCATCATGGCTTATGCAGCCAATAGATGTGATTTTGATGGAACAGGGGTATCATTTAAAGCTATCTATACGTACATCGCTTGCTATCTCTACTTCATGTCTATAATTACCAACCCCATGTTCGGCTTGAAGCTGTGAACACTGGAGGCTTCCATTGAATCTTGGTTGGATCCACTGTTCGTTTCCTCTTCAACTTAGTCTTCTCCCGTTGCTGGATCAACTTCTCCGGAATCACAATCTTGTGGTCGCTCTTGTGGTACACCTGCATTCTGAGAGCCTGCAAAGTGTGCTCCACGTCCTGTGTTGTCATAGCCAGCGCTGCTGATATTGCCTCGATCGTAACCTTCTCCTCACGCTCGTTGTACCCCATAAGCAGCTCCAGAATGTTCTCTGACCAATACTGTCGGTAACTCAGCAGACCCAAATCCGACAATGGCTTTTCTGGAGAGCCAAGCTTTCCTTCGATGCGAGAAAGCTCATACGAGAACTGAATCAGAAGTCGACCATAGCCTTTGCGTTGATATTGCGGCATGGTTAGAATACAGGCAACGTTGTATCCGTCCGCACTCTCTTTTTCCTTAGAGAAATATCCCACCAAGTGACATCCCTTTTCGGTTCGCGTCGTCATGACATAGAACAAGAAGGGATCCACGTCATAGTACAGTGTCTTGTGGTCAAGAAACATCTTGGACAGCAAGCAGAGGTTGCGGCACCACGTTCGTTGTCGTCGGCCATCGATTTCAAAGAATGATATATCCTCGTTCCGGTAAAGCTCGTTTCCAGGTGGATGTTGTAGTGTGCACTTTCGTCGATGTCGCGTAAAGGCCTTCTCATCTCCATAATAACTCAAACAGAATTCGCAAATGAAAATCACATCCTCCTGACTGAATATTTCAGGATACGGTGAAAAGTACCAGGGGTAAAGGTCAAAACGCCCAAATTGTACCTTGGAGATATTTCGAATCCGAGATACTTCGGTCGGGTTCTGTGTCATCGAGCCGGATGTGCGGAGCTTCTCGATCTCGACTTCACGGCTGAATTCTGCCGGTTCCCTTTTGACTTCAGCTTCCTTCTCATCTACATCCATGTCGTCGCCTCCAGCAGGTGTTGCGCTATCAACACTGGCGCGCGCTTGGCTTTCCCCATCGGGTCCGATCGAGGCAGACTTCTGACGATTTTGGGATTCTACAAAGTCGAGAGGGACGTCAGTTGTGAGTTCGAGTAAGAGAAACTGAAATACCTACCAGTCCATGGGTGTGGGGTATTTGCCTCCGAAGCAACTGATTGCTCCCGCTTCCCAGGCCTCTTTTGTGACTTCTTAGAAGGTTGCGTCTTCTTGGATTGCGCAGCGGGCGCTTTCTTCGTTTTGGGGTCTTTGGGCTTGTCCTTTTCGGGGTTTGGCCATTCGACCTCTCGAGTAAAGTCCAGCCTGATCACAGGAACCCATTCATCTAATCGTTTATTGAAGTTGTCGAAGTTGCAATAAAATTGTTTGCCGCTTTTTGTCGTCTTGATGCTGAGGATCTCGGCGCGTCGTGGTTGACCTTCCTTTTCGACCCAAGCAATACAGCCTGTTGTTATTGTCTCTGGGGTCGCAAGGCTCTTTAGTCGCGGCTCACCTGAGCCCACGGTGGGCTCGCCGCTAGGTGTGCCGCCAGCCATGATGGAAATAGGATACTTGGATGATATTTGATGATCGTCGCGTTGATGGACTTGTGTCGCAAAATAGAAAACGGAAGGAAATAATATTGGAGGGGCACGGCAGAAAATGAGTTGGAGTTCTTATCAGCAAGGCGGTGAGAAGGATAGCTGCTTATCTATTCTTCGTTAGATGCATAAACTCCGTTAGACTCATCACTCAGAAAGCCGTCTGTTACATCTGGTTCTCTTTTTGCGACTCGTACTAACATTTCAATTTTTCTACTAGAAATTTTACGTCGGGTGTTATCTTCTTTTGACAAGATGGAAACGCTTTCTTCCAACTGGAAAAAGCTCCAGGCAAAACTCAAGGAAGAGTCTGCGTCAAAACCATCTCTCAAGCGCAAATCAGAGACCTTAACAACGAATCCACCACCTAAAAAGTCTAAGGTGCAAAAGTCCCTCCCAAAACCGCTAAGAAGACCAGCAAAAGCAGCTCAAACAACAGCCAAAAAGCCAATGGGCGGTGTTCACAGTTCGAAAATCGAGGAGCCAGTACCTGGGACCTCGACATCCCTTGCACTATGGGCGGAAGACAATGACGTGTCTGCAGAAGCCCTAGCAGAGGCATACAGTCTGGGTGCGAAGGACAATTCGATGATGCTTGCCTCCGCAAAGGACAAAATCAACCATGGACTCACAGAAGGGATTGAGGTCGGAAAGTACATCGCTATCGATTGCGAGATGGTTGGCGTGGGGCCAGGCGGTCATGAATCAGCTCTCGCTCGTGTAAGCATTGTTGATTTTCATGGTGTGCAGATTTACGACTCTTATGTGAAACCTAAGGAGAAGGTCACAAACTGGAGGACAGCGGTCAGTGGTATTGACCAAAAGAAGATGAGATTTGCTAGGGAATTCGAGGAAGTTCAGGCAGACGTCGACAAGCTTCTCCAGGGTCGAATATTGATTGGACATGATCTCAAGCATGATCTAGAAGCTCTCATTCTCAGCCATCCTGGAAAAGACATCCGCGACACCGCCAAATTCCCAGGTTTCAAGAAGTATGGCAATGGAAGAAAGCCAGCCCTGCGGATCCTGGCTCAGAAGATCCTGGGCGTCGAGATACAAGGAGGCGCACATTCTAGTATTGAGGATGCGCGAGCGACTATGTTACTGTTCCGCAAGCACAAGCAGGCGTTTGACGTTGATCACGCAAATCGATATGCGCCGAAACCAGCGTCAGGTGGCCAGAAAGGCACCAAATCGAAAAAGAAAAGAAAGTGAAGGGGTGATATAAACAAGTACATCCTCATAAAGTTTTGTTGAGATACCCATATAGCAAGAACTATTATTTTTCGGACAACCATGGTTCATCGAAGTACGCCCCGAGTTTCCGAGGTAGGGAACTATCCTACCAACCATTAACCTTTGCATTATGAGATCAATTTATACAAAAAAAAGCCCAATTAAGTCGTATTTTCTCACCAGTTTTAACCATTTTGAAATCAGAATACTCCGTAGAGTTCCAATAGTAATGTCATAACTTGGGTTCATTCTGTAGTACGGAGTACTAATATGTTCCCTACCAACATTCTGGACCCATTTTTCACTAATTGCGTCGTGAGATAAGATAAGCCTGTCACCTCAGAACTCTTTACGCGCCTCGACGCGTCTCCTTCTCTTGACAACGAACAAATCAACACCACTACAATGTCGCAACCAATACTCTCATTAGCACCCGACGAGAATAAATCCAAAGCTGTGGCGAATCTTTTGCCATGCCGTATACACCATGATGGGCCAGTCGACCCGGCATCGACATTTTGGACCCCTACTACTACCAATGGTTTGTGTCCCTGATACGAATCCCGTTGCCACGAGCGTACTGACAATCTGAAAAGATGGTACAAAACTAGCATACTTTCGAGGTAGAAAACTTCAAGGAAAGGTGGTAAAAATACCAGAACAATGTCGAGGCGTTGTTGTCGAACGAGCTCCCGAAAAGGACCCCAAAAGTGCCAACGAGGACGTGCTAGAGGATCTCGATGCCGACCAAGAGCCAGAACAAATAGGAAGCATGAAAATAACTGCAGAGTTTGATGAGATGGTTGTTTGGGGACATGAGACAGTGGCAGATGCCAGCGCAGACCCTTATGTCCGCAGTATTGGGGAGTGGCTTCAGATGGCCGACCGGGTATGGCTCGATATTGACTGGGCAAGAATCTGTTGCTAACTTTTCCAGATTCACTCGTACTCGCCCCTTGCAGATACAACACAGAAATGATGTGACCGGCAGTGACCAAGCGTCGAGCTGCTCCACCCACGAGAGGCCGGATGTTGACATCGTGGGACATCGAGATTACCTCGAACCGACCAAATACTCCAACAATATACCCGAGCAATACTCCCAACACTAAAGACTGTGTTAAGATATTGTTCTTCCCCCATTCATGTCGCTATTGAAAATTGGAGCATAGACCTCATGTAGTTGGGAGCGACCCGTTTTGAAATAACACGCCTAGGAGACCGACACATGTCTTTTGCAGCCAAAGTCCTGTTTCTAATACCTCTACCTCTGATGGGATATCATGCTGTATGCTAAACAAGTAAAAAAACAAGTCTATGATTCTAGTAATTCGTTTTTTCCTTCAACGAAGTCTGGACTCGCTAGCCTCTGACTTCTTCCTCATAGGCATCTGGTTAAATGAGCGCTATCCCTAGTTTAAGGGGGCGATATGTCCATTCTGGTACTGCCAATGAAGGCTGGTGTCAATTTCTCTGGATTCTTTGAGTCTGCAACTGACTGTGGCCTCTCGGGATACATTGTTTCTTACGAATAAGAGCAATTTGGTATGTTGAATAAGTAATAACTGAAATACTCGTATTGATTCCGTTGGGTTGTCATGCAGTGGAAATCCATGGTTCGTTCCCTGGGCCTTATAAGCTCGTTCAATCGCATACACACTTATGTAGCTACACTGTTCAGTCAACCCTTTCGTAGGGCATGATTTCAAGTGTTCAGTCTGTACATACGTCCAGGGCTGACAATCTGGCCTTGCTAGGCCCATTGTTGCTATTTCCGAACAAAGATACCATGGTTTTACTCGACACTTGCCTCGTTCCACAATACCAGTCTGTGATTAGTCTTTGTATTTCTTTGCTTGCCTACTTACTTTTGACAAACGTGTGACTAAATGAATCTTTGAGGTCTGAAAGAAAGTTGCTTTCATCATGACAAAGGGTTCGTTGTGAATACATTAAACCAGGCCATCTGCATTGTAACCTGGGCCGATATACTGATGGGCATGTATGCATTGTCTTTCATTTAGGCGGTCCTTAGATTACTCAAATGGAACGCTAGCAAATTATTGATAGTGTGTAGTCCTGATAAATATTGGTCTTTTTGTAGCGTCTTGGTTGACCACCTTATGATTTGAGCTATGCCAGTCTACTTCTCGTCTAGGTCCGTCGTGATACCAATCTCTCGTGTTGCTTCAATATCATGCTGAAGAAACTCAAGCTTGGTCTTCAGACGAGCAAAGCAGTCTTTGCCCAATGGCAATCTCAGAACCTTTCCCTTCAAATCACCTGCCGCTCCCTCGCCAGTGGCCACCTCGAAGATGATGTCCACTGCCTTGTTTGGATCTCCAGGTTGCTTTCCAGCTGCTTTTTCAAACTTCTGGAGTGTTGCTTCCAACAACGTTCCTTGATATGCCGTTTCGCCAGAAATATTGCTCTTGATGCTGGCTTCGAGGAAATTTGTACGGAACGCACCGGGCTCAACCAACAAAACATTGATACCGAACTCTTTGACCTCCTTCGACAGACTCTCGCTTAGACCTTCGAGAGCGAACTTGCTGGCACTGTAGAGGCCGCAGCTGGGCTGAGCATCTTGGCCGGCGATACTGCTAATGTTGATGATAGTACCGGAACCCCGGCTTCTCATTCCGGGGAGGGCAGCTTGAATGGTGTAGAGAGGACCAAATAAATTTGTCTGGATCTGATGTTCGGCCTCGGCCTCCCTTATCACAGGCTTTAGTGTGCGCTCAGTCATTTTAACAATACAGGGCTTACTCACGTAAAGAGCTCGATGCCTCCCAAGACGGAGTATCCAGCGTTATTCACCAGAAAGTCGATCCTCCCGTAAGCCTTCTCTGCATCTTGGACTTTCTTGGTAATGCTAGCCTTGGATTCAGTCAGATCAATGGTGACGATCTTTCCGCCAGCTTCTTCGATTTGGCGGACAGCATCGGCTGATCTTGTTGTGTCTCGGACAGTTGCAATGACTCTGTGTCCTGCTTTCAAGACTCGCAAGCTGAGAAGCAGGCCAAGGCCGTTGGAGCTTCCGGTAATGAACCAAACTGGAGTCGTCATTTTGACCTGATTGTTGATACGACTCAATGCTAGATTCTGTGTAAGTGTCTCGATCTGTTGGTTGGTTGATTAATTAATATGCGCTGATACTGTGTCTTATAGTGTCGGCATCACGGACTTAATGGTTCTCTATTCCCGTTTAACTTCGTTTGGCGACAAGCATTTGGTGATGAAGCTCCACACCATCTTACTTATCACCGATCACGTATCGGAAATACAATAGCGACGCCGGTATGCTCATAGGCACAGTTCCGAAGTTAACTAAGGTAACAATCTGGAGTTTTTGGTCATTTGCCAGTGGTATCTGAACGTCGAGATCTGCTATTTCCTCTGATACATACTCTAACCCAACTGGAAAAGCTCTTAGTACGAAAGAAGACTAAATGATTCAAAAGACCTATAACAATATGGTTCTCTAGTAGCCAATCTAAGTGAGAGTATGTGAGTGAGTCTGAAAACATTACCATTCAGTCTGACATGTAGGAAATTCAGCTTTCTCTTTATGGACCATTACAAGTCCAGTTGCAGACCTTTACCACGAAGAGAGAATTTGACCGATGTCCGTCCTTAGATATTTCCCCTTGAAGATGATCTCTCGGGCGCCGCTGTAAGCTCCTTTGATGGCTTCTTCTGTGGAATCGGCTATGCAAACCACCGCCAAAACCCTCCCACCTTGAGTCACGAGGCGGTCTCCTGCCCACGAGGTGCCTGCATGGAAGACGAACACATCTATGAGAACGCTTAGACATAGGATAGCCTGGGAACCAGGGGCAACATCTTACCTTGCGGCAATGCTCCAAAGTCGATGATCTCACCTACTCGATACGCCCCCGGATATCCACTGGAGGCCACTACTAGCGAAATGGCGGCCTTTGGCTGGAACTCCATGTGTACTCGCTCCAGCTGCGCCTCGGTACATGCTATCATTGTATCTGCAAGATCTGAGGCATCGTCTAGGAGTGGAAACAAGGCTTGTGCCTCGGGATCACCAAACCGGGCGTTATATTCCAGGAGCTTTGGGCCATCAACAGTCTGCATTATTCCAGTGCAGATAAACCCAACGAACTTATGATTTAGAGTTTGTCAGTGCAGTAATTGATAGGAACGAATACGGGGTCACCTTGCCTTCGTTCTCGAGACCCCGGATGGTTGGTTCTAGGATCGTCTGCTGAATTTCCTCGACAGTGAAAAAGTCTGATGGGATACAAACTCCCATACCGCCTGTATTAGGTCCAAGGTTTCCGTCATATATTCTCTGTGCATCTTGTCCGACTGGGAACAGCCTCCATACCTTTCCATCCGTGGTTATGGTGACACTCAATTCACGACCAACCAGGAACTCCTCAATGACGATTTCTTCTCCAGCTTCGCCGAAAACACGCTCAACCATGAGCTTGTTGACAGCATCTTCGGCTTCCTCCTTTGTGTTACAAAGAAACACACCCTTTCCTGCTGCCAAGCCTGATGCTTTCACAACATGTCTGCTTGTTGACTGGCTTTGCAGGAACAAGCTAGCTTCAGATGGTGATGAGAAGCTTTGATAGCTTGCAGTAGGTATCTTGTGGCGTTCCATAAAGGCTTTCGCCCAGCTCTTGGAACCTTCGATCTTCGCCGCTTTCTTAGAAGGTCCAAAAACTCGGAACCCCCGGGTTTCAAAGAAGTCCACTGCTCCGGATATGATGGATGAGTCAGAACATGGAACAACCAGATCCACACGATGGGTTTCAGCAACCCCCAACAGTCCTGTAAGATCCGTGGCCTTTATATCAGGGTCGCAGTTCTTAATCTTGGTTGATCCGCGAGCCGTACCGCCATTGCCAGGAGCACAAATGATTAACTCGACCTTAGGGGACTTGCTCAGTGACCAAGCGATTGCATGCTCCCTCCCTCCCCCGCCAATCAACATTACACGAATCTTGCCAGCGTGGAAGAAGCTCATGATGAGTTATAAATGTGGTGGCAGCGCTGGATGGAGATCGGGCGTTTCGATGCCGGTTTTCTTCAAAAAGGTTTATTTGTACTTTGTCGTTTACTGAGGTCGAGAAACCCCCCCCATGCCTTATACTCTCCAAAAATCACTTCGGCATCTGACAACGGCTATGAAGGCCAACAGCCGTTCGCATAGTCACTGGAAATGCTCCAATATTGTCAACACCTCTCGGCAAGCGCGTTTCGATACTTGCACTACTTGCATGCTGTCGCGTCGTATTCTTGACGCCCGTCTGGGATTCGATGGGTGCCATGGCTCTGTCGAATTTACAATTGCATCGGAATATCAGGCTATAAGCCTACACCGAGGTTACACAAGTGAACGGTGGCTGTTTCACATACTACCCATTGAGAACGATAGTGGTAACATGAGTGTCCACGCCTACGAAAATAGTGGTCGTGCTGGTGCCAAAGGTATTCTGATGTCCAGTGTCCTCTGTTCTAATATGTCTGAGAGGCCTTGGAGTTCTTCTCAACTCAGCAATGAAAATATCTACTGGGCCTCTCCCTCAAGCATCTTATGTAAGGCTGGTATACCAAATACATAATTTTGCTTCAACATGTCTTTTTATTCACGGATGAATATATTGTCAACATACGAAAGTATACGCCACTTAACTCGCAAAACACCTTTTGTCACTTCACACGACCTAGCCAAAATGGTTTCAAGAACATGCAATCACCTAGCAGGTGTTACGATTATTCTGAAGTGCGAGAACCTTCAGTTGTCCGGCTCCTTTAAATACCGAGGGGCTCTAAACAAACTGCTTCGATTGAGTCCCGAGCAATTGGATCGTGGTTTGGTGACATATAGCACTGGTATGTAAATTAAATAGCCTAGACACAACTGATTATATTTCAGTGGACGTGTACTAAAATGATACTTGGGATCAGGAAACCATGCTCTGGCCCTTCTGATGGCCACAGAACAGATGTCGAAAGTCCGTGGACAGACCATACCAATCCAGATCTACGTCCCTTCATCAGCCTCAAATGACAAAATTTCCGCAATAAAATCCTACTGCACCTCTCCCACCACAGTTGTCCTTCAAGAAAATGGACTGGACTGGTGCGCAAAGGAAGCAATGGAGACTTGTAAAAGTATGAGGATGACATTTGTTCCACCGGCCAACGATTCGGACATAATACTGGGCCAGGCAACAGCTGCTGCAGAATTCCAGGATCAGCTTGCAGCCGACCATCTTGGCGAGCTCGATGCAATAGTTGTACCGTGTGGTGGAGGGAGTCTTTTATCCGGTTGTGCGTCTTGGTTTCGAGGCGTACCAACTCAAGTCTGGGGCGCCGAACCTCAATTTGATGGCCCAGGCCTCCATGCAAGTTTGAAAGCCGGTATATTATTGCCAAAACAAAAGTCTATGGGAATGACGATCGCAGATGGACAGCGGACAACACTCAGCCCCACGAGCTGGGCAATCCTGCGCGATCAAACAAATCTTCAAGATTCCGTCGTCGTTACAGAGGCGCAAATACGCAAGTCGATGTCACTCTACCATGGAGAATTTGGTGGCATCATTGAGCCAAGTTCCGCAGTTGCGATGGCAGCATGTTTTGAGGTTGCACAGCGTCAAGTGGCAATTCACAATGCTACCACTGCCACGAAAATTGGCGTGATACTCAGTGGAGGTAATATCAGTGCTGGAACGTTTCATAGATTGGTAAACGGACACTGAAGGAGAGTATTCCATATTGGCTGGGTGGGTAAGCGTTGATCTTAAGAGATCTTTGGCCCTGCTGGTTCTCATGGCATTTCTCTGGCCCTTTGTTGCAATGTTAATATTCTTTCTTGAAATCTCGAACAATCAAATGCTGAAGAATCATGTTTACACAGACCAGGCTACAAATGCTTCCGGAGCCCTTGCGGGTTTTATTGTTGGGCTCTGGCGGCAGAGAACATGCTCTTGCATGGAAACTCTGCCAGTCCCCTCTTGTTGAGCTTATCGTTGTATGTCCAGGAAATGTGGCGACAGAGGAACTTACCAAGACGAAAAATTGCAAATATGAGTCAGTTGAACAAGCTCTCAGTGTTTCTAAGAGTCGCAACATCAACTTGGCTGTCTTCACCAACGAAGCAGACCTAGCAGCAGGGGCCGTGGACTTGTTCTCTCAGGGTAATACTATCCTCGAATCGCATCACCATCCAACAGCTACAACAACTCTAATTCTTTATTCAGTGGTATGGCTAACTCGTTCACAGAGGGAATACCATGCATTGGGCCGCCAAAGAAAGCGTCGCTGCTTGAAACCTCGAAGGTCTTCGCAAAACGATTTATGAGCAAAAACAACATCCCAACGGCCACTTATGGCCATTTCTCGTGTTACGAAGAGTCTCTTCTTTTTATAGAAGATCAATTGGCTCAAGGGAGGAGAAAGGTAGTCCTCAAACATACCGGCATCGGAGCCAGGCAAGGTGTCTTCGTTATCGAAACGCTTGAAGAAGCAAAACAAACATTAGTCGCTGAATTCGGCGGACAACCATGTGGTACATCTCGTCAGCCAGACTTTGATATACTTATTGAAGAATTCCTCGAGGGTCGCGAGTTTACCATCATGGCTCTTACAGATGGCCGAAATTTCACCATGTTTCCCCCCTACCTAGACTTCAAGACACGCAAAGAAAACAATCAAGGCCCGATGACTGGGGGTATGGGCTGTGTGTGCCCTACGATCAGGTGTACTGAGTCCATGTTTCAAGCTTTGGCGCAAGGCTTTATGGCGCGCACAATTGCAGGCTTGGGTAAAGAAGGTACGTATTCATCATGATCACTCAATTACAAATATTAAGCTACACTCACCCATAGGACTTGACTTCCCTGGATTCATTGCCATTGATGTTATTTTAACTCACGATGGGCCGATTGCCATTGAGTATGACTTAAGACTAGGTGACCCGGAAACACAGGCTTCAATGCCTCTGATACAGCCTGACCTGGATCTAGCGAAGGTTTTGGCACAATGTCATAGCGACCAGATATCTCTCAGCTCATTACTCTTTCAAAAAGACAGGTTTGCGGCAGTTGTTGTTGCCGTAACAAAGAAATATCCACTTGAGTCAGAAACCCAGCCTCTGCATGTCAATCTGACTACACCAACTCAGAAAGGTATGTCTTCGGGATTGACTGGCTATTTCGATATTGCAATTGACTCCAGCGAAGATACGATCATATACCACAGCCATACTTTCCATCCAAGTGTACAGCCAAGCCAGCCCGTTGTGCAGGCACGAGGTGGTCGAGTATTAAGTGTATGTGGCATTGGCAATAACCTCGATGTCGCAGCTCAGAGGGCATATTCTGGCATGGAAGCAGTAAAGTTTGAAGGAATGGAGTACAGGACTGACATAGGTACTGAAACAGACAATGTATTGTAACAGAGACGGAGCACGTGGCTTATATAAACGAAAAAAAAAAAAAGTTGAAGATGAGTGCGTATGTACGTACGTTGTCAATGGAAGTTTTAACAAGGAAATATGACATGCATATACGCAGAAGTATTTTCATTACTCAAGGTTTTGTGTGCCTTTCATAATCTATGTAAGGTTTTTAATAGGTCAATCAAAGGCTAGAGGTAACAGCACCCAACATAAAACAGTAGAGCAAGCGAAACATGCTTAAATTTTAACTTCTTGAGGCTGCGTATTGCTGGCACTGGACCTCACGCAAACGGCCGCCCTGGCTGATGCTTGCGAACGCAGACCTTATCAGTGCCCAGCACACCCTGTATGTTGGGAGGTTTTTTTTTTTAAAAAAAAGGAAATTTCATTGGTATGTCAGCATGTAGGCAGGTAGTAAGAGTTATATGAGTCCTCGTGTGCACAGGTCAACGTTGAGGGGGCCCTGGAAGTAAGGTGTTGAGCATCCTCACACCACCCCCACATCCCTGTGTAACCCTTTCACATCACGGCCTCCTCCTCCTTGCGCCTCCCTTTTACACCTTCCCACACCTTCCTTCTCTCCCTGCAGCCTGATTCCACCTACTCGTGTACCCTCAAGTGACGCACTACTTTGATCACAGATCACTTCGTCTCATTAACCAATGACTGGAAGAGCCCTCCAGGTGCTTGTCATCGGGAAAGGTGCCCGAGAGCATGCCTTGGCCTGGCAGCTGAGTCGAGCCAGATCAGTCAAACATGTTTTCGTATTCCCTGGCAATGCTGGCACACATGAGGTTGCAGCCAGCAACGGCACAGCCGGGATTTCCGCCTTTGAAGGCGCCAGCAGCTCGGAATATCACGATTTGGCGAAGCGTGCCAAGGACATCGGTATAGGTTTGGTAGTTGTTGGTCCTGATGACGACGTGGTGAATGGCATCGAAGAATCCTTTCGCAAAGGTCAGGGAGCAGCTATCGACCTCTATCTATCAACCCTAACTGACATCTCCTCTTTTTAGTTGGCGTGTCTTGCTTCGCACCTTCGCGCGAGGCCGCAGAACTTGAAGGCTCCAAAGTCTTTGCGAAGGAGTTCATGAATAAGTTTGGCATTCCGACTGCCCACCACGGGAGTTTTGACAACCTCGAGGCTGCTAGTGCATACGTGCGCCATGTTTTCACCGACAAAGACCACCGTATCGTCATCAAAGCAGACGGCCTCGCCGCAGGGAAGGGCGTAGTTCTCCCTGAAACACCAGAAGAAGCACTGGAAGATCTTCGCAGCATCATGAGCGACGGCAAATTTTCTACAGCAGGCTCCTCAGTGGTAATCGAAGAGTACATGGACGGGTACGAGATTAGCATCTTGACCTTTAGCGACGGCAAGACCTTCTTTTCTCTTCCACCTGGGCAAGACCACAAGCGCATTTTAGAGGGAAACAAGGGACCCAACACTGGAGGCATGGGGGTTTACTCACCTGTGCCCATGGTGACCCCGGATGTCTTACAGAAGATTGATGAAGTCATCTTGAAACCTACATTCGATGCTCTTGCAAAAGAAGGTGAGCTGCCCATCATGTTTCGTTTCAATTCGGCTCTTAACAGCCCTACCAGGCCGTCCTTTCTGTGGCCTGCTGTTCACTGGAGTCATGGTCACCAAATCGGGTCCTAAAGTCATCGAGTACAACGTTCGCTTCGGCGACCCGGAAACTCAAAGCTCGATGCTTCTTGTTCACGAAGACACCGACCTCGCGAGTGTCATGCTGTCATGTACAAATGGGACACTCGCACAAGTGAAAAACAGCATCAGAATTAAGTCAGGTTTTGCATGCAATGTTGTTATTGCATCCGGCGGATACCCAGGGGACTACAAAACTGGAAAGGTTGCTACATTGAGTTCTCCACCTGAGGGAGTGGTTATCTTTCATGCTGGGACCCGTAAGGAGGACCGTTTGTTGAAGACCGCGGGAGGGCGTGTCTTTTCGGTTGCTGCTTACGGTGATACCCTTGAAGAGGCACGTCGCAAAGCATATATGGGTGTCGACTGCGTGTCATTCGAGGACATGGTGTACAGGAAGGATATTGCTCTGGGGGGTCTAGCCAAATGAGGAGCAGTGCCACCACGCTGTATCCTGAATCAGTTCAAGGATGTAAGAGCTGAGGTATAGCTTAGTTACACTTGTTATTCCTATACAACCAAGTCCAGGATGCTGTGTCTACAGATACTTAGGTAAGTGTTCAACTGACAATGCTCACCAGTCTGGTGTAGCGCCTATCGACCACGATGCGCAACAGCCTTTTGCTCGCTCCGTGAATATCGCTTTTCTCAAAGTCGACTTCATCCTACAGTCCCCGCGTTCTGACATGCACAGGCATACCATTCTTGACTCGTGGCGGCGAGTCTGTTCCAACTTGATAGCAACGATCACCCCAGACAGTCGGTCGTGCCTTTTCAGAGTTTGTAGTTCCACTGTACGAAAGGCTTTGGTCAGTAACGCAGTCCGCGATGTGATTGAGAAACCAGGAGACTTACTTGATGCGATCCCATTCTTCCCATGCACACTCGACATCGAAGCATCTCGCTACCAGTACCATGGCCAGCTTTATCTCGACGGTGGCAAGATGTTGCCCAATGCAAACCCGTGGCCCGGCCTCGAATGAACGCCAGCCGTTGGGTGGGGGGTACAAGGGATCCTCCGGATCAGTGACAAGAAAACGTTCTGGAAGAAACTCCCAGGCTCTATGCCAGATCTCAGGGTCACGATGAATTGCATATGACCCATCCCAAACAATGAAGTCCTCAGTTGGCAGCTTCTTCCCTTCAAATCCAGGATCGGTGCCCGGAGGACCCACGAGGAAGAACCCGGGCTCGCCACGACGCATTGAGCCGACGTTGGTATGATAACGCATAGATTCACGAAGGACAGCTAGTGTGTAAGGGAGCTGGTTTAGCAACTGTGGGTTCTCCCTTATCACATCTGCAGCACCCCAGGCATTCGAGCCAAGGACTGCATCATGCTCCTCTCGCAATTTGGCCAAAACCTCTGGATATTCGCTGAGCAGGCGGAAAAGCCAAGCAATAGTTGCCGCAGTGATATCAAAACCTGCAAAGAGGAAAGTATTGATCTGCCCAATGGCCATCTCCAGGAAGTCAGCGTCAAGCTCCATGTTCGATTGGTCCTTGCTGTCCTGTCCCGCTCCTTTCTGTTCAGCTCTCTCGGCATCGAGAGCCTGTACGATTAGATCGACTAGTGTCTTTCCCTTCGCTGTGCGATCCTGCTGAAGCTTGTTCATGCGCTCTTGAAGGGCAGGAGTGAAGCTTTTGACAAGAGTTCTGTAGTCCTGCCAGAGTTTGAAATGGCGCCACGGATTGTAGTATTGGATGAAGTTGGCAGGATTGACGAAGAAGTACAGCCTAGAAATGCTGTCAAGAAGGGCGGCGCAAACAGGTGAGCTTCTTCCCCACTGCTCGTGAATGCGAATGTTCCTTTGTGACGTTATTGGTTTCCAGGACTTGACGTCGGCAAATCTTTCGACATAGTGGAACTTACAGAAAGAGGCGAATGATAACATCGAGAGTGAGATTGGCAGTGGCATCTCCAAGTGGGAAGACCTCGCCCCATTCTCCGTCTTTGCCTGCTTTGCTCTTGAGAACATTGGCAAAGTCCTCCACCTCTTCAAGAATGTCTGGTAAACGACTATTGATATTTTGAATACTGAAAGCTGGGCTCAGTCTTTTACGCCAGACCTTCCACTCCGCACCTTCCATGGAGGCCAAATCGCGGTTCTTTGTGAGGGGATAAAGAACATGCTTTTGTTCATAAGCCTTGGGTAATGAGTGTTCTTGTGTGAATTGAGCCGAAACATTTGCGTTGAGAGAGATAACCATCGGGGTCGTGAAGGGCCACGTATCGATGTAAGCAACAGGTGGGCATTTTGTGCATTGAGGGAAGAGTTCTCGCCAGTTCTCTTGAATCTTCAGCATCAAGTAATCGCCGTGAGCATCAGGTGGAAGTGTTGAGACGAGTTTCCCAATAACTTCAAGGTGGCCGAGAATCATAGAATGTTTCATAATGGGCTACCCCTTGCATCAGAAACCGAAGTTATGTGGTGATGACAGGAATACATACAATGCCCTGATCCTTGAGAGCCTGGAACTTCTTGCGAACTTGATAACCTTTTCTGAAGGCGTGGACGAGTAACGCAACCAGTATCACGCCTGAGAAGCGGACGAAGCGCGTGAGGAGCGAGGAGCCGTCATCCTGAAGCCCAAGAAGCCACATCTTGGCCAATGGTGTCTGTTACACTTACAAGTCCTGGGGCTTGAGGATTGTGGATGCTCGGGAAATGTTGAGAAAGCCAGGTTGCATCGTCATCAGGGGAAAGATATCTTTCCTGCTGTCAGACAGCCACAAAAACGAGATCCTGGTTGAAATTGGCCAATCAGCTGTTCAATGATAAGCTGAACTGCCCCGCTATCACTAATTGCCGTGTACCTTAAATTGATGATCAGTCAGCGGTTATTGCAGATACTTTTGCCTTCCAAGTAGTTAATGCATTTCAACAGTATTGACACTATAGCATTCACAAGGTTTGATACCCGGTGCGATGTCGTTACAGTCTTGACTCCCAATCAGGAAAGGCGGGTTCTGCGTTTCTATCCGTATACTCAATACTAAAAGGCCGTGTGACTGGCGCGCATAGAACTGAAAAATATGGGGGGAAGCTAGCATTATCCATCGAATCATGGCAATCTGGGGATTCGTCCTCTTGATCGAATGACGGCGGTTGGTGAGAGGGGCCAGCGTCGGTGTACAGTGCTCCGATGTGGGGTTTTGAGAGAGATACAGCATACGAGTGAACGCACGTAGCCATTCATATAATAATACCCCTCTTCTCACTTTTATATGAATTGCCCTTGTGCTTGAGTAAGTGTTCGTTACCAAGAATTCACTCATCATGTCTATGTCAGTCGAAGATGCCACCAAAGTGCGAGAGAGTTTCCCTAAACCCTTTCCCAATATTCCCAACAATGTGGTTGAGCAGCTTCGCTTGAATGGTAAGGTCCTCGTTGTTAATGGAGCTGCCGATGGTCTAGGGTATTCGGTAGCCGAGGGCTACGCTGAGGCAGGTGGAAACGTTGCTCTTTGGTATAACTCGTGAGTTGCTCATAATACTTTCCTTTCGATCGATGTCATCAAACTGATCTAATCTGTGTTTCAGGAATGAGGCTGCTATTGAAAAGGCTCGACTACTCTCAGAGCAACATGGCATCAAGGCATCTGCTTACAAGGTCGACGGTGGGTACTTTCTCTGGACAGAGCCTCTAGCAGCAGCTAACACGAATGTTTCCCTCAGTATCCGACTCACAGCAGATTCAAGATGCCCTAAAGGCTGTTCTTGATGATTTTGGCAAGATCGATGTTTATGTTGCAAATGCAGGTGAGCATTTTCCATACTATCGAGCACGTATGAGTTTAAGGGAACTAAGAAATATCTAATAGGCATGGCAATTTCCAAACCAATTCTTGAACAAACTCTGGAAGAATACAGGAAGCAGATGTCGGTGAATGGTAAGTGATCAGTCCCAACGTCTCTGGTTCTACTGACAGCCATGTAGTCGACGGCGTTGTCTTCTCTGCCAAGTACGCCGGTGAGATTTTCAAGCGTCAGGGTTTCGGCAACTTCATCATCACCTCCAGCATGAGTGCCCACATCGTCAACGTGCCAACTGATCAACCAGTCTATAACGGGAGCAAGGCCTTTATAACACACTTTGGAAAGTCTCTTGCTAGGGAATGGCGCGAGTTTGCTCGTGTGAATATCGTATCTCCTGGTTTCTTTGATACGAAGATGGGTGCGAGCCCTGAGGCGCTTAATGAGGCGTATCGCATGGCTGTTCTTGGAAGGCAGGGACATGTCAAGGAGATCAAGGGTCTTTACTTGTACCTTGCTAGCGATGCTTCAACTTATATGACTGGAAGCGATCTGCTGATTGATGGAGGCTACGTGTTGCCTTAAGACAGTTGAAGAAAGGGACTCTAAAGTATCATAGATTTATTTTACGATGGTCAGTATTCAACAAGAGTATAAATATCCATACAATAATGACCGCTGAGTTGAGTCCGAGGATGATTTCACATTATCATCTGTCTGCGTAATCTATATAGAAGAAAAGACTATCTAGTGCAGAAAAGCCTACTGGTATTTAAGCTAATTTTTCCCATTGAAACTCTATAGCTGATCAAACTATCTTTCTCATCACAATCACGAAAATCAAACTTCGTATATACTATCGATGGCTTTTTAAAGATATTATCGAATTATCATATCCAAGTCAACTATGCAAATGGCCTTCTCATGTCATAGAACGCACTCATTGTCTCATGAATTTCACTCATTCTTTATTGATCTCGATTGTGTACTGGATTGGCCTACTACAACTCGGTCATCCCCAACAAATCAATTCTCTGTTCTGATTGCTCACGATGGAGAGGTGACATCGCTAATGCAGTCATGCTTCCCCTCCTTCGGAGGACAGTGACCCGAAGAGAATTATCACCTGACTGCGGCTACAGTAGGAGCCGTGTCGAATACATATATATATTGTAGCATAGATTTCATGGATTTAACAGCATCCGTACAGTTGCATCTTTAGCCTTTTGATCCCAAACCTTTTCTACCTAACTTGACACTATGAGCGAGACGGTCAGTATCGCCCTAGCTTTTGATAAATAATGGACTGACAAAACGTTGATAGAATCCATCATGTTTTCTGCATGGCCCCGAAGACGCTCGCTTCGGTGAAAGGCCAATCCCTCATATTGAAGATCCGCATGATGTAATTGTGAAGATTGCATACACAGGTGTTTGTGGTAGCGATGTGAGTATCAACCCAACAATCTTCGATATAACGCTGACAGTAGCAGGTTCATTTCTGGACAGAAGGCGGATTTGCACGAAGGGTTTCTGAGGAGCATCCTCTAGTAATGGGTCACGAAGCTTCGGGAATTATCCACAAAGCCGGCCCAGCGGTTTCGAACCTCAAGCCTGGTGATCGCGTGGCTATTGAACCGGGCTTCTCATGTAAGAGTTGCACGTACTGCAAATCCGGACGATACAATCTCTGCCAGAAGATGAAGTTCGCTGCGGATCCCCCGTCGACTCACGGAACGCTTTCTCGATATTTCAAAATCCCAGAGGACTTCGCATATAGGATTCCCGACTCCATCAGCCTGGAAGAGGCTGTTCTCGTGGAACCTTTGAGTGTCGCTGTCCATGGTGTTCGTCTCGCCGATGTACGGCCTGGCCATAGAGTCATAGTCCAAGGAGCGGGGGCTGTGGGCTATCTCACAGCGGCAACAGCGTGGGCCTATGGAGCCAAGCAGGTTGTCATCACCGATATCAACACAAATAAACTTGAGTTTGCAGAAAAAGGTCTCAATTGCCAAACGTTCAAGCCCCAGTCGAGTTCAACACCTGAACAAGAAGCTGCTAGGTTGAAACAAGAGACTGGTCTTGTCGACGGTGCTGACGTTGTCTTGGAATGCACCGGAGTCGAATCATCAGCACAACTTGGTATATATACCTTGAGACGCGGAGGTGTTTTTGTTCAAATTGGACTTGGCAAAGCTATGCAGACTTTGCCTCTTCATGCCATGTGCGAGAGAGAAATGGTATTGAAAACCTCGTTTCGATATGGTCCTGGGGATTTCGAAATTGCTCTTGGGCTTCTTGAGTCCGGAAAGGTGTCGGTTTCGTCTCTGATCAGTAGCGTTACCCCCTTCAATCAAGCCCCGGAAGCGTGGAAGAAAACTATGAATGGTGAGGGAATCAAGAATCTGATTGAAGGGGTCAAGGATTGAGATGGATGCTCAAGAACCAATGTCAAGTTCAATACCTGGATACAGCAACTACTGAGAGCCCATCATTGCGGGTGCTTTAGATATATCCGAGAAGAAGAAAAGAGTACCATTCCTGGGTGCCGAGTACACACTCCTGTTCTGATATGGCATCTTCTTGTCTTCGACAGTGACACTATTCCCGTCGCAATGCCGCTAGTTCCCATCCCGTCCGACAATAAAACCTCGACACGACTATCAAAACGACGACGAAGAATCAATCTGAATTCGAGGAAAGACAATAGTTTAGTGAATTAATCCATATCAATGCACTCTTTAAATAAACAGATGTCTTTTTATTTTCTTATTATCTGCTTTAGGCCTGTCCCTCCATTTCCTGATCCATCCATCGTGTAGTTAATAAGTTACCTAGTGTGTCAATTTCATTGTAGCCCGCTTACCACTCCACCTGTTCAGTGGTTAGCGAGGATAACTAATCATGACTCAATCGCAAACTCTGCTCCGATCTAGACTCGTATAAGTTCAAGAAATTGGCCATTGATTTTCATACTCAAGTTATCCATTTTCGCAAGCATAGTTTGGTGACCATGGCCGATTCGTCACCAACTGTGACCTCGCCGCCCCGACGAAATAGCCAGCAGGCGAACACTCCTCAAACAACGACGTCAACTAATAACAATCGCGATGGGGCATTGGTACTGCACGCCAATTCCTCAGCCACAGCTTGGTGGTCACGATTTCGATATCCAGTCATCACTGCTGGGATCGTGCTTTTACTGAGTCCATTTACCTTCTTATGGCCTGGTCAAGAGTCAATTGATCCCACGAATTATGCAGAGCGTACCAAGCGAATCCTCAAGACGACGCCGTAAGCTGACTCTTGATCTTACTTCAGAGAATTGCACTGACAGTCCGCAGTTTAATTGACGGCCACAATGATCTACCGTTCATGCTCCGTCTTGAACTCAAGAACCGCATTTACGATGAACGTTTCGACTTTAACAATCGATTGCTGGGCCATACAGACTTACAGCGGCTGAGGCAAGGCATGGTCGGAGGTCAATTCTGGAGCGTGTATGTAGACTGCGATGAACAGCAAAAGCACTTTGAGGATCCTTCTGTGAGTGGCGATTCTTTCACTAAATCTTCCCTCGTGTTTGACCGTTGCTAATCTCCTCAAAGTGGATCGTCCGAGACACGCTTGAACAAATTGACGTGACTCGACGTTTCATCCGAGAGCACCCCAAAGACTTGGAGTACTGTGATACTGCTGCCTGCGCTAGAAAGGCGTTCAAAGCAGGTCGTATCGCAAGCATGATTGGCATTGAAGGTGGCCACCAGGTTGGCGGCAGCATTGCAAGCCTTCGGCAGATGTACGAACTGGGAGCGCGATATATGACCATTACACACAATTGTGACAATGCATTTGCCATGGCAGCTTCAACCGTTGCCTCTGGGACTGCAGATTCTGGGATTGCGAAACTCGGAAAGGTAGCAATCAAGGAGATGAACCGGCTGGGAATGATGGTTGATCTATCGCACGTTTCTCATCAGACGATGAGGGATGTTCTCAGCATTGCTCGAGCACCAGTCATCTTCTCACATTCTGGAGCATACGCCGTTGAACCGCATCTTCGAAACGTCCCCGACGATGTTCTTCGCCAGGTCAAGCACAATGGTGGCATCGTTATGGCTGTGTTCCTCAATCGTTTCCTCAACATGAAGCATCCCGAACAAGCATCAATACACGATGTCGCTGATCATATCTTCCACATCGCAGAAGTATGTGGCTGGACTTGCGTTGGAATCGGTGCTGATTTCTTTGGCATGTCAAACGTGCCTATTGGGCTAGAGGATGTTTCCAAGTATCCCAGTTTGATGGAGGTGCTCATGCAGCGAGGCGCAACAGATGAGCAGATCCGTCTGCTCGCAGGAGAAAATATTCTCCGAGTTTGGGAAAATATTGAAAAGAGCGCTAAAGCAATTCAGGCTACCGGTGAGAAACCTGTCGAAGAGGAATATGAACGACGAGAGTGGCATAAGGGATTTTCAACTGATCCCTATATGCTGAGGGGAGGGCTTGAGGAGGCCTTGAAAAATGGGGCCAAGATTGAGGAAGATGTTTTCGATTTAGATGCCGAAGGAAGGCCTAAGATTCTATCTACTTAGATTTTATTGATAGGAGAAATCATGAAAGTTTCGTACTAAGCTGTATTTGTTTGCCTATTAAGAATGCGAAACTATGGGGTTCGTAAATAGATTTCAGATCCCCTTCATCCTAGGCAACAGAAGCTCGGCATTGTAAATACTAGCAAATAATTTCATCATTATTCAAAAGTTGAAAATACGGTGAAACAAACCTCCATCATGTGTAGAGTACTTGACAATCGTTAACCAATGCCTCACATAAAGACCTTCCTCTCACTCCCACAGCTGTGCACCTTCTCTGCACCTCGGGCAACATTCGCCCACCGAACCATGTTTCTTGCTACTCCGCGCTTGCTCAAAGGGTTGACAGTTGAGCTTTCATGCATAGGTACCTCATCTACACTCAAGGCAAGACTTGCAGCGGCGTAGCCGGCAGCCTTAGCATTGACGAGGAATGCTTCCCGGTTGATGTTCTTGATGTCATCACACGGAGTATGATAGCAAGCATCTTGCGGAACACCAGCGCCTGTGAAGATACCGGATGTGGGAATACCAAGTTCAAGGAAGCCCACATAGTCTGAAGACGCCCCAAAGGGTCTGTGGCGTGTTAGCGGAGTCCATTGAACAGATTTTATGAGGAAGGATTTACGTGTACTCAGCGGGATACCCTTTATTAGTTAAAAACTCATAGAGATATTTCGCGCCAGATTTGTGTGCATTGGAGTTAGCATATACGATGTAGTAAGGCTGTGGAGAGGCAATCATGTCGTAGTTGTAGTAAAATCGTATCTTGCTGGCCTCATCCCTGGACAAGTTGGAGACATAGTAAGTCGACCCAATCATCCCACTCTCTTCAGCGCCCCAAAAGGCAAATCGAAGCTTGTTTTTGAAGTTTTTATACTTCTTGACTGACTCGGCGATGCTGAGTAGGGCGGCGACACCGCTTCCGTTATCATTAATGCCAGGGCCTTCCTGAATAGAGTCAAGATGAGCACCCAGCATCACAACACTGTTAGAATCACCAGCCTTGGTATCTGCAATGATCTGCCAAGTTTCGCGCTTTTCAGTCAAGACATCAATGGTCAGATTGACCTCTAGGTTCTCCCCTGCTTTAAGACGTTCGGCCCAAGAATTTCCCTTGTCGTACGTGACGACACCAGCAGGTGCAAGTTTACCAAAGTTCTCAGCTCCGAGGGAGCCGGATCCCGCCGTTTGGTTGGGATTATCATTGAAGACGATGGCTGCTGAAGCACCGTTATCCTTGGCCAATTTGAGCTTGTTTGCAAACTGGCATTTCCCGCGCTTGATCAAAGCAACCTTCCCTTTGACGTCGATGTCTTTCCATTGGTCTTCGAAACAGCCTGAGCCACGAACATCGTCTATGGGGATGAGGGCCAAAGAGGCCGTTACTCCGTCGGGTAGGGGAGTGGCGTGATTGTACTGTAGTGAGACCACATCGACGTGTTCTCCATCGGGACCTGTCAAAACAATCTTTCGAGTTTGGGAAAAGAGATTCTTGAATGGCTGAACTGTGATAGCGAAGTGGTTACCGCCGCCCAAACGAGAAAGAACAAAATCAAGCGATGCCTTGTAACCTGGGAGTCCAAAGGCCCGGTTATTGCTGTTGTCGTGGGCAATTTTGTATAAAGCTTGAAGTGTCTTGTCGAGACTACAGATCATTAGTTTTTGATCCTCAAAAGGTATAAGTTCAGAGGGTGATTCGTTACTCTTCTGCTTTGATATCATCCGCTACACGTTGGGGAGTGAGCTGTTTGTATGCACAAGCTCCGGCAGAGAATATCGCCAGAGCGCGTATGAAACTATTGACCTTCATCTCGAAGTCTAACAAAGGGAAGGACTTGTGTCGTTTTCAAAGCGACTCAGAAGATTTCATTAGTTAAATAGAGAGAGAATATATTGCGAACAGCTGTGCCTTCGGAAAGGAATGCCACCCTCGCACTCGAACCATATTCTTTAGCTCTTACAGGAACCCAAAACCCGGCAGAATCCTTCGAATCCTGCCAAACTTTGCTGAGCCACAGGTAACATTAGGAAGGTATCACAAAATTGAAGGAATCGACCTGGGGAACGTTACTAGGCTAAATATTGAGGCGCGACTCTATTTGATATATGCTCCATTGGTTGAGGCTTAGATATGGTTTGAGAGCGAGCTGACCATTCAGTGCTCGAGTATGAATGGATCAATTTATGCTAATACGGGAATAACGGGTTGATCTCCCGTTATTGGAGTCCCGCTAAGTTAGTTGATGAAGAGTCTGAGGCACATAGTCCGAGATATGTGATCCGAGCTGACCAATCACACGAGTTCAGACACTCTGGTCTTTGATTTTACTAGACGTTGGACAATCATTTCTCTGCAATCAAATGCCCGAAAAGTCGGAGATACCTTATGATTTCTCATCGGTTTCGCGGTATTTAACCAACCCTGGCTATCTCCTGACTATTCACGGCCTCTTCCAGCCTACTGAACTCGCCTTCAAAGGAATCAACCCAAGCAATCTGTCTCAGCATTCCTTCTAGTTCGATCCAGTTCAAACCAAGTCGTTCAATCGTAAGAGCTATCCTCTGAGTCATCCAGCTTCTGTCACGAGTCCCTTCGGTCACTGCCGCTATAACTTGTACCCAGACCTGAAGTTCTTCCAACCCATCCCACGATATTTCATAACCTGTCAGTAGGTGCGACAGTTGAGGTTTGCGATACTGGATGGCGCCGACTGTGTGATGACTGTGCTCAGCGGCCGTGACGAGAAACCTCAAAGCGGCCAAACGAACGACTTGGTGAATTTGTGATATCCTAGAAGAATGCCCCTCTGGCCCTTCTGATGGTGTGTGCCTTGGCACCAGGAGAAGAAAGTATGAGCTATGCAGGATGGTTTCACAGTAACGGAATGTCGACTCCTCCCAGTGTTGAGACGCCTTAGCAACTCTTGCCAGTGATAGAAGAACTGAACATAAATCTGAGAGAACTGGCGACAAATCCCTCAAAGCCTTTAAAGTTTTTGCCAGAACATGGGTAATTGTGGGCTGTTCAAGCTGAGTCCATAGGTGAGAAGGAGCTGCAAATCTCGGCGGACGGTCCAGGGATAGGCTTCCAATAACATCTGACCTGTGAATATCAACTTGGTTAGTTTCCGATCTGAGTCGAGTTCTAACCATTGCCTACCAAATTAAAGACAATAACAAATATGATGAACGAAACCTGTCTACTCCTCCGCGACCGCGCACCAAGGTCTCTAGGCCAGCCAGGTGGGTGCTGTATCGTTCGACTTTACCTATGCTCATCTGTAGGCAGTTAGCGGGGGATTTCAGCTTTGATCTCAAACATTACATCATAGTTGGCAAGACCTATAACAGTGATCAAAATTTCGTCAGAAGGTACGCTATTCGATGTTTGGATCTTTTGGCTGGTGAAATGTAAACTGAGATTGTAGTGCTTCAACGCCGTTGAATCTTCTCGCCCAGAATGCATATCACCTGTATACTCATTGCTATACAGGGCGGTCTCCGCAAGTGCAAGATTTAGAGTAGCCTGGTCGACAAGGCCGATAGCAAAGCACATCTCTCTGACCTTGTCGCATATGGACGACTTTGGCCGAAGCACTGTCTTTTGTAAGATTTGATAGTTCATGATAAATATTACTTACGAAAGGCTTCCATCATTTTAGCTCTAGTGTCAGTCCTGGAGTAGAGTGTCCGATCTGCACCTGGCTCAAGAAGCTGCATTGATGACTCCGACACTTCAGGCCTACGATTATCTGGTTGGTAGAATGTGTATGCCGGGTGGGTTTCGTGAAGTGCCAAAGTCTTTGAAATGTCCGGCTCGGTCCTTAACTTCCTACTATGCGTATTCTTTCTTCTTGATAATCCTATATCTTTCATCACATGCTGATGAATTTTGCGCTTGTTGTGCCGGTTTTTGACCTCGTCTGGGTGGCTCACGCTGACAAACTCGAGCTTCGACCCTATCCGAGTCGAGGCAGGCATTCTGGTCGAGGGAAGATGGGGGCAGTCGATTCGTTCTCTATATGTATAGTTTTCATTAATGTGAGAAGATACGTGCTGGTGATGATTGTAGATAAGCTGATATGTTTAGTGCATTCTTGATTCGTCAGCAACTTCCACGCCAGATCCAGCCAGAAAAGGACTGCAAGTGGATCGTGATAAGGTCACGCCAAAAAGCATAAAGAAAGTTGGTTCATGATTCTTGTTCTTCGGGTCTAGAAAGCAAGGCATCAAGTACAATTTTCAGTGCTCAACCTTGAGCCCCTGGTAAAGCCATGTCTGATAGGCTCCAATAAACAAGTTTGACCTGCAATGACTCGGCTTGCCAGAAAGCACATCGTAATACTTTACAACAACCGGAATCCTATCACCGACCTCCATTTTTGAGAGTTTCTCCCGCATATTACCTCTCAACTCAATCCATAATGTAATCTGACTCACCCTTGAACCAACATCCTGGACACTGTATGGATTCTCCCGTGCACCAAGACTCTGCTGCATCGTTGGCGGCACACAGATCCAGAGATCGTAGATTCTTCTTGCTTATCATCTCCTTCCAGTATGTCACTCGTTTAGGTCTATATCGAAGACAGTCGCAGCACAGTTCCATCGTCCGTTTGGGTTGACCTTTGGGAGTCAGGGGTCTCATGCGCTTGAGTAGGTCCTTGATATGTGAACAATAAGGTATGTCAGAGTACGCATGGCCACTGGCTGAGATAATGTGGAAGTCGGTAGACTGACAAAGACGATAGAATAAGGATTTGCAAGTGAGTCCAAGACAGAGTCTGTCTTCAACCTCTATATAGGATGTGATCTCGAGCAATATCTCATTCGGAAGAGTCTTGAATAGCGCCGATTGGTCTCGTTTGACTTGCGATAGCTATAGCGTGTTACTTTACTGTTCCTCTCGAATAGACGCGCTAGGTAGGTTGTTTCAATTGTCAAATACGTACCTGTTGCGGAACAACAAACGGTGCGGTAGGACACAAGCGCGCGCGCATCTGACCATGTTTGTAGTAAATTGTGAAAGCCATCTTGCTGAATAACAAGTAGCTGCGGGAGAAGTTGCAGTGATGTTTGTTAAGGAAAGTTCCTTGCGCAATACTTCGTCCTCGCGAGGTGAAAGGCGTTCTGAGCAAGAAGCCACAAAAAGGAGAGTTGACGAAGCAAAAAGTCAAGCTCGCGGTCGAACTCAATATGTCGTTATTGAGTTGGTTTCTGTCGTCATCTGAAGTAAGTAAAAGAATTGTTTACGTATTCTTCCGTTGAAAAATTGTGATATGTCAAGATGAGGAAAATAAAACAGATCTCCAGTGAATAGGCATTGGCATCTTCCGGAATCAAGGTGGATGCTGAAACTGGCTGGCACTGGCGGGCTCCTCATATTCACTCACGTTCTGGAACGGTAGACGAAGTTCATATTTCCATATTGCAATTTTCTTTGTTTTTATTTGATGGAATAACATCTCGTCTCTGTCGTTCCTGTACTCATGTACCTCTCAGCTTTCAAATATGCCATAACCGCAAATATTGAACCCAAAGAGATTACATGGTTCATAAGTCATAGCTCGACGCCCAAGTGTTTTCGGTGTAAAAGAATACATCAAGTTTAACTCCGAAGTTCATTCAGTTTCCAATACACATACCCAAGAATCGCTACGATATCAACATGGTCATGGCGGAAAGCTTGGCTTCCACTATTCCTGCCAAGCCAAGTCGTATTTCTAAACGAAAATGCATGATAATCACTAAGAGATCCATTCCGCCCAGACACTAGATCATGAATAAACACAAGATGCATGTAATCAGAGGCGGCTGGGCGAACTTGGCGGAGCTTGTGCATCGTTGATCTGGGGTAGGCTGTTGATAGATGCGGCCAAGTGACAGCACCCGGCCGCCAAGAGAGTTTCTTGTCAGAACGACATCCGTCTTTATTAGTCAGAAGCTTGTTTCTTGGCTGGTTGGGATAGCTACAACATACATTGATAGAGCCTTGGTAATAGTCTTGGCCAGCAGTGACTCCACCTGCTTGAGGTTTTGTGTCGGGGACAGTGACAAGGTACTGGCGGTAGCCTTATGGAATCACAATATTTATATAGGGGTGCATTACTAGAAAGTACTAAAAATATGTTAACCTGAAGTCAGTGGGATAGTGAAGTGACTTCTGAGCCAGGATTGTACGGCATGCAACGTGTTTAGTAAAGAGGTTAGGCTGAAGCCTTAATCTTAAGTTGTTAGCTTCATAAGTGATAGACGGTATGAACTCCATTGTGTGGCGAGTCTGATCTGATTTACTTATCTCCATTAAGCTTCAACGGTCTCGACTCTATCTCTTGGTTCGGTGCCAATCTGCCAACTTCCGCGTTTCTAGGCTTAGCATCAGATACGGTACAGTCCCCCACCAAAGTCCTTGGCTGCATCTAATGCTGTAACACCTCGGGCGTAATAGGGAGTGATTGCCGTAAAATACGGCCAGTTTTCCACTGTGCATCAATGCCTGCTTAGGTGCTTGACAAGCTGCAAGCCAAGTCACTGGCCGGTTTAAGCTACGACTTCACGGAGCGGAACTTAGCCAAACGGCATTAGATCTTGGCAAGCTATTTGAGTGGACGATCATTCCGAGATCTTATCGGTTATTAATATTATATCCAGGATGTTTACGGAATCTGACCGTTGAGAAAAGAAGCAAATTGATCATTGCTAGCTGTCGATCTCAAGCGGTCGCGGATTAGAGTCGCCTTAGCCGCCGTTATAAATATAACTCGCTCGGACACAGGATACGAAAGCCTGCATTATCTAGTTCTGGTCACTGTCTCACAGACTACTGCACAAAGCGATGAGCAGCCGTTTTTTCCATATATGCACAGAGTACAAAAACATCACGAATGGGGGTTGCCCGGGGAAAACGCGGGGTCTGGGGTCACAAAGTGTAAGCCATGCGCAAAAGCAAAATGAGGTCCTCAACAAACCAATTCATCCCTACCAGTCTCATATTGTTTCTTTTCCCACGAACGAGAAATTAGTTGCAAGAGATCAGACATTTCAGCAGTGATTCCCCTGCTCCGGTGAACCAACCGGGGGCTTTAATAGGAGTAGGCTCGATACCCTGTATCCTTGGTATCACTTATTGTGTCTTTGTAGCTCAAAAAGCAACCATAGTGGAAATTTTGGTCATTAATACTCCATGCCAAGGCAACCTTGATCTCAACACTAAACGCTTAGAGATTACGCTTCAGTATCACCGCTTGCGTTGAAATGGTCCTGGTCAGTACGGCTGCATTTCACGCAATGCCTCAAAGAATGCCTAATGGTTAAATTTGCTGCTTATACTCACCAATAAGTCACACAACCGGAGATGTGCAGGACAGGTCGGCCATCAAGATGCTCCTCGTTGGTCGCTCGGCGTTTGGACCGCGCATGCCGAGTGCTGAGGCCCGAAGCCGCCACTTCGGCTGTGCCAAGCCTCAACGGAGCGGAAGGTGGATCACCGCGGCGGAGCACGTGACTCGTACGATTTTTGTCTTGGCATCAAGGGAGCGGAGGTGGGTACAGAGGCGCAGGCCGAGACGGAGGAAACTGGGGCTCCGGAGAGGCCGGGAAAGTGTGAAGGCACATGGGCATCAAACGTGAAGAAATGAGGAACTTTTTATAGTTGACAGGAGATATGAGCCCATCGGGAAGTCAATCAAGAGCCTTTTCGAAGAAAGAGAACAAAGAAATAATTCACATCGAAATGATGGCAGCAACGATCGGGGGAGCCAACTCTGCTTTATCAGTGCGGCATGTCTTACCACTAACCATAATACGAACAAACCCGATCCAAGAAAAGAAAGAAAAAATAGGCGACTTTTTGGCAAGCATTCTTTCTGTTTCTCGACGTAACATGAACTGAACACACGGCCTGCCAAGACAAGAAGTGCTGTCACTATTGGACAATGGACCCAGAGAGTGTGGATCAGGTGATATGATTGATTTTGAGTAACCGATAAGCTTAGCGCAAGTGCCCAGAACCTTAAGCAACATAAGCGCAAGGTTAGTTGGTCCTAGAGGAGGAGCCGACAGGGTGTGGCGATCCAACAGGCCAATGGACAGAGTCCAAAGTCTACAGCCAAGCCAGCCTCTTAACTTGTTCCATAAACGAGTGTCTCTGGCAAGGGCTCTCATTTCATGCTGTTTTTCTTTCTTGTTACCCTCCATGCCAGATGCAAAATCCCCCACGGAAGATGCAGAGATACCTAAACGCAGAATCGATCAGAACATCGTTTTTGTTGGATTGTCAGAAGATATGTGGGGGTGCAGAGCTCGATAGTTCGGCGTATCTTGACTTGAAGGTCCGAGGATTGATTGGATACGCGTCATTGGTCAAGCGCCAAGAGCCGCCAAGATGGAGTTGGCCCTTTGAGGTTATCACGACGACCGCTAACCCTAGGCGCCAAGATGTGATGAACCAGCTGAACCTTGATACAGACATTCTTGCCTTCGGCGAGATGGTGGTTTGTCGAGCAATCACTAGCTTGTGCTTTTTCCTTGGCTCTCTCGTCTTGGCTAAGATGGCATGGCATGGTCGAGTACCGGTTGATACTCTCGGATGGTGGTGGAATGCCGAATGAGCTTTCAGAACGAGTAAGAGAGCTGCAAAACATAGCATCCATGGTTCAGTGGGCACGATTGGAGTTTGAGACAAGAGATGGGCATCTCGTTAATAACAGTGTTGCATTGGTCATGTTTGGTATGCTGCCATGGCTCTAACAGAGAGCTATGACCATGCTCGCATTGCAATCGAGGCCATGTGTCAACGGTTAGCTTAACCATGACGATGGATGCCCGTTGAAACAACCGGTCCATGATGATCAAAAGGCCAGGGGAATGTCAGAAAATGCTTGTTGGAGAAGTGCTGTAAATTTGACAGACGCCGCTCTAGACGCTGACCTCGTGAGAAGCGAGAGGATCCATGACCGCCGCGACCATGCGACATTCCAAGTCTGCAATGCACACCAATGACCTCACCTCTCAATTGTAACAAGAGCAGCAAGATTTCTCTTGTCGCGCAGTCTATCCTCCGTCTTTGCACCCATTGCACGTTTGCGCAACACGCCAAGCTGCCAAGACGCCAGGATCCCCACTACACACACCACCAAACAGTCTCACGATACGATACGCTACTTTACCATTTTACCGGCCTGTGTTTTTATTTGGGGTTTTGGGATGGTAAGGCGACTGGGGTCTGGAGATGATAGAACCTGGAAGAAACGCACCGAGAGATTGAGAAGAAATTTGTGACATGCTTCCAGGTCCTGGTGCTGCATCCAAGCTTACACTGTTCCATAGACTGAAGACTGAGTATAGAACGACCTCTACCGATGGTAGCACGGCAGTTGGAGCGTAAAATACGGTCCATCACTGGAATTGACGTCACGGGGCCGTCCGTTTCGTTTCCTCTCCGTTCCGGGGACGGCCGTCAACGATACGGCACCTGATTTATAGGAACAAACCACAACTAAGGTAGGCTAAATTCACTAAGAAAGTAGCACTGCATTTGCAGGCTGAGGGGAGGCTCAACACCTGTCTACAGGGGTTATGGGGGGAGTGTGTGGGGAAAATAGCGAACTCTCCAAGTCCGGTGGCGGATGTAAACCGCTGCTCAGGTTCGGGTTCGGGATGGGTCCAACGCCAAGAAATCCCGAGCCTGGCAACGACTCAGGTCCGCGATAACATGAGCAATTACATGCTTTCATGGGCCTCTTTCTAATTATGACGGTACTGTTGTTTCTTGAGATTTCTCCCTCCCTCAACTATATATGACCTCGTCCCCCGCACCCCGCCAAGGTCTATTTCCCATAAACTCCAAAGTTATCAATCACATACGTCGATTGTTCTCTAATCGTACAGATAACATTTACCCATTCATGCCTTGAATCTAATTCCTTAATTATCACTCTTTTATTCGTCGATGGAGTTCAAGTAGTCAATCGACTCTTGTATACAGCACCAACACATCCACCCAAGACATATCTCACAACGACCGTCACTTATACCCAGAGCATAGAGCACACAAACAACAGTTTAAGCTCTCTTCTCGCGCCTTTTCATACAAATCCTGGTCGCCAATCTTCATTCCATCGACCATGGCGGCCGAGTACCCCAAGCACCCGTTCCTCCTCACAATTGAGGAGACGGCGCAAGCTCTCGACACCAGCATCGACAAGGGCCTTACCAGTCAACAAGTGGCTGAAGCTCAGCAAAGATATCCCAAGAATGAGCTCGACGTGGGCGGTACAGTACCATGGTACAGTATTTTGACCAAACAGCTGCTCAATGCCATGATCATTGTAAGTGGCATTCCCCTTCAAACTCAATTTGCCAAACTAACCCGCCACAGGTTCTGGCATTTGCCATGGCTCTCAGTTTCGGTATCAAAGACTACATCGAAGGTGGTGTGCTTGTCTTTGTTATCGTCCTAAACGTCACCATTGGTTTCTGGCAAGAGTACCGCGCGGAGAAGCGCATGGATGCTCTCCGAGCTCTCTCCTCTCCTAGTGCCATGGTTCTTCGCGATGGAAAGACTCAAGTTATTTCCAAGTAAGTATTTACCACGCAGAACCAAAACTTTACTCGAAACTAATCAATTGCACAGCCCCGAAGTCGTTCCCGGTGACATTGTCCTTCTCAAGATGGGCGACACCGTCCCCGCCGATCTCCGTCTCTTTGAAGCCATGAACCTTGCTTGCGAGGAAGGTCAACTTACTGGCGAATCAATCCCCGTCGAGAAGATTACTGATAACAATATCACCGCTCCCGGAACCGAGAAGCCTGTCGAGTCCGAGGATGAGATCGGTATTGGTGACCGTGTCAACATGGCTTATGCCACCACCGTCGTCCGAAAGGGCCGTGGTCGTGGTATTGTCACTGCTACTGGCATGTCCACCGAGGTCGGTAAGATTGCTGCCTCTACTTCCAAGAAGACTCGCAAGGCTGGCCGATCTATGAACTACAAGAAGTACGGAAAGCGACAGCCCTTTGTTGGTGCTTCCAAGCGAACTTGGGATGTTATCGGCAAGTTCTTGGGTCTCACCGAAGGAACACCGCTCCAGCGAAAGCTCTCCGCTCTTGCTTACGTCCTCTTCGGTTGTGCTATCATTCTCGCTATCGTCGTGTTTGCCGTCAACAAGTTCGACATGAAGAACGAGGTCATTATTTATGCGACATCTCTTGGTATCGCCATTATCCCCGAGTCCCTGGTGGCTGTCTTGACGATTACCATGGTCGTTGCTGTTACTGTCATGCGAAAGGCCAATGTCGTTGTCCGTGATCTTTCCGCCCTCGAAGCTCTTGGAGGTGTTACCAACATTTGCTCTGACAAGACTGGTACCCTCACCGAAGGAGCTATGATTGTTCGCAAGGCCTGGATCCCCTCTTCTCATATCTACACTGTTCGCGACTCTCAGAGCCCCAACGATCCCACCAAGGGTCGAGTAACCTACTCCAAGCAAAACGATGAGCCCGAGGAGAAGGAGGCCCCTCGTGACTACGATCGCGAGCGCAGTGCCGCTGTCCTCAAGTTCGATGTCCCCGATGAGAAGCTTAACCAGAACAACGCCCAGCCCAAGAAGCCTGAGCCCGAGGTTGAGTGCGAGATGACTGATGAACTTCAGGCTTTCTTGCTTTCTTCCGCTCTTTGCAACTTGGCTACTGTTCGATACGATGATGAAGAGGAGAAGTGGCAGGTTACTGGTGAGCCTACCGAAATTGCCCTTCAGGTCTTCACCCACCGCTTCAACTCTGGAAAGAAGACTCTCGAGGGTGAAGGCTGGAAGCAAATCGCCGAATTCCCCTTCGACAGCTCTATCAAGCGAATGTCCGTCATCTACGATGCCCCAGAGGGTGCCAAGGGCTCCATTATCGACACTGCCAACTCAATGGTCTTCACCAAGGGTGCTGTCGAGCGTGTCTTGGATCTCTGCGACTACGTTGGCACTGGGCCTGATCAGCAGCCCATTACCGATGAGCTCAAGGAGAGTGTCCTCGAGCAGATGAACAGTCTCGCTTCCCAGGGTCAACGTGTTCTGGCTATCGCCTATCGTCCTTGGGATGGTCGTTTCACCGCCAAGCAGGCCTCTTCTCCCGCTGAGGATGAGAAGCTTCGAACTGAGGTCGAGCAGGGTCTTATTCTACTTGGTCTTGCTGGTATCTACGATCCTCCTCGCCGCGAAACTAAGCCGTCTATCGCCGAGTGTTCCAACGCTGGTATCCGAGTTCATATGCTTACTGGTGATCACCCTGAGACTGCTAAGGCCATTGCCAAGGAAGTCGGTATCATTCCCAAGAACCTTAGTATTCTACCTGATCACGTCGCCAGGTCCATTGTTCAGAAGGCGACCGATTTCGACAGAATGACCGACGAGGAGATTGATGCTCTCGAGGAACTTCCTCTAGTTATTGCCCGTTGCGCTCCTGACACCAAGACCCGCATGATCGACGCTCTCCGTCGTCGTGGTGCCTTCATGGCTATGACTGGTGATGGTGTCAACGATGCCCCTTCTCTGTCTCGTGCCGATGTTGGTATTGCTATGGGTTCCGGATCTGATGTTGCCAAGTCTGCCTCCAAGATCGTACTTACCGATGATAAGTTCAACTCCATTGTCGCTGCTATCCGCGAGGGTCGTCGCATGTTCGACAACATCCAGAAGTTCGTCCTCCATCTCCTAACTTCCAACGTTGGTGAGGTTATCCTCTTGGTTTGCGGTCTTGCTTTCGTCGACGACAGTGGCTTTTCTGTGTTCCCTGTCTCGCCTCTTCAAATTATCTGGATCAACATGGCTACCTCTTCATTCCCTGCATTCGGACTCGGTCGCGAGCAGGGTGCTCAGGACATCATGCGCAAGCCTCCTCAGGATAAGAAGCGCGGTGTTTTCACCAACCAGATCATCATCGACATGATTGTCTACGGTATTATCATGGGTGCTTGCACAATGTGCACTTTCGTCATCATCGTCTATGGTGCCAACGGCGGCAACCTCGGCTTCGAGTGCAACCAGCGATACTCCGAGGAGTGTATCCCCGTGTTCAAGGCTCGCGCTGCTACTTTTGCTGAGCTGACATGGCTGATCCTCATCTCTGCCTGGGAGTTCAAGAGTCTGCGCCGCTCCGTCTTCCGCCTTAACCCCGACGACGACAGCAAGTTCCCCGTGTTCAAGGACATCTACTCCAACCGCTTCCTCTTCTGGTCCGTTATCATTGGCGGCCTCTCCGTCTTCCCTGTTGTCTACATTCCCGTCCTTAACCACAAGTTCTTCAAGCACACTGGCATCACTTGGGAGTGGGCTCTGGCCGTTGGCTTCACTGTTGTGTTCGTTGCTGGCATTGAGCTCTGGAAGATGACCAAGCGACACTTCCACCTTCTTGAGGACGCTCCTGTCCGACGTGGTGTTTGGGGCCAGGGTGGTGAAGACGGTGGTCGCCTTGCTCGAACTATGTCTCTGTCCAGCTTCAAGACCTGGGCATCTTTCTCTCGAAAGGACACTGGCGAGTCTCTCGGAAAGCGAAGCACCTCTCGTGGACCTACCGATCGACACATTGTGCCTCAAGGCCTTGCAGCCACCGAGGCCTAATCTTATGATTTGCATCTCTGATGATAAAAACATTTAAAAGGGGTGAGGGTAGTTTTCGAATATGTGGTCTCATGAACTGAAGAATATTTTGGACAGATGGGAAGGATCATGACGAATCTTAATATTGCATGTTACATTGATATCACTTCTGCTTTTAGTTGCATTATTCCGCCCTGATAGAGGGTATAGATATCCCGCTGCCCAGCCACAGAATGCTGGTGCGAATGAATTACATTGTCACTGAACCTTTTTTTGTCCTGTGTGATGTCTTGGAAATCTTTCAGTGTCTTTTATTCATTAATCTATCCTCTACATAATTGTTTTAACCACAACAGCCAGCACCACAGCCAACAGACCCACGCTGGGTAAACTCACTTTCGAATGCGAAGCATTGTTCTCACCAGTCGTGTTGAGTCCCAAGTATTGAGCACCGATGGTTGTCAGACCACCACTATTTGACAGGAAGGCGGCGTTAGGGCCAACATTGGATACATCTGAGCGAAAGGCGCCGAAATAGGTGTATCTGCCAATGAAGGCTGACTCGTCGAACCATTTAAGAGTCTGCTTGAAGAATTGTTCTGTCGGTTGAGGGTCTTGGTGCGCGTAGGCGTATTCTGTCACCCATATAGTAGAGTTGGGCCACCTATCAATAATCTGTTAGCTTGAGTATGTGTTATAAACAGGAGAGACATACTCGGCAAGACGTTCACCAATGTGAGAGGCAAGGCCTTCAAAGTTGTCGTACCAATGCACAGGCAGATAGTCCCATGTGCAGTTTCTTTTAGGCCCATCTTGACTCTTGATCGCGGAGCAATTGCCCAAGAACTGCTTGAGCCATGGCATGCTACCCCATCCACCTGTACAAGCAGGAAGACCCAACTTTACACCCATCTCACCCAGGGGCTCAAAGTTCGCGACCCAAGCCTCGGCAGCGACCTTTGGGTCGAGATTGCTTCCCCCCACATCGTTGCCAGCATCGGGTTCATTGAATCCCAAGACATGCGTGATGTTGACTCCATCTTCCATGAGGCTCTTGACATTTTGCAGGAATGTCGTATCGCTTGAGTCGGATCCTACACCCCACATCATAGGTACGAACTCGAACTGTTCTTGAGGAACATCCTTATATACAGCAGAGGGCTTGTCTCCATAGTTGTAGTACCAGGTGATATCGCTGCCGTTCTGGACCCAAATTTTGTCGTCCTGAGGTTTCTCGGTGTTGGGAACGAAGCAAAGCCCTCTCTTATGATCGCGGGTGGCGTACGAGAGACCGGCTAGCATGAGAGCCAGGAGATGCTTTGACAAAGCCATGCTCTTGTTTGATCGTAAAGTTTGTTTTGAGTAATAGCTGTGGTTGATTCAAGAGAAAGGAGAGGTAACAAGCCAGGTCCCAAAGGCTGGGTGTCTCGAATGGAAAAGTTGGGACTGTTCTTCTCAGCTTCTAACGGTCCACTGGCGTTGCCTGATGTTCTGTCCCAGTGGCGGTTAAGTTAAACACAAATTGGCACAGGTAAGTATGAAAAGAAAGTATGAATGTTCAGCTTCAGCAGATTATCAGAAAGATTGTCAATAAAAGGGAGTGACGAGTCAACAAAGGACAACAGAGATCGCAGTCATAAGGAGGAGAACGAGAAGAGGCGCGGCCTCGAGTTATGAGGAAACATCCAGCAAACATTTCGTTCCATAGCTGTTCTTCATCCATCAAATAACCTGGACAGCTTGTAAGCGGTGGCTTCTGGAAAGTCGCCGAAAATGGACATAGTATGAAGCTATCCGATCTACTGGTTGATTTACATGGCCGCATCGGGAAGATAGTCTGTCGAGCCAGGGTCCAGACGTTCAGAAACTAGGGACTTCCGAGACACGCTCTATAGAATCCAGCGCCCTTATTGGATCATCGTGATGATCCAGGAACAAGCGCGGCACTACGCCACGTTCTCGTGGATCAAATACCCGTCGGAATCGATGTAATGAAGACTGGACCAGGTTGGTGGACCCATTGTCATCTAAGAATGGGCTGGCGTTGGGATGCCAACCCCATGCTTCACATCATGGGCGCTTGCTCTTCACTGTTTTAGCCTGTGCTCAGTCTTCCTCAAGAATGTCAGAGAATGACACATAACGAAGAGAGTTGAAAAGTTCGTAAAGCATGAACTAGAAGAAAAACGTCATGGAAAGTGAGAATCATCCGTTGAGCCAACTGCATGTTGAGTTTTTCTTTGCATTCCAGTCCTTTTTGACGGTGAATTTGGTAGCATGACTTCTCAAAGCAGAAGATACTGTCCAGTCGAAGCGACATTGTGTACAGAGCGTATAATGCGCAGAGTTAGGGACAATTAAATACTGACATCATGACTAATAAGCAATAATCGAAGTCCGGGATCTTTTCATGGGGTATTTGCCATGCCGAGATAGCTAAGGACGGCTTTTTCTGACGCGGCTGTTGGTGTGTTAGTGGAATTCCATCGCTTCTCGCCGAGGTCCCTGACATTATGTCATCAATCTGCCTTATGTAATACACCGAAACCTCGGGAAGTGGTCAGTCTCGAAGCGCTACCTCGGCTTAACCCCACACAATTGGATGCGCCGTCGCAAGTACCGCTGCAGCTTCCGTCAATGTTTACCCCAGACCCCTCCCATGATGGACTTCGCCTCGGCATCTTTTTCTCCTATTTAAAAGCCAACGGCGCTGTCGCCTCAACTACATTATCCAACCTGACACACAAGTTTTGTCGATTCACAGCACAGAATATACGCAATGGCCGCTGAACGTATTGGTTCCATCATCAAGCACCTGGCCCCTGGGTCGGCGCTCAACAGCATGTGAGTGGCGATCGCCCGAACGAATTATTGTTACCGAAACTAACAATGCCATGATAGTCAAGCGAAGAACCCCGATGACATTGTCATCACCCTCGCTGCCCGAACCCCTCTCACAAAGGCCAAGAAGGGTGGTTTCAAGGATACTTCTCTCGAATACATGGTATATGCTCTGCTCAAGGAGGTTCGGGAACGATCAAACCTCGACCCTGCCCTTGTTGAGGACATCTGCCTTGGAAACGTATGTCGCAATCCCATGAGCCAAATCGAACTCTCCTAATTGATGATCAATAGGTCTCCGATGCCAAGGCTGCCTACAAGGTTCGCGCCTCTGCTCTCGCTGCTGGCTTCCCCAACACCGCCGGTGCTTCTTCCGTCAACCGATTCTGCTCTTCTGGTCTGAAGGCCACCGCCGATATCGCTCACTCCATTCTTAATGGCTCCATCGAGATCGGTATCGCTATGGGTGCTGAACAAATGACCATTGGAGGCGATGCGCTCGAGAAGCCTTTCGACGAGGCTGTTACATCACAAAGCCAGGAGTCCGTGGATTGCATGCAGCCCATGGGTTGGACCAGCGAGAATGTCAGCAAGGACTTTGGCGTCACCCGCGATGTGATGGACAAGTACGCGGCTGAGAGTTTCCAAAAGGCTGAGGCGGCGCAAAAGGCTGGTTTGTTCGCCGATGAGATCGTGCCCATCACCACCAAGGTCAAGGGCCCCGATGGTCAGGAGAAGGAGGTTACTCTTACCCAGGACGAGGGTATCCGACCAGGCACTACCGCTGAGAGCCTCGGCAAGATTCGATCTGCTTTCCCTCAATGGGGTGGAGCTACAACTGGTGGCAACGCCAGCCAGCTTACTGACGGAGGTAAGTTTATTCTATTCGATTTGGGGCGCCTCTCGCTAACATTCTTGCAGCTGCCGCCGTGTTGTTGATGAAGCGATCTACAGCCCTCAAGCTGGGCCAGCCTATCATGGCCAAGTACGTTGGTTCTACCGTCGCTGGCCTTGCCCCTCGCATCATGGGCATTGGTCCCAGCATTGCCATCCCGAAGCTTCTCGCTCAGCACAACATCTCGCTTGACGATATCGACGTCGTTGAGATCAACGAGGCCTTTGCTTCTATGGCCGTTTACTGTCAAGACAAGCTTGGTCTGACATCAGACAAGCTCAACCCTCGTGGTGGAGCTATCGCTCTTGGTCACCCACTGGGCGCTACAGGTGCTCGACAGATTGTTACAGGCCTTTCTGAGTGCAGGCGGCGAAAGAAGAAGATGCTGTTGACCAGCATGTGCATTGGTACAGGCCAGGGCATGGCCGGTCTGTTTGTCAACGAGCAGGTCTAAGACAGACAGTACACAGTGCATGTCTGAGATATTCTAATTATGTAACACCACCAGATCTCGATATAAGCGAGTCAGTTGGGGATGTATTTATGATTTCGAGCGATATTAGCAAATTGGAAAGCATAAAATCTTGTCTTTAATTAGATTTCGCTGTTAAGTTAACTAGTAAAACGATTCCGGAACGGGTTGTTGTCTCATCAAAGTGTATCAGCCAAGGGAATTGATAGCGTAATATCATGAACTTTGGTGGTAATCTTGTACCCTGTGGTTTTGCAGCTCGTGACCGTTTTTGTTGTAAATCTTAGTAATGAAAACCCAGAAGTAAGCTTAAACTCCGAGCATCTATGTACCATGTATTGATTGACTTCTTTTTTGTAGATATTATTCTTCGAGAATTACTTTACGGCCGAAGTCGGGTTCCCGGCATCAACTTCACCATAAACGTTGAAGCAGCAGGGATCGCTGAAAAACACGAGATCAGCCATTCGCTCACATTCCCCGAGAGGGCGGTGGGAAACCCCGCTAGAAGTCACCTGGGGCTAGCGCTCTGATGTCACCGAACAGCCTCAAAACGCAGCCAAAAGTTGGGCTTGCGTGGGTGGCATTTGACAACGGTTGCGTCTGATTGGCGGAGAGGCTTTGGCTAGATCTGAGATTGGAGGGCGACTGGGATGGGAAAATGCTGATGATTGCACACAGAGAGTCAAGGGACCTGGCCGATACACGGGAATGGAACCCTTGGACTTGCACTAGGTACTCGTACTCCTCATCTTTCAGTCTTAGCGAGCCATGAACTTTTGACCTTTTCTCTTTTGTTCCTCAAATTTTTGTCTTTCACCGCAAATCGATTTTGCATGATCGTTGACTATATAGATTCCATGCATTGGTCTTCATCGTCAGTCGCGTCCTCTTCGTCGTTTTTCTAGTCAGCTTTCATCCGTCGGCCTTTGTCGACTTGGCTCCGCGCCAGAAACAGGAATTTCTCTCGAGCCAAGCTTGGGCAGAGCTCATTGAATACTTTGCTGGATATATGCAGTTCCCTAGACTTCAGTTCCAAATTCAATCTCCATTAAACTCAAACTGCGACTCGATCGAACTCCACAATCATGGCCAAACGACCCTCCCACAGTCGTACCAACTCCGGGACAGACCACCGTCCTACTCAGCCCAGTGCTCTCCGTCAAGCTCTGAGTGCTCATGGTCGAAACGAGAGCGAAAGCCCGACCGCAGAAGGTTCTACGACTCCCACGAGCGTCCCGGTCGCATCGCCTCCAGATTCGCCAGGACATCCTCCGGGAGCCTCAATAAACGAGATCTTCGCGAACGAAACAACGCCTCTAATCGATGGGAACAACCTGCGTTCAAACCCACGCCGAGGAAGCGTTCACCCTGCCCATCCTGGTGTCTGCAGCCATGGCACTTTCAGTCCACGACCCATGAGCCCGACCTTGACTATGAGGAGCACCGACGAAGATGGTAGCGAGACTGCAGGCTCAGGAACGCACATTCCTGTGCTAGACAATGCAATTACGACAATCGTGGGTCATGAAGACTGGAAGAAATGGTTGAAGAAGAGAATGCGAACAAAGACAATGGGCCATAGCAGTATGCTGGCTGAACAAGCTGGTTTCGAGGATACAGCATTCATGCAAGCGCCCCAGTCCCTACGGCCATTAAATGATATGCTAACTTCTATTAGGTATATTGCGTACTACGTCCCCTGCTTGAACTGGATGCGCCAGTACAAGGTTTCATATCTTCGTGGCGATCTTGTTGCGGCCATTACCATGGCTTCCTTCTACTTGCCGATGGCCCTCTCCCTCGCTGCGAATCTCGCCCACGTCCCTCCGATTCACGGTCTCTACGCCTTCGTCTTCAATCCCTTCATCTACGCCCTTCTGGGATCCTGCCCACAAATGGTAGTTGGCCCTGAAGCTGCCGGCTCACTTCTTGTGGGAACTGTTGTCAAGCAGAATGTTGGTTCTGGAGAAGACGAAGACAATGACTTGTTGCATGCGCAAATCTGTGGAATTGTCGCTGGTATGGCGGGTGCCATGGTTCTCATCGCTGGCCTTGCGCGATTGGGTTTCATGGACAGCGTTCTCAGCAGGCCTTTTCTCCGTGGTTTCATCAGCGCGATCGGTTTCGTCATTGCCGTTGACCAGCTGATTCCTGAGTTAGGACTCGCTGAACTGGCTGACGATGCTGGCGTAAGCCACGGCAGTCCCGTTGAGAAGATTAGGTTCATAATTAACAACATTCACGAAGCACATGGTTTGACGTTTGCTATCGCCGGAATTAGCTTTCTGGTCATCATGATCTGCCGGTAAGTAGCGCTTTGTGGCTTCATTTCTGATGCGATTCTGACTGTGTTTTTAGTGAACTCAAGAATCGTCTTCAGCCTCGATATCCTGGCGTTGCCTATATCCCGGATCGTTTCGTGGTCGTTGTTGTATCTGCAATTCTTTGCTGGCGCCTCGATTGGGAAAACCAGGGAGTTGAGATCCTAGGCACAGTCAAGGCCGCCAACGGCCAGCTACTTACCTTCCAATGGCCCTTCAAGCTCGAGCATATGCCGCACATTCGAAGTGCCATGGCCACATCCTTCCTCATTGCACTTCTTGGATTTTTCGAATCCTCGGTAGCTGCAAAGAGTCTGGGCTCAAGTGAGACTATCCAGGGTATTCAGTTGAGTGCCAACAGAGAAATGATTGCGCTCGGTATCGCCAATATGGTTGGTGGATGTTTCATGAGCCTACCAGCTTTTGGCGGATATGGACGAAGCAAGGTGAACAAGAGCACCGGAGGCAAGAGTCCCGCCAGTTCCATGTTTCTGAGCATCATCTCTCTGCTATCCATCTTCTTCCTTCTCCCCTACTTTTACTACCTGCCAGTGAGTACCCTATGAAACCTATTTGTATCACATGAGCTAATGTCACCTAGAAACCTGTCCTGTCAGCAATGATCTCTGTCGTCGCCTACTCGTTGATAGAAGAGGCTCCCCATGACATCAGCTTCTTCTTGAAGATCCGTGGCTGGACTGAGCTGGGTCTCATGGCTGTTATCTTCCTTGCAACCATGTTCTACTCTCTCACACTTGGTATGGCATTCGGTGTAGGACTGTCGATGCTCATGGTTATCAAGCATAGCACGCGACCACGCATCCAGATCCTGGGCCGAATTCCGGGGACAAATCGATTTGAGAATGCTGAAGGTGACAAGGCGAGTCTTGAATTCGTCGAGGGTTGTCTCATCGTCAAGATTCCGGAGCCTTTGACTTTCGCCAATACAGGAGAGCTCAAGTCCCGACTTCGTCGGCTGGAGCTCTATGGTACATCGAAAGCGCATCCCGCTCTGCCTCGCCTTCGCAGTACCGACATGAACCGAAACGTCATCTTTGATATCCACGGTGTAACTTCCATGGATGGATCTGGTACGCAGGTTCTGACTGAGATCGTACGTAACTACCACGATCGAGGAGTGCGGGTGTACTTTTCTCGGTGCCCAGTTCGCAAAGATCACCCTGTATGGCGATTGATGTTAAGCAGTGGCATTGTGGAAATGGCTGGCGAAAGACATTTTGTAAATGACGTGGAAGAGGCATTGCGTTTGACAGAGTACGAAGAAAGCATTGCTGGCGAGTCGAGCCGGGCGCAAGAGCTCTAGAGCATTAGAAAGACGAAAAGGGATGAACTAGTGTTTTGAGGAGGTCGTGATGCATAGTTTAGGAGCGTTGTTGATGCCGTGGAGGAGATACCATTGCAGGAGTTTTTATAGCACAAATTGAGATTATCATTAGAGCCAGCATTAGCGTAACGATGCCACACAAAAACAAATACATATGGGTAGTTCTTGGGTAAAACGTTGGGTTCCTCTTTGACTATATACTCGGTGCTCAGTCTCCGTGATCCACGCTGATGCTATCATGATACTATACAACGGCCCATGAAGCTTTTGAAGATGCATTACATGTGGGCTAATAATCAAGGAAGAACACCAACCCCTCATCTATCATGCAGTTACCTCATGGCGAAGTCTCACATATCAGTTTTTGGACACCTGCGTATTCTGGTCCATTCAACTGCATCCCTGCTCTTGCGACAGCGATGTCAGAAGTGAAAATTGGTCGAGGTACAGATTCATCAATAACAGAAATAAGACATGACTGCAGTTGCATAATGTACGAATGGCAGAAATAGATCCTGTATGGCGATAAGAATTAAAAGGATCCATACCTGAAGCGACTTTTACAAAGCTATGAGCCAAAGTCTCGGGTAGTGAAGAGTGAACAAAGGAGCGTCCGGGAATAGTAGAGAGCAGGGATTTTGACGATCATGAGCCGTTGTGGAAAGTCAAAACCAAGATGCATGTCGTACGAATGGAGAATAACTCGAAGCGAAGTAAAGTACGTCCACAATTTGGAGGTTTTGTGCATTGTTCACGGACGAATTGACGTGGCAGATGAGAGAAGAGACAAGGCCTTGATGGCTCTTGATAGTCTCCAATGTTTCGATACGCATTCTTCTCTTCCCTGGTCTTTCACTATACCTCGCACCCAATCGCAGGCTTGAAACTTAGAGAAACTCAAAATCAAACTGATTTAGAATTTTGAACAACTCACACACAGTGGGCTTCGTCGCGTCGACGTTAGCACGACTGAGAACGATGAGCAGAGGCAAAAGTCTCCGCCACAAGCCGATCTAGCACCTATAGAATACGTCTGTTGATCCTTTCAATTATATGATCGTTACCCCGTCCTTGGAAAGACTTAGATTCCATGGGGCATATCACTGACACATTCTTTAACTTGTTAGAATCCCCAAGTTGTTGGTAGCATGATGGATTATAATTCCAGTATCAGCAGTGGGAGGTAGCTATCACTGGTGTTGCAGAGTACCACGCAATTCTGACCGTACCACCGACAGTCTTCGAGATTCGACAGCGTCCATCACATCAAGCATCCTCGAATATAGACACATCAACGGCCGGCCCTTCCAACAGTCGAAAACAACAGAATATTGGTCTGTTAAGCTTGTTTCGTAACAAAACTGCCAAGCAAGTGACCTGACCATATCCAGGGCGCCTACTGACGATGATTATCAAGAGGGGCAGGATATACTGTGAGGAACCTTGTTTGCTGAGGAGTTGGAGCATGCAATAACCTTAATTCTGAAGACACCACTATAAACTGCGTCTATTTGACGTTAGATATCCGATATCTGTACGGTGCGGTAGACGACTGGAAAAAGCTATACCGTCAAGCATTTACCCACGTACGGTCAGGAGGTTGGGTCGAAAGTCTTGGGATCGACATCGAAACACACAGCGAGAACCCCAAGATCGAGAAGGACGAAAGCCATATTTTCAAGAAATGTTGCAAACTATTCCTTGAACGCGGCCGTAAAACTGGTCGAACTTGGGAGATTGCGCGGGATGGTCGTCAAGAGGAGTGTATGCGAGAAGCAGGATTTACAGATCTATTTTCCAAATCGTGGAAGCTGCCAGTTGGAGGTTGGCCTCAAGACAAGAAGCTGAAACAGATTGGTCTCTATAATGGAGCTTTTATTGACCCCTCCGTCGATGCTTTCGCCATCTTCCCAGTTGGAGAGATCCTGGGTTGGTCGAAAGAGGAGGTTACGGTTCTGGTCAGCCAGATGCGAAAGGCACTCAGGGAGCCAAGAGCGCTGCCCTATTTTAATGTGTGAGTTTGATGCCAATTCACTGACGACTTCAGCACCGCTAACATGTTGAAAGTCGTATGGTCTATGGTCGAAAACCTGAGAGAACTCCTGAGACTGCTTGATCCATTTACATGGTTAATTTGATCAAGCCTGGCCATATGTCAGTACCACCAAATTTGCTACGACTTACTTCCCTGGTATGTTTTAAGTCTATTTGAACTTGGTGGAAAGGCTCGTCCAAGGACTTCATCGTACAAAAGTACAGATAACCAAAGAGCACCGATGATCTTCAACTTGCTGGAGACAGGGACACTCAGTTTCTATGCCAAGACTACTGCGGTGTAGCAATATTTAAAACGTCGAAAGCATGGAAGTTCACATGATAAGGGATCTAATCAAAGAACAACTGCTTATGTATTATCATTTACCATGAATATTGCGTGCTTTGCCTTCTACTGCTAGAGTCATTGCCGACAGCCGCATCATGTGGTGATGATATTGATATCCACTTGCTGGAGCAACTGTGGCGTTGGGCCAAGACCAAGACGATCCATCTGATGGATTCAAATAGTTCGATAATCCGGGGAGTTGATCATATCATATGACTCCATCGATAGTTTCTCCAGTCAAGGCGCCTTGACCAAGACCAGGTATCTGCAACTCCCCGTCGCAGTCCCCACGATAGTCACTCCAAGTCTAGAATCACAAGAGCATTACATGTTGAGACTATTTCGGACCCTCGACCACAAAGATTATAGAGTCGCAACAGCGCCGACAGTCCGGAGCCACCGAGCCCTGCGTTATGGAAATCACTGCTCATCCCCCGGTTCCCCCACGGCGTAGTAATCCTCGACAAGCATTGCAACCTCTTAAATCAGGACTCTGACTCCCCTCGATCCACTCGCCGCTCAAGGAATGTCGGTGCCTGGTTCTGAATCGCGGGCCCTAGCAAAAGACGTCATGGGCTAGCAAGACCGGGCGGTCGGCTTGGCGTTGTAATGTTTCCCTTGGGGATATCTTTGTGGTTCGATTGACCAGTCAGATTCTGCTGATTGAACGCCATGAAGGCCCAAATAGGCAGGCAGATTGTAAGAGAATATGAGATGGGCTGAATGACTTAGACAGTTATTGATGTCTCTCGACGCGGGCCAGAGTTTACGCAATATGGGCTTGTTCTGACGAGCTCAACTATTTTAGACTCATTTTTACATTTAATTTTACTGCTGGTAAATGCAAGGGAAGAATAGTGTTGATGATACGTGACAGTCAAAGTGGAAGTCATGGAGCCATGGGTGCAAGTTATTGCCTACGTAAAACCAGTTAATTCCCCGAGAAGGGACCCAGCTTTGGCCCGGTGCCATCAAGCCCGAAGAAATTTCTCAGGACTTTTCAGACCGTTTGAACCGTTATCATCAAGCCTCTCTCCCACGTCTCTCGATCCTTTCTATTCAATATTACCACAAGTGACGTGCTTGGGCACGGGGTTGCCGTAAAACCATGTGACATGCTGTACAGTACATCTATCACCTTGGCATGAGCCTCCAGCTGAAGCTTTTTTTTTTTTTTCACCCTTTCCTTGCGTGCATTTGGCCAAGAGAAAAGTGGTTGGTGCCGTCTTACCCTCCGATGCCAAGACACGAGGCACTGGGACCCTTGTATATGGCGCAAATACTCAAGGCAAACCCGGAAATAAGCGTTGAAAGTCAAGTTTGCGTTATGCTTAATTTTAACCTCATCTAATTGTGGCTCTCAGCAACACTCAACTCTAGCAATATGTCAGCGCTCAATAGTAAAACAACAAGCCCTTGGAAAGACCAAGATGGTGTAATACTTAGCTGTTGGCTATCATCTTGCAGCAGAGACATAGGTCAGCATCATCCTCCCACAGCCGGGGCCCCAACACGCCAAGTCTCTGGGTATCTTGGCAGCGGAGTCTTGTTCGCAGACTCGTTTCTTGTCATACGAAGCCAAGCATTTCAATGGAGTCGGCCAAGTCGATCTTGTCCCCGGCAGCAAGTAGCAAATCCAACAGCTCCCCATCCTGGAGAGGACTGAGGCGATCCTCCGATAGTCCTTGTAAAAATGGAGACTCTTGGCTCGTCCCTGATTTTATGGATGTAGTATCTGCAATAAAAGACGGCTCGTCCGCGCGTGGATCCTGTGTCTGTTAAATAAACTGTCTCAGTGTCTCGGGTTTCTTGAGATTTTGTGGAATCAGGGTCTCTGAGTTTTCTTATGTGAAAAGTTCACCTCCTTGTGGAACTCTCACCCCATGAATACGGGAACTTGATACTCAGACGACTCAGCCGAATAAGTTCCTCTCCTCTTCGCCCTCGAGCGTATCAACTCCATCATGGCGATCCCACCAATTCTCAAAAAGATCGGCCAAAAGCTCTCACCTCCACCATCAACATCTGAAGATGGCCGTGATCAATGGAATTCGAGAGCTTCCTTCTTGCTTGCGGCCATGGGAGGTTGCGCCGGTATGGGAAACCTAATTCGGTACCCTTCACAGGTGTATAACAACAATGGTCTTCAATGGTTCATTCCATATCTCATGTGTGTTTTCCTGATCGCCATCCCGGCCTTGATTCTCGAAGTCAGTATTGGTCAGGCGTACCGTGGAGGGTCCGTCGTCGCTTTTAACAACATCAACCACCGTCTCAAGGGTCTCGGCTTCAGTCTTCTATACATCGGCTTTATGGTCAGTCCGTACTTCGTCGTCAATCTGTCCTGGATCATGATCTACTTCCGGAACTCGTTCCAGAGTCCACTTCCCTGGGAGGGACGCGCCGAAGAGTACTACTACCAAGACGTGGTACAGAACGTCGATGCGATTCCTGGTAATAAAACGTCTAGCGGTGTCATAGACTACGTCAAATATCCTGGTACCGCCCTCATTGGAGAGACTGTTGGATGGACTGCGTTCGTTTGGTTCCTCGTCTGGATCTCCATTTTCCGTGGTATTGGCCAGACAGGTCGTGTTGTCTACTTCACCATGGGTTTACCTGTTGTCTTGACCATTATCCTTGTCGGCCGGTCCGTTTCTCTTCCAAACGCTGGTCGTGGCGTAAAGCTGTATTTTGGCGAGTGGAACGGCGAGAAACTGGGATCTGGTGACATCTGGCAGACTGCAGCTGGTCAGGTCTTCTTCTCAACTGGTGTCGGTTTTGGCTATTTCAGTTCTTATGCCTCTTATAATCAGAAGCATGCCAATGCTGTCATGGACTCGTGTCTCATTGTTGGCAGCAATGTACTCTTTGAGGGATTCGCCGCGTTTGCTGCGTTCGGAGTCGTTGGATACCTGGATATGATGCCTGTTCCTGGTGAGCGAATTGGTGCCTTTACCATCGGGTTCTTGACGCTCCCCACGGCTATCACTCAGCTTCCTGGGTCATCGTTCTGGGCGTTTGCACTCTTCTTCACCTTGGTAGTCCTGGGATACAGCTCTGCATTCGCAATGGTTGATGCTGTGGTAACGCTTGTCATGGACACCAAACCCAAAATTCGTCGCGAGTGGGTGGTCACAGGGCTTGTGATTATCTCATTCCTTATTTCACTCCCATTCTGTACCCAGTTCGGCTATGCTCTTCTCACTGGAGTTGACCGTTGGATCAATGATGTTGCTCTGGTGTTCGTTGTGTTCGGCGAATGTGCATTCTCCACGACTTTCTACCGTTGGAGAGATGTTGCAGGACAGGTCGGAAAGCCCGCCTTTTTCATCTGGAACTTTGGATACTTTGGTGGTATGGTTCTTGGGGTTGCTGTTGCCCACGCTGTCCAAGCCGAAGCGGGTGCTGGAGTCGGCTTCGGTATCTTCATCGTCTGCTCGATTGTATCTTGTGCAATTGGCAAGACTCCTGATGAACTTCCGCCTGCTTTGACCTTCACTGAGGACAAGGGTTTTGTTCGCCGGTTTATCGGCAGAAGCCCTGCCATGTCAAAGCTCTTCGACAATGTCTTCATGACACGCTTCTGGTACATGGCATTTTACTCTGTAAGTACTTTCACCCAGTTTGTTGTTTCTAGTTACTAACTGAACGCAATAGGGCCAACAACTCCGACGAGATCTCAACGTGATTGTCGCAACCGGAAAGAATTGGAGTATTCCCGCCTTCTGGCCCATCCTCTTGCGCTTCATCTCCGCGCCTGTGCTTGCCATCATCTATGGCTTCGCCTATCCCGCTTTCTACGAGCTCCGTGACGACCCTCTGCACATCCTTGGCTTCGGTCTTGCCCATATCTGCTTGGTATTGATTGGCCTGGGAGTCCTCGTGCCTCGCTGGTACAACACCATTATCCCTCCCGACCGACGCGAGGAAGGCAAGCTACCGTACGCTCCTAATGTTCTTTTGGACGGCGAGGAGCCTCGAAGAACTGATTCTATGGAGACTGGCGAGGGTCTTGCAGGCTCTGAAGGTGGTGAAAGTGAAGAAAAGAAGGATCAAAATGTGATGTAGTTTTGGCGTAAAATTGAGCGAGAGTTGATAACCTTGGATTTGTTGCATACACGAAGGAAGGCAAAGGACTTGCCCCAAGTTTCTTAGTCCATACTGTAGTCAGGTCCTCCAAGGACTTTGATGCTTGCTTGCTTTATCTGTCCATCAAGTGCAAATGCCGAACATTAAGAATCGCCTGGCGAAATTCTTGCAAATTGGGAAATCTGTTACGCCGACGCCGAGTCTAGATGAACACGGTTGCTGCTATTAAGAAAGCGGGATCATCGTTACTTGGTAGGTGTGCACAGGACGCTCCGGCTCGGCACCTGAACTGTTCGTGTTGAAGGTGCAGACGATCTGATGTTTCATGGAGAACTTCATGCTCCAATGACGATTGTAGTGGAGGATCTAGAGAATCAGGCAATATCAAAACCCAGAAGTAACAATACGAGTTACGAGAAAGGGAAATTACGGAGTCTCCGCTAGATGTTTCAGCGACACGACGTCATTGACACTTTTTTGTCTGAAACATCTTCACCTTCTAGGAAGGTGGGAAGACGCTGTTTCGCAGAGATCGCCGTGCACTCTAGCCAATCAGTATTTCTTGGCCGGACTCTCGCCTATCTCCCATCCAATTGTTTCCTCAGCCCATACTCACGTTTATATCTAAGCTTAAGCCGGTCAAACCTCCGTCTTTCTTGTGCGCCGTTGTTAAGGTAAAACAAGCCACCGACGCATGGCCGACAAGCATTCCTGTTCAATAATTCTGGAAGTCACATCATGCAGGGATCGTTCTCGATTCCGCGAATTTACGGATAGATAGAGGCGGAATACATTCATGGCCTGGTTCGCCGTTAAGAGCCAGAAGACTTCACGGATTGTTCTGGGATTCATCTCCAGAGAGTTAACTCAATACAAAGGCGATATGTGTTTCAACAAAACCTATACACCCAAGATTTGACTCATGTGCTTTCCAACCCGTACAACGGACGCCTGAAGCCGCGACGGACCGAAGACGCCAAGGATGATCATCAACGGCTATCCCCACGATCGCCAGGGTGACATGCCCCCCTTTGAAGTCTAATCAAGAAGAGCTGAAGAAGATCACCGGCAGATTTCAAGTTCGTATGCCGCACTTACAAGAAATATGCATGCAGAGCTGAAAAGAGAGGCAACTCAAAAACACTTTCGATGAAACACTTTCCCGAAATGATGCTTCGGTCTGCCGAAATGGGAGAGTGGCATGATAGACTGAACTCGCCCGGGTGTTACACGATCATGATCAACTCGAAACTTGAGTCTACTCCCAAGGCAGTACGTGGGACGAATGACGAATTAGGCCATACCGCTAGGACACTGGAGGTATGTAAAAACTATATAAGATAGCCTCAGGTTAGAGAACCCAAGGCCTTCCATCACCCAATATCTTCAACCAAACACCCAATTCTACTCCAGCCCCTAGAACCATCAAAATGCACTCCCCAACTCTATCCATCTTCTTTACCCTCCTCCTATCCTCCCATTCCCTCTGCGCTACCAACGAGCCCTGTTACGGGCCCAGCGGTCGAGCAGGTGTATGCATCACCGAAGCGTCCTGCACCTCTGCCGGCGGCACCGCCATCTCTGGTGCATGCCCCGCCGACGCTGCTAACATCAAATGCTGCTCCAAGCCAACCTGTTCTTCGGGAAACTGCCGCTGGAGCTCTGATTGCGCTGGCACCTCTGCTAGCAACCAGTGTCCTGGACCTGCGCAGATGAAATGCTGCTCTTCTGCTGCCACAGGCTTCGGGGGATATTCTGCACCCGCGATCCCAGCTGTTGGTGCTTGCAAGCAGGTTTCTGTCAACGCTGCCAAAGCGGTGGTGAATCAGTTTCCTGGTAGGATCAGGGAAATTGGATGCAAGAGAGACTGCTCTTGTCCTGGATCTTCTGACCATTGCTGCGGTCTTGCAACTGACTTCATGTGTTCTGATGCCGGCGGTGTAAGTGCCCGTTTCCGATCATATTCTAGACCAAAACATTGAATAATGATGGGACATAGTCTGCTACCCTTTCTGGAAAAGAAATCGCCGAGTGGTGCATGAGGAACCGCAACACTCTCAACCTCAAGTATGTCATTTGGGGACAGAAGATCTGGACTACCTCTGTCGATAAGACTGAGAAGAGCTGGGAGAACTGGCGAACCATGGAAGATCGCGGCGACCTAACTCAGAACCATTGGTAGGTAACTATTGCATCAGCAGTGAGGGCAAACAAGCTAACAGAACTCTAGGGACCACGTCCACGTCTCTTACAATGGTTAGAGCCGAACTCGCGAGAATGAGGATCTGGAGGTATCTGGAGGCATATTGAAGAACTTCCGGCGTCACTGCGATTTGGACAAAATAGAAGTAGTAGTCGTGGTCATTCAACATCAAATTCTGTCCAGCCAAAAGTCATATAGCAATTTTCAACACCGTCCGAAGTGTGACTGCCTTGTGGTATCTCGTCTAATATCTACCCTCAACGCCAGGCAACTGCGCATAACTGTCTCGATGTGTAATCACAATGCCAAGATCAAGTCCATCATCCATCAAAACGCCGGGAATGAAGATCCCACCAATTTTAGCCCCCAAATGCTTCATTCACTACCTCGCCCTCATCCGGCGTCACCTCCAGTTCGAGCAACTCATGGGCTGCCTCAACTGTCTCTCCATCGATCCCGGCCTCCATCACTAAATCTTCTTCGGCAAAAGCAAGTCTTCCTAAAGCGAGAAGATACCTTTGGCTTCCCCCATGAGCCATTGAAAGCTTCTCGCTAATGTCTGCGAGATTGGCGGTATCGGGACCTGTCACTAAAGCATGTATCAAAAAGACGCATTGTGAGATGATCCGATATAAGCCGGCCGAGTACGACGTCGTAGTCGATCCCTGCCGTATATCCTTGGTCTCGGATGTTTGTGGTAAGATGTTGAAAGGAATAGGTTGGTCGTACAGCTCGTCTATAGACATGCTGAGGCAGGCCACGAGGCGAGGGAGAGCTAGACTGTGAGACGCAAGCTCTTTAGCGCCAAAAGGATGGCGTGAAAAAGCGATGAGCGTTCGCAAAGCAGCCAAGCATAACGTAGATTTCTCATGGCGGGTAGTTACTGATGGGTGGTAGTCCGTGAGCTTGTTTGTAACATGGTTGATGACATGACCAGCGACATGAGTATCTTCGTCGTCTGTAATCGGACCTATTGAGTCTGGAAGTGCAGAGGTTGTCAGGAGCTCAAGCATGCCCAAGATATCGGAAAGCTCCTGCTTTGGGCTCAGAAGTTTGTAGACCATGTCAGGTTTTATGCATCTCCAAAAGACTGTCGACTTGGGCTTGATTTCATCTTCCGTCACATCCATGGCAGTGGAACAAGCTAAAGCGCTTGTATACAAGACTGACAAAATATCAACGATCTTGATATGCTCCTTCATTGACTGAAAGTCATCATTCTTCAGCCGTCGTTCACCTTCACGTATGCGGTGCTGCCATTCAGCCAAAGTGCAGATTGTGGCTTGCGCGGGAGGTGTCAGATTCGGCAAAACGAAGGGAACGACTTCTGATGCGTGGAGTGAGAAGATGAAAGAGATGACTGAGAGCAAATACTTGATGGGCTCCCAGAGCTGCTCCTCATGGCAACGATTCCACATGTTGACCATAAGATTTGCAAAGTCCACAAGTAGCTGCATCGGTCGATCGGGACTTCCCATCAGAGGTATTTTTTGAAATATGATGGCTGAAAGCGAGGTATCTTTGTCATCTTTGAAGGAAAAGCGAGACAAGATGTCCAGTGTTGGGCGAGGGGCTCCATGATCGAGCACAAGTGGTAGAAACTAAATACGATGAGCATAGTGCCAACCAGCCGGGACGGATCAGACAAACCTCAAAGAGGACGGCCGGTGGTGGCGCTACCACAAGCGGCGGTTGGTGTACTGGAGCCTCTGGCTTCCCAGTACTACTGGCGAAGCTGTCGGTGTGAGTTTCCAATGCCATGATAGGACTGTCAACAGTCGGCCGTTTCCTTTTTCCTTTGCTCGGTGTTCTCTCGCCGACGTGTAAGGCCACTGAGCCAGGATTCCTGCTACGTCCTTGGCCCTTACTTGGACTTACAACAATATCCATCTCATCGAAGCCATCCGCAACCCATGACTTGTTTGCTTTCTTGGGCGTCGTTACTCCTGCCGAAGCTCCAACAGCAGGTTCCTTGCGGCGAACTCGATCACTGACCTCTCTCATATCACGCTGTAGAAATTGAAGTTCGGTATTGGCGTTTTGTTCAGCGGCAACAGCTGCCTCAGTAATCCTTTCCTGTTTCGCCAATTGTTCGGCATTGATCTTGTTCAGACGAGCAACCTCTGCAGCGTGCTCTTCATTCGATTTCACAAAATTGGATCGGACAATCGAGGCTTCTCCCAAAGCTGCTTTGAGTTGATCCTCGAGGGCTCGAACTCGCTGCTGTAGTGCTGACAAGATATCGCCAGGTTGGTTCTGTGACTGTTGAGAGGCTCCTGGTCTGTTTTGCGGTGCAGCAGGCCGAGCGAATTGACTTGGTTGAGCATGAACGAAGTTGGAGCTCTGGGTCTGAAACTGCTGAGAGGTGTACATGGGCTGGTGAGGTGGTCCAGCATTGTAAGGCTGTTGAGGGGCCTGGCCCATGGGCCGCCGCTTGGAAGGATCGACAACAGGGTTCCATCGCGGATTCGGGGGCGGAACTGAGCGTCGAGAGTCCAAGTAGTAGCTTTGAGATGACTGGTTTTGTTGGAGGTTGCCATCTACAACTGGCCTCCCAATAGGAACACCGGCATCATTCGTCACTTCGGTCGTATCGAGGTCATCGTCTTCTATCCAGACGATTTCTGGGGATTCGATCCGTGGGCGCTGTGTCAATGGCTTCGATTGGGCTTGGGCTTGCGTGAGTTGTATTGCATTATCCTCGAGTTCCTGGAGGGCATTGGCAGGGATGTCGTCGAAACCGTCATCGGAGAACTCGTCGTCGAGATCCATCTTGGATGGCTGTTTTCATATCAGAGGAGAGATCCATTGAACAAAAATACAAAGCTTGTTATTGTTGGCGCATCTCGAACGGTATTGTCCTTGATCACGGTTTCGTGTACCGGGGTAGAAAGGATTTAGAAACGCGTCGCGAGGTCACGTGGGGGATATGCAGACAGGAATTGTGGCTGCAGTTTGGTGCAGCCACGGTCTGGACAAGTGAGGCGCAGTGTTGCGGAGTCGATTTTTGAGCATGTGAAGAGCCAAGTGCGTCATTGACCTCGTCAAGCTCCCAGCTCTGACGGCTTGTGGAGAGATTCACCAGTCCCTTGGACCCTGAGTGAAATACCTGGCATACATGAAAATATGCTTCTGCGGCATTGGGCTATATGCTTGTAAAGAAGTTGCAGACTGAGACACGCGTATAAGATAGAGAGCGACACGAGTTCGTAGCTTTAGTGGAGGTTTACTCGCGGATATTACGGGTTTGTTCTTCACAACAATTAGCTGTCATGCTTGGCGTTTCTACCACGCGATTATGGTCTTTGTTAGGGCTTCTTGCTGCTCAAAATTACCGACATGGGACGAATCTCAACAGATCTATAAAATGGATCCCAAGAGACGGGGGTTTGTCCCACAACTAATAAGCCCCTGCGTCTGGGGCAGCTCTCAATTTCCCAGTCATCAATAGCATTTGCTGTTGAGTCTGCGAAGCCCAAGCAAAAGAGGGAGCTCGGATATAGGTATAGGTTCAATGGAATTGGTAGGTTACTCGGCGGCTTCTAAGAGTCCGTTGCCCGCTCCCTTGACGCAATTTAACACTCCCAAGCCCAGGAGAGATGGTGGAAACCCGCTGGAAAGGCCGGAACACGTCAAGCCACAGCCGCAGTGGCCGGGTGGTCGTTCAGGGACTCGATTGGTCCCTCAAGAGAATTTTGGGGTGAGATTTGATCATGCTGTTAGCCTGCATTGCGTAGGAGGTGCTGTAGCTTGTCTGTAGTTTACTTGGCAGAGCCAGAGGCAGCGTCACTGCGTAATACCGCACCGCACCCAATCTACCACCCACTTTTAGAAATGCTATGCTATGCTCTGCTAGGTTGAGCTGCAGACCGGGGCTAGAAACGGCTTGACTTTTCAAACCACCATTTCCTGTTCTTTCAACATCGTCACAACTATCGCGACAAGTGAGCTCTTTTGCCCACTCAACCGCGCACCATCTTTCGCTCCTTAGAAGCACTTCTCCCCCGGCAGAATTTTGTGTTTGACCTGGCTTAGCTTCTTCCAATCGTGACGATTTATTTCAACACGAAGCGAATTGTCGACTCCTGACCCCGTAACCCACTCGCCTCCCACGAACTTGACCCAGGTCTGCGCAACGACGTCACAGGTCGCTTGGAGCAAATTTTCGAGAACAGACAACTGTCTTTTTCACCACAGCTTCACTTAGAGCTGCAATCGCGTCAGCGACTCGAGCATATCGCCCATCCGTCAGCCGACGACAACCTCTTTGCCGACCTTGTTGGCAATAATCAACAATAAAAAACCTCCGGCGTCTTTTTCAGCGCATTCAGATACCAAATATCAACAGAAATGGCTCGTCCAAAGAGAGGGGTTAGGTTCCCCAATCGCAACGGTTCTGATGGACGAAGATCAAGCTTCAGCAGCGAGGATGGTGGCTCTCCCACCAAGCTCAAGTCCCAATCCTCGGGACAGCTGGAAACAGTGGACGAGGTAAGCAGACTCAAAGGAAGCGGCAGGGCCTCATCCCCAAGATCTACTGTTTGACTCGAGGCATTGTCGATTCATACCAGATTTTAGCTAACAGCCCTCACAGAAGCAGCCAGCAGTTAGCGAAAAGCAAGCCGAGTACGAAAAGAAAAAGGCCAACTTCATAACGCGCACTTTCTGGACCTTTGTCATGTTTGCGCTCTTCTTCGCCGCGCTCTTCATGGGCCACATCTACATCATCTGCATCATCACCGCTGTCCAGATCGTCTCCTTCAAAGAAGTCATCGCCATTGCCAATGTTCCCAGCCGTGCCCGCTCCCTGCGATCTACTAAGAGTCTCAACTGGTACTGGCTGGCGACTACCATGTACTTCCTCTATGGCGAGACGGTCATCTACTACTTCAAGCATATCATTCTGGTTGACAAGGTCCTGCTACCTCTGGCCACTCACCACCGCTTCATCAGCTTCATTCTCTATGTGTTCGGTAAGAAAGTCGCTCCCTGAGCTGCCATACACAGACTAATCGCGGCTAGGCTTCGTCTTCTTTGTCACATCTCTCCAAGCTGGACACTACAAGTTTCAGTTCACCAACTTTGCCTGGACACACATGGCTCTGTACCTCATTGTGGTCCAGGCTCATTTCATCATGAACAATGTCTTTGAGGGCATGATCTGGTTCTTCCTGCCCGCTGCTCTGGTCATCACCAACGATATCTTTGCTTACATCTGCGGTATCCTTTTCGGACGCACCCAGCTCATCAAACTGTCTCCCAAGAAGACCGTCGAGGGTTTCGTCGGTGCTTGGATCATGACCATCATTTTCGCCATGCTCCTTTCCAGCATCATGATGCGATCCAAGTATTTCATCTGCCCTGTTAACGACTTGGGCGCCAACATCTTCACTGGTCTTAAGTGTGATCCCAACCCGGTCTTCCTTCCCAAGACCTACGAGCTACCCGAGCTGTTCTTCCTCCCCGATACTGCGAACTTCTCCGTTACTATTGCTCCCATGCAGATTCATGCCCTCAACTTGGCTACCTTTGCCTCTCTGATCGCTCCCTTTGGCGGATTCTTCGCTTCAGGTCTCAAGCGCACTTTCAAGATCAAGGACTTTGGTGACTCTATCCCCGGACACGGAGGTATCACTGACCGCATGGACTGCCAGTTCATCATGGGTTTCTTCGCTTACATGTACTTCCACACCTTCATTGCCATCCATAAGGTCAGCCTTGGCAGCGTTCTGGAGACCGCAATCACCAGCCTCAACCCCGATGAGCAACTCGAGCTCGTCAAGGGAATGGGCCATTATCTCCGAAACCAAGGCATCCTAGCTGAAGACGTAAGTGCCTGCTTCTAAGTCTTTACTACGTCTTACTCACAAACAACAGGCTGTCGCTTGTATCGACAGGCTCCTGCCGGTAAAGCAATGAGTTCTCAACGAATAACTCAGGTCTTTTACGAGGCACGTTTTGATCATATTCAACTGGGCATATAGCCCCCTTTCCACTCACCCTGGCGTTTTCCTTAGTCATAGAGCTTTAACATGAGCTGTGCGTTTCCGAGTATTATCGGGGTCTGTACAGTTCAAGCCAATTATTGAGCTGTATTGTTGGGTATCGGGCAGCAAAGGCTTTGTGCCCGGGTTTACAGGCGCTATCGGTATTATGTAATGAGCAAATAATGTCCGCATTTCAGATGAAGGGTGGCTGTGAGATATAGACTCCTGTTGACGTGGGTCAAGTTGTTAAAGCCCTGGTGGGAAATTCTACAAAAGTATTCAACATCCACTCTAGAAGTATTGCAAACTATATGCATCATGTGTATGATTCAATCTACCTGTAATTTCCGTGCGCCACTCAATGGCCCTCTATGTTCTGTTTTCCATTTTCAATCTTGATCCTTTACAGCTTACTCTTACAATCTTCTTCTTATTCAATCTTGGTCTCCCAACCGCCTTCGGCTTCGAAAATTTCACCGACCGCCTTGCCAACCTCCAAGAGGTGACGGTCGCGATATCGCGGTGCGACGAGGGAGAGGCCGATGGGCATGCCGTGGTCACCCTTGAAGCCTGGCACATTCAGGACTGGGACATGAAGGCCCTACACGATCGTTAGTCATTGTAAGATTCGTACACAGTTTGTCACTTACGCTCCACATCGCGCAGAAAACATGGCTTCCTGTACTCTCCAGACCAACAGGGGCCTCATCCGGTACACTCGGCGTGATGATAGCTGCATACTGCGAGGCAATAAAGTCGAAGACAGGCCTCATGGCAGCCAATTTGTCGCTAGCCATCAGTTGCGTCTTGCGAGTGAAATTGTCGGAGTTCTCGACGTGCTCAATCAAGACTTGGCCGATTTGGTCTTTTCCAACTCTATACTCTGGTAGGAAAGAGGTACGGCCCTCGGTGTGAAGCCCAATACGATACCACTCTGGCACATCATCGAATGCCGAAGGAAGCTCAAGCTCATGTACTTCTGCGCCATGGGATCTGAGAAGATCTGCAGCGCGGGCGAGAGCGTCTTGGGTTCCAGGACCAGCCATGGGCCAGATGCTCGTCTTACAGATTGCGAAACGTGCCCCTACGATGCCTTGAAAAGAACGATCTTCGTCTTCGTCATCTTGAAGAGCAAAGACATCGGCCAGAAGGACCAGATCTTCGACACGTCGTCCATACCATCCAAGAGTGTCGTACATCAGAGCGTATATCTTCTGACCTTCGCGAGATACAGAGTTCCAGGTTGGCTTGAACCCATAAATCCCATTGAATGATGCAGGGCGAATCATTGATCCGCCTGTCTGTGTCCCAAGGGCCATGGGGGCTTGGAGATCGGCAACAGCAGCTCCGGAGCCGCTGGATGATCCGCCCGGAGTGCGTAGAGGATCATGAGGATTGCGGGTCTTGGGGCCGACATGGATAGCAGCAAACTCGGTGGTAGTTGTTTTACCTAGCCTGTTAGATGCAAGTGTGCAAAGCGTATGTAGAACATACCGAAGATGAGGGCACCAGCATGACGAAGGATTCGTACGGAAGCAGCATCTATCTCAGGGAAATGGCCATCATATAGTGGCGAGTTGAACTGAGTAGGCATGTCTATACGATAGTAAGCTCCAGTCATAGTGTCGGATATAAGTTTGGCCAACTAACCTTTTGTGTAAATGACATCCTTCACAGCGATTGGGAGTCCATGAAGAGGCCCTCTATTTTTCTTAGGGATCTCATCTAGAAGTCTTGCTTCCTGCATGACCCTCTTTTCATCCAGGTATGCCCAAGCTTTGACGTCTTCATCGCGTGCCTTGATCCTTTCAAGTAAAGACTCGGCATACTCTTGGACCGACATCTCATCAGCCTGGATCTTCCCAAGAGCTTCAGAAGCCGTGAGTTTCCATGGCTCGATATGATGAGTTTTGGAAGGAGACATTGCTTTTTCTTGGTCCCTCTACTGTGGAGTCTTGCTCCTGCATACAACTAGTGTTAGGGAGTTCAGATAGTCTAGTCTTATTTCCAATGCCCCGCGATAGTGAACCTTGACACTCCAAGTCAACATCTCAGAAGGGATTGATTTGGGGAGTCTCATATGTTATATACCTTTTTTTCTGTTCGCCCCTTATGAGCAGCCTGGACTTCGGGCACTAATGCAACGTCTCTATTCTGTAGGCCGGTCGGTGAGAGTCCGTAGCCTATAGGACGCATGTGCGGAAGGCCTCAAGTTGTCAAACATTCGTCTCCTGAATCCGGGCCCTAATGCAGTGCGGGCCGAGCTGCCAACGGATACTCTATCTCAATATGGCAATAGACGTAATTGTGGACTTGCTCCGTCGTCCGTACACCGAGACGTTTTTCTGTGTAACTCGGAGCAGCCCAACAAGAAGCAGAGTCGTCTCTCCGAAGTCGTGATTGGATTTTCCGGTGACTATCCGGTGTGAGGCGAAGTTGATATTGTCGAGACGAGATGAAGGGTTGGGAGGGACAGCATAGAAGGATTGTCGGACAGGAGACGTTAGTTAAACGACTCGAGAAGGAGGTCAAGGCGGAGTTATGCTTCTCGTTCGTTCGGGCATTAGACCTCGGGGTGCACGAAGGCATCCAGCACAAGGCCCAACAGGAAGCTATTCCGGACCACAATGCAAAGATTCTCCTCGTTCTAAGGTTTCAGCTAGTATCAGTCAGCCAGAAAATAGCTCGGTAACACCCGGTCTTCCGGAACAACGTCTAACATGACGGATGATAGGAGAAGTCAGAAGAGGCTAGTCAAACCTAAGAAGCAATCAAGGTCGAGAAGTCCTTAGTTGAGACAGGGTTCGATGCATGAGGGGGACGTCACGGGATAAGTGCTCGAAACTTCGGCACTTGAGAGGGATCTACAGAGGAGGTGAATCCTAAGCTTAGCTACTGTATACAAGTCGAACTCTGATTGTATGGTTGAGCGCAGCTGAGGTAGGGGTTCGAAGTCTGGTAAGTTTACTAGTGACAAAGACTCGACGCCACGTACCAGCATCCCGGTATTGTGTAAGAGATAGGTGAGAACAACCTCGTTCATGATTCCTGTTCCCTTTGTTTACTTTGCAGGCTGGCCATGATACAGTCAGCGATTGGACATGGCGTTGAGCTGAAGTGACATCGCCATTTGCCTCAACAGCTTCATTACAACCCTCATTTTCCCTTCCCTGTCCTCATACTATGACTTCTCGTAAGCCAACAGCCACAAACAATGGTGATCCTCGACACGCAATCCTTAGCCTTGCTTCGTCTTCCTTGCCTCATCTCAAACCTTGCTGATTTTATTTTTCCTTTCTTTTTCCTCGCAAAACATCTCCGCCACCATACTGAACAAGGCCATACCCTGTACCCTATGAACCTGTTAGAACAATTTCATTTCTTTTTCTGTTCTCATCCGTTGTTAGCAACGTCGCTTTTAGATGCCCAATCGCGTCGATCGGCTTCTGGAAGACCGGTGAGCCGGGGTAGTGGCGTCCAACTTCCCGTAAGCCACGCTGATGATCCATGGCGGTAAACTCTGGCTTGGCCCTGACTCTGCAGATGAGGCTAGAGTCGGTGAGTTGAAGACTTCATGCAATCTATAATGAGGCTTGAATTTGCCAATATTCCCTGCGTATGTGATTTACAGATATAATGCTGGATCTCTTGCATCTGTAGGCCTCGGCCTCGGAATACTACGTCGATGTAAACGGTTGACACACGATCTCAGTAGAATGAAGGTTTAGGCGATCATAAGCTAAGGAAGCTTCTCTTGACTTTAGTTTGATTGACAACAGGCATGGATATGGATGCGGTATCAGGGGTCTTATACGAGCTGCCATGCTGCGTAGTGACGAATTGATGTTGTCCTTCTTATGGTAGCTTTCCGATACGATTGAACAAGAAAAGGCCGCGTCTCGGCTACAGGTCTGAGTCCTCCAATGCCGGTCTGTTCAATCTCTCAGTGCTTGTATCTATGTATTGATTCGTAATGTTCCTTGAATGAACCAACATGTCATATTGCATCAGGTCAATTCCTCAGGTGATATGATGTCCTGGGTTTATGCATTGCAGTTATTCGCAGCAAGCCATGCGGCAGCTTTAGCGAGTGTAACGGTGAAGAGTTTTGTGTCCTGCATATTTTCACGATAGCCACGCAAGACATTGGCTGCGGAGAGGCGCTACAGCTTGTCATTTACGACAACGAGATCTGGCCGAATCAAGGTACTCAAAGCGCCTTAGTTCAGGTCCTGTTAAGTTGCTGAGGCTCAACGGCAATGCCGATCCAATGTGACATCAAGAGTCATAGGTTATGACGATTGCCCAGCAGATTCCGCCTCAGATGAGGCTTGATGTGAGGCTGTAGGTCGATATTAATAGCTGCAGCACTTTATCCTACACATGAATACTCGAAATACGGGCGATGCTGAAAATTGAGGCCTAATTTTATTTATTTTATGATCCGTTCTATTCGTAACCCATGTCTCCTCTGAGGTGATCCGTCTGTTATTACGTCTCATCTAATTTTTTGGTGTAGAAGCTCCGGTCATGATAATTCGTCCGTCGACCACCGGAGCAATGCAGGTTGTCCAATCAACCGTGTACTCGCCCTCTTTGAGAGGATCACAGATACTAGTCTTGACCTTTGCCTTGAGCGCCCACTTCGTGAAGAACTTGCGCATCAAGAGAATCTCGAAGTCGAGTCTCGCGCCGTCGGGATCCTCAAACTCTTCCTCCTCGCGATCCTTCTCATGAAGTTCCTCGTCGCTGGTTTCGTTGTCGTCATGGGGCTTCATATTGATGCTGAAGCGGCGTTTGAGGAACCTGCCCCAGGGGTCGTTTGCGTCCTTTTTCACACTTTCGGTGCGTTTGTCCTTGGGTAAATTCTCTGCTACAGCCTTGAGGTTGGGAAAGTCGACGTTGAAAGTGGTTCGGACGGGTGAGACGGGAGTCTCGCATTTTTGGGCAACCTTGACCCAATGTTGCGCAAGATTCTTCCATCGTCCTACTGTCAAAAGACCCATGAAGTACTGACGGAGCATGGCCGAGATAAGAATGCCATTTTCTTCCTCGATAATCTCCTCCGCTTGTCCACCCTCAGACTTGACCAGCAAGCTGGTGAAACCATCTGTCGTCGCTGTTAGCTCTCCGTTCTCTACATGCAAATTGTTTCAACTTACCCTTTCCTCGTCCCATGTATCCTCGGGTACAGAGCACATAGAGTTTCTCCGGCTCATAGGGCTTTCCACCAATTTCCGCCCACAACACTCTCTCCCCTCTAGGTCGGGAGGGATCAAACTCGAATCGAATGTTGGAAACCTGGGGAAATCGACCTTCCAGAGCAGGATACATAGCTACACTGTTCTCAAGCGCGTCAAAGATAGCTTGACCTGTCACTCTGAGCAACACGACAGGGTCCTCGAATGGAAAGCAGGTCGTGATATCCTTGATGCGAATCGCACCTGGGGGGTAGATTTGGTCTCCACGGATAGTACCAGATGCCATGATTGTGCAATCAGCGCCATGATGCTGTCTCATGACATCGCACACAAAGTTTCCGATGTTGGACTCCTTAAGGCGAACTGTGCTGAAACGAGCATCTAGAGGTGTAGCAGTGTATCCAATAGGCCTTGCCAGCGACTGGTTGAGTTTGGAGGTGAGTTCATCTACCGTTTTTAGTGTTGAAGGGTCTTCCTCGATAGACGAAATAATATCTCTTCGCCAGATGTCAAAATCCCACTTGGAAGGGTCATCTTCTTTGCGACGAGCCTCGATGTAACTCAGGTTCTTGAAGTCGGTACCAGATCGAAGCACGTGAGTCCCATTGATGAGGCTGTGAGCATAGAAATGGTCGTGCCCGCCGAGTATGATATCGATGAGTCCTTCTGTCTGTTCTGCCAACTTGTTGTCATTGGGTTCTCGCATATGGCTTAGACAGACAATGATCTCTGCACCGTCCTCCCGCAACTTCGGGACGAGCTCTTTGGCAACGGCAGTGGCGGATCTGTACTCCAGATTGGGCGGTAGACTGTTGATGGTCTCAAGCCACTCTCTCTCACCCAAACCGATGAGACCAACCTTGATGCCATTCGAAGTGGTGATCATATGTGTCTTCTTCGCATGGCCAACCGGTGTGTCACCGCCAATATCATGGTCGATGACGTTTGCGAGCAGCCATGGGAACTTGTTCTGACTTGAGAGATGCTCAAACTGCTTGACACCAAAATCGAAGTCGTGGTTCTGTGATTTGAGGTTGGTTAGTTACCAAGTCGGTCAAGGGTGGTATGACCTACCCACCCCTACACAAGAGCAGTCCGTTCCAATCAGATCAAGAACGGGGACCATGTGTTGACCTAAGTCGAATATTCAATATCTAGATATAAAAGCCATCATTCCCTGGTTGTAAAACTCACCCTTGGTCACGGTACTCTCCAAGCTGGGGTTAAAGACATCTCCAGAAAAGAGCGTCAGGGCTTTAGGCTGATCCTTGAACTGCTCGCCTTCCTGGTACTGGCGGCACACGCTGATAAATCTTGGCAGACCACCCACAGGCTCAGCACTCGAAGGGTCCAAGTGATAGACGTCGTTGTAGTGAATCAGCCTCAAATCGGGAGGTGAATCAGCTTGGCCCTGATGCTCGACACGACCTGAGGCGTAGGTGACTTGAGGTTCCGCAGTGGGCTCTCCGGCCTCTGCGGGGGCAGTGTCTTTGACCATTGGTGACAATATCAATGATGATGTTGAAATAATAGAGTATTTATTTAGGATAGTTGTTCTTTTGAAGAATAAAAACAGAATTCTTCAAAGAGCGGAATGATGACAGATTCAAAGGTAACGAGGCGCAGCTGAAGCTTTACCCTTACGTCTCTCCTCTCTTCCTCCTCAAAAGTCCAGCGCTAACGGCAGCTTGCAGGACGGTCCCCGGGGAATGGATCCAGTAGACCAGTCAGCACGTGACGCTATGAATAGCGATGGTCATAAATTACTTTGTGTCTGTTGATGATTTGCTGCAGGAGAAGCTTTGATGTTTGGGGCCTGCGAGTAACCAACACAGCATGTAACGCTGACGGTGTTTCTTCAGCAGCGAGGGGTGATTCTCTTATTTTAACGTTGTGAGACATCCTGCAGACATGGCGCGCGGGAAAAGGAATTAAAGGCACTGAAATGTGCAGAAGAAAAGGGTAGCTGCCGGATATGTCGGTGAAGAAAAGGTCTGAGACCCAATACCTAAAGTTGGTTGTGATACTCGAAATGCTTCGTTCCATGTGGATAGCTTCCTTTGTCCTGGACCTACTATCCAGCCATTGGCCATCGTCATAATTCCAATTACTAAAACTGAACCCTGTGGTTTCACGAACAATGCCCTGCTTCTCATTGGGTGCTCAGGCCAAAAGCCAGGTATTCACTCTAGATGCGACTATATAGGGTAGCAAATTAACCACTTCACTTCAAGATCTCCAAACTTGCAGGCAACGCGCTCTGCTCAATCCACGCTCTAATTACATCAGAAAATAGCTTTGGCTTTTGCAAATTCCATGTATGCACTGCTCCTCTGACTACCGCACCCAGTGAACCCTCGACGGGCATTTCCCTACCCATTCTCCTCACCGCCTCAGCATCGTCAATGCCTTCTGCCGCAATCGCCAGCGTCTTCACTGGCAGCATCCTGATATCTTCCCATTTGAGCTCCAACAGTCCCGTGTCCACAGCACGAATCACTTCCCATCTCCTATTGTGTCGCATCTCTTCTAGTAGTTCTTCATGGTGACGCATGCCGCGACCTTTGACAGCCACGAGCATATACAGCCATGTCGGTACCAGTTCGAGAAGCACTAACATAGCGTAGTAGGTGATGCTCGGATAGCGGGCAACCCATGCCCAGTGGCCCTCCATGGGGTGCCCCGCGGTGACAATGGCAGAGAGGACCAGCTCCGGATGTTGCCGGCTGATACGGAGAGTGATGAAAGCACCCATGGAGAGGCCGACAACGTGGGCCCGGCCGCCATGTGCGTGTCGCCGGATGAGCACGGCCACCCGCTCTGCGGAGCTGGAGATATTCGCAGGGAGAATACTGCGGGATTGAGAATGACCGCTGATATCGGGGGCGATGATGTGATAATCGGATACGTAAGGAATCACGTAGGACCACTCAAGGTGTGAGTTAAGTAGGCCATGTAAAAGTATCACTGTGATTGGTTTGTCTTGGTTGAGACTGACAAAGAAGAGCTCTTGCTCTGCCTCGGTCGTTTCTGGCGATGCCATCTTTGTGGGATCTTATGAAAGAACCATTATTAAAATGCATGTGTATTTGGCTGAAGTCACGACAAGACAAGTCGAAAAGGATCATGCCATCCCTTCTAGGCTTTAGCTGTTCAGCTGATTTCAGCTGGCTACGCCGCAGCCATCCTGATCTATTATCATATCACCAATAGACAAGTTATAAGATTGACGAGATGCAATGTTACCGACATCGGCAGTCACGAAAAACAAACGTGGAAACTTTTTTAACTTTCCGATTTGGAACATCAGCTCTGGAATCTTGTTTCGCACCTAGTCAACCGCGTCACTCTTCTTCAGGTGTTTTGACAGCAGCGTGGTAATGATGATCATCACTACTGTTCCCAAACATTCGCCAAGATGTTTGCATCTCAGGGTGACTTCTGTTATAGGGCTGGTAAACTTATCGTAAAGAGCCTGCAACAAGTTTCATCCCAGGTCTTATGCCCTAAGGTTGAGAACAATATCTGAGTGTGGTATCAGCCGCGTTTCCAAGGTGATCATACATAAGCCGTCGAGATACCGATCGGATGGTCGTCGTTCCTGTTGCAAGAGAGTTTCACCGTCGCGACGCCGTTTCTGCCACTACACTTTTCGCTTCATCTGGCGCCACTATCAATATCCACAAATTCCGCAGCTGAGGATCGTCGAGGAAAAGCCTGACTCAATTGACCTCCTTATCCCTTGGCGCTAGAGGCTATGTGGCAGGCGAGGTGAAAAGTCGCTAGGTGCCCTGTTTCATAAACCGTTGATGGGACTTTTTTCGAAGCGCCATGGTGAAGAAATCCTCTGGTTTATGGAGAATTCCAAGTCCATGAAAAACGTTCAAGAAGAGTTGAAAATGAAGCCATCACCGACTCACAATGGACTGACGTTGACAGGGAGCGCACCCAATAGCCACCAGATCTGGTGCCGCAAGCTAGCCGGCGAGACGCCATGTGGAACAGGGGTCATGGCCTGAAGAGCCCCTGGCTAAGGGCAGCCGTTGCCCCTAGCGGTCCCTGACACGGCGGCCATGCTCATGCAGGTTAGAGTGACCGTTGGCAGGCCTGGGCTGCGATCTTGGCTGACCAGGGTTGAATATTGTAGTTAATCTGACCGCATCAATGGTTATTGTGAGTTTATCAAGATGCAATCGAAGCCAGTATGGCCTGATGGATAGAACGATACCTGTAGAATTGTCTCGCAGTGTTTCTCTATCAGCGTTTCACTAGCCAAGCCAAACAACAGCTAAACCTCTCGGTTCCAAAGTCGACCTCTCCCTGGTCCAACCTGAAACGAGCTCACCCACCACCCTCACCAGAGTCACTCCAAGGTCTGCACTGCTTGGCCTGCTTGGCTCGCTTTCTCGTGATTGAGTTTGCAGCCATGTCCACGCTAGTCTCCATGGCCCCGATCTTGACACCGCCACAACGAGGGAGCCAGGAGAACCAACATCTTGGCCCTGCCTGTGACAAGTCCAGAACACAGACGAGACAAGCCTGGCACTCGTCAACATCGATATGTGTTTTGTTATTACCATTGTGAAGCACAACAGCCGTCACGATGCCAGTTGATGTCACCTATATCGCCAATATCAACACAATAGCCGCTCACAGCCTCATAGTTCCATAGTTTCAACTGCTCTTCAGCCAACCAAATAACATCAACTCCAACTTCCAAGCACTCCCCTTGCAACCGCTGGTCCCACGATAGCACGTTCCCCAAACCCTTCTGCCAACTAAAAGGACCTACTGTGCCGCTCTACCGGGCCCCATTACTGCTTTCGATTCTTCGCCCCTCCCTTTCAATCTCGTTATTTTGGCTGTTAAAAGTCAAGTCAGTCCAGGTCTGTCTTGGTCTGGTACGATTCGAGCGGCGCGTGGGCTGGTCCCCAATTTTTTCTCTTCTTCCCCCCTTGTTCTCTCATACTTCTTTTTATTCCTTTTACTATTAGACGATCTGCCATTTGGCTGATCTTCGATACTTTAACTTATTTTGCTTCCTTGTTCTTCTTTCCTTACTCCATATCTCTTATAATAAGTACCGATCGTTGCCGGTGGTGGAGCTACCTGATTGTCACGACGACTTCATTATTGGGATTTTGAGATTCTATACCCACTCAATTCAGCTCGACGCATATAATCACTCCACAGGCAGTGGTTCAATTACAACAATTCTCACCGCAGGACGGAAAGAAAGAGAGCTATTTTGTTAATTTGGACGAAAAAAGAAGACGGATTGGATATCGCTACGGATCACGGTCTCACGTATAGAAAAAACGGCCTACAGAAATCACTCAGACGAAAGATACGCAGAGCACTCAGAAAGAGCTTGGAAGAGAAGACACGAGAAAATGGCTTCGGCCTTGTCAATTCGTCTCGCGGCAGCAGCCCTTTTCGCCCTTTCAGTAACAGCACAGTCATCACCCGCCATGTCCATTGAGTCCTTTATTCGAGCAGCTGATGATGTTCTCCACCGACCATACGTTTCCCTACTATCAACGCCGCTCGCTGAGCGTGATGGGAACGCCACAGTCGAGCAGCTTCCCGCAGGAGATGTTCCTCTGACAAAGGATGGCTCGTTGAACATGACGGCCTGGAACATGGACACCAACGCTGCATGCCGCTCAGTTCTCGGTGGACTGCACAAGAGCACAAACCCTTCTGGAACATGCGTGTGCTATAATCTTCCCTCACTCGATGTGAAGACTGGTGTTTTCGAGGCTGATATTCGACTGTATCAAGTTTCTCAAGCCAGAGGTAGTTTTGCAGCTGTTGCACCCGAGGATATCAATGTTGGAATCTCATATACGGGTGCAAGTGTTATGCCCATTCAGCCTGCGGATGTCAATGGCACAGGTCTAACAGGCGGTAAGCCTGGTATGGGAAAGAGAGAAGAGGGAATGCAACTCCTACAAGCATATATGTTGGTTGGAAAGATCGATGCGGACAAGATGACGGATAACATGACTATGTAAGATTTCACACTCACATCTCACTTCATTCACATATACTGACTTTCTCAGGGACGAGCTCGAATCCCATATCATGCCAACCCTCACCCTCACTGCCCGCAACAGCACAGGCAGTACCATCCGCACCAACGTCTCCATCAACGAAGCCGCTTTTCTCACTGGCGTCTTCTCCCAAGATGTTGTCATGTCTGACTTCGCTATGGCCTCAGCCGCCGTCGAAGACCAGGTCGCCGCTCTCAACAACGGCACTGTCGCCTTTGTCCTCCCAGGCGTACAGCTCATGGTCCTCCCCATTGGTCTTATCATGATGAGCGTCTGGCTGCTCATCTTTGTCTCAGCTGTTGGCTTCGGCACATATGAGCGCTACAACTATGCTCTCATGTATAAACGCAGGCAAGCTGTCACAATGCCCAAGAAGGCGACAATATGAAGCAGGACATGAAGTTGGGATATAATCAAGCGAGCTTTTCATTACTCTTACGGCCATGCATAGCGTTGTCGACTCTTTTTTTTCTTTACTACTTTAACTCTCATAAGCGTGTCATTTCCACTCTGCCGATATTTCAGGCACCATATGACTTTTTAGTTGATATCCGACCTCACATGGTCCCTAGATTCACTTTCTACACTACAACAATAGATAGTCTCATAGCATCAATGTACTAGCCGCTATATGGCTGAACAATCACCTTCTAAGCAGTATAAAGTTCATCCCCCATATTCGGCATCTGGGGTGAGATGTCAGATTGTGGGACGATTCCCCTCTACATGAAACACCATCATAAAGTACTGAACCCGGAAATCCCTTTTGCCGGGACCCTTGTTACATGACGTTGTATCAGCCCGCCGGTGTCAAAACTGTAAGGAAATTCTTGGTATCGTAATATAACATCTAACATGGCCATGCTAAGGAAACCATAGGCTAGTCGCACAGCTGTAACAACTCCAACGCTGTAAGGACCGTCTAATGCAAATATGAGAAAACGTCGAATCATAGCAAACTGGGTCCTCCAACTCCTCCAAGCCATACACATAATCGAAACGCCGCGCAGCAAGACATAACTTCAAACTATGAGATTGACAATCTTCTCTCTGCACTTCTCCATCGCCCTTTGGCCCAGAGGAAGCATTCTGTGAAGACCATATACCACCCTGTCACCATCCAGAAAGATAGAATGACACCCAGTCCACCCATGAGTCGTGCGTCGACAATACCCCGTGTCATTGTCTCGCGAATAGCATCGTTCATCATAAGCCACCCGTAGATTGGGATAAGGGGCTCCTGGGACTTGAGACGCGATGAGAGTCGGTTTGTTGGGCCATCCCGCTCACGCTTCCATTCCGAGATGGTGTCCGACATGCGCCAGGCAACCTTGTTGTTAATCTTGTCCCATGTCATCTCGCATGCGTACGATCTTGCGGCCTGGCCCATCTGGGCACGAAGGTTATGGTCTAGACCAAGTTTCATAGCCTTTGCTACGAAACCATCGAGGTCGTCTGGAGAAATGAGGAACCCGTTTCCTCCTTGCTGGACAATGTCAGACGGACCACCTTCATCACGAGCGATGACTGGAACCCCACTGGCCATGGACTCCAAAACGACAAGGCCGAAGGTTTCTGTAACCGAACAATGGAGAAAAACATCACCGCTGGCATAGGCGGTGGCGAGATCTTCCCCAACCTTAAACCCGGCGAAGACAACCTTGCCCTTCTCTCTCAGAGGATCAAAAAGCTCCTGTACTTCCTTCTCAACATCGGGGTTGCGGTTACCGCCGACGATGTAAAGTTTGAAGTTGAGTCCTCGAGCATCAAGCTCCTTTGCAGCCTTCGCCAGGAAATCGAAGCCTTTCTCGCCAGCGATTCGGGAGACTGTCACGAAAATGATCTCGCCGTTAGGTGCCAACTGTTTTCGCAGGTCCTCGCTTCTCATCCGGGGGTTGAATAACTCAGTGTTGACACCCCGTGTTAGAACCTCTAGCTTATCTGCTGGCACCTTCTGGCCCACCAAATATCGTTTCACGAAACTCGAAGGGTAGAATATAGTCTTGATCGAGGAGTGACTGAATAGATAACTCTGGACAGCTGCGAACGCAAAGACCGCAACGTGGCTCAGCGGCGCCGGAAATAAGATGGAACAATAGCCAGCAAGATCGGTCTGGAAATTGCAGATGACGGGTAATTGCTTCTCCTTGGGTTGTTGTCGTAGTTGAAGCATGACTTGGAAACCCAGACTCGCAGGCGACGCAAGGTAGATCAGATCGGGAGGAGCATCAACGCCAAATGTTCTTGAGTACAGAGTCGAATTGCGTACCGGGTATACGATAGAGAGCTCGGGATTGAATGGGAGAGGATATCCAGTGACTCTGACTTCGGGCTGCTTATCTGCAGGGGACATGGTTGGTGATGGCGGCGGCGTAAAGGTATTGTGCTCTGTATGGTTGTGTGGCGCAACCACTGCGACCTGAGCTCCATGTGCCCTTAGATGGTTAACAAGCATCAAAGTCGTGCGACTGACACCATTGACAGGCCCAAATGACTCGGTGCAGAGGAGGATTCGCTTCCCTTTCAGGGTATCAGGAAACTTGGAGACGTCATGGCTGGGATAGCGCGATAGGGGAGCGGGCAGAGCTTCAGCAATCATGTTGACTTGCAGCAAAGTGCTTTAGATGGAAGTTGTCGTGAAGACATGCTGCGAAGCAGAAAAGAGGCGGAATGCGACTCTTTTCTCTTTCAAAATGCCCGTAGTCACAAACCAGCATTAGAAGAAATGCCTCGCACGTGGACAGAAACAGGGCCACAAGAGCGAGACAATACATCTTTAGAAGCACATGAGGCGCAAATTTTGGTATGAGCGAGGCTGAATACAAGCCAGAGTAAACACCACGAGGAGGGGCTGTTGGACGCAGTTCGTCGATCTAAAGGGACCAGTCTGGTGGGGGAGGGGCAAATGGAGGGGTCGATCTTGATCAGACACCATGGTATGAACGAGAATATAGCATTGTATTGATGAATATGGTGGCTGTCTTTGTTGTTAGGAATTATTGAGAAACTCCCTGGTGGCCGTGCGACAGGATCGAGGACAGACTTGTCTTGATCATCACAGGAAGTTCAAACGCATCAAAAGACCCTTCTTCAGACTTGTATGTCCTGTCATGCAATCACTTGATTCCAGGATCGAAGGAACAACTGCCGGTCTTGTGCCAGAATTTCCGGTAACAATGGCTCAGCCTGGGCGATATGTGATGGCCTTTCAGGTTGGTCCCTGACATGAACCATTCGCTGAGATCTGTGTCGTTGAAGATCCCCTGCTGAAGGCGTATGGTGGACGAATCAGAGGCCTCGCCGATATCACATTGTCCCAAGACGTTCAATCCGCCAATCATTGAGAGATCGCGAATAGCCATGGCAATTCTAGCCCCCGTGCCCAAACAGATCTGGGCCATTGGCGGCGGATTTTGCCATACCAGACAACAATGGTTTTTGGATCGCGACTTGTGACAGATCCATCTCAGCTTGAATGAAGATAAAAGTGTCAGTAGTGAAAATTGATCATTCCATGAAAGACATCGGGAATAGACGGAGCGCCTCCAGTGATCTCGACTCGCCAACCATGGGTTAAGCGGGAGCTATCGGCATAGGTAAATTAGTGGCGCCATTGCAAGTTGAATGGGCCTTTTAGGCAAAAGCAGAGAGAGATGACCAGCAATTTTCAATCAAACTTATCAGAGTTGGCGGTTGGTTTGCTAAGAGAAAGAGATTAGATGGAGATTCCAGTAGGTCCAGATCTCAAAGGAAACATGGTAGGAGACCCAGCACGTGCAACATCACGTGGGCACATTATTCTTCCTTTTTAACAACCACCTGACTGTGTACTGGAATGAGGAATAGAGTTGTCCGATCTTCTGAAGAACTAAAAAAGAACCATCTGTCTGGTTGCAAGTGTCCAACTGTGTCGCAAATGTGGTCGCATCCAATATGTTTGCGTGGATATATCTGGAACGACGCATAATTGAGGCTTCCAATATGGAGACAACTTGACAAGGGCATGTCAGAAAATCGCGCCTCTGCCTTGATATACCTTGAACTGTTCTCTATAATCCAAGCGAAGTGGAAATCATTAACGGCGATACCCCTCTCGCGAAGATCTGAATAGAGTCGCTTCGCGGTAATAAACATCTGATGGTCTGGTGTTTAGGAACCCGCCGATATGCCTAGCGAGCTCGAATGTTGATGGAATCGACGGGCCGATCCACTGCCATGACCAGAATCCTCAAATACCCATCAACAAGGGCATTGAGCTTCTGTGGACACATGAACTGTCCGTCTTGCTGCTACAGACACGGCTCACAGCCTCCGTTGAAGACCCCATTATCTTCCCGTCTTGGCTCATGAATCCCATGCGAGCTCATGACGCAGAGGTCCCCTGGCATCATGACACCCATCAATAGTCGCTGCTAGAGCCGAATAGAGTGGGAATGGGATTAATTAGTTACAAGGGTCTGGGTTATTAGCTTGGTGGGATGCCCACCCGGTGACAATTGGAGGCTCAAGATATGCACCAAGAGATGAAAGATATCTTGCTGACCGATCAACTAACACGAAGTCAAGTGCTTATGCTCAATGATTCTGAGTCGGGATTTCGTAAATCCTCTTGGTAACGGTTCAGTCATCGGCTGCTGGCATCCCAGCCTTCAAAAGTGGTCAATGATGGATTATTGGCTGCCAAATTAGCGCTCAGCCGCAATATAATCTTTTTGGGTCAGTGCAGAGAAGCTGGGCTGGCTGGATACTAGCCTTTCATGATACATGAGTGATGAGAATCTATACGTATATCTGTGAAGAACAACTAATTAACTCTTGGCATCACCTAAGACCAATCTCTTCATGGGTTATTGTCCGTCTTGATTATTTTCCCCTTGTATGACTCCTGAGAAAGGAAGCTGGCTAGAATTTTGACGAGTCAAATAGGAACCATGTGATTATGAGCATTGCAATAATCAATCCGTGTCGTAGCCGCGCCGATCACGATGATTTGTTTCAGAATAGACTGACAGTTATCGCCAAGCTCAAATTAAACGTCACCTCGTCCAACATCCGACAGACTATTCGAATGAGATTCCAGAAAAGTAATCCGAGAGCTTGCGAAGCATCGCAAGTATGTGTGGCTTGATTCTATTCCTGTCAGACTGTCAGTGCTAATGTCAGCATTTACATATACTGCGGCGGAGTCGGCCGAGTAAGCACAGTGTTTTTCTTCTTTCTGATTCGATAAGACTCCGTTTTTTGTTAGCAGAATGACGGGCATCACAAAGTGTTCAGTCAGCTACCCCTGAGGCGCTATACTCCATGCCCCATCGGCCGAGCCGGCATCGGGTGAAATGAGACGAATCGATATTACGGCGTCTCACTCTTTCTGGTTGTTGGCCGCCATCATGGATTATTAGTTGTCTTGGTATGGAAGTTTGTGAGGGCCCCAAGGTGCCTGCTAATCGAGATACTGTCTAAGGCAAGTACCCATGGAGTTGGGTTTTGCTTCTCAAGCGTGCTAGTCTATAGGCAATACTTTAATGTCTTGGACAATTCCCTCCATGATATCAGAAAAAAGACATGTAGGTTGTTTGCCTTCACCGTCTTGTTCCTATTTCCGGTAGTCGCCTCATTATCACCTTTTGCATGCCATGCCATTGCCGGGGGTTGTGGCTACGTATCCGTTGTAACGAGTCGTTGCAACAGAGAATTAACCCCTGTCTATCAGTTGGTCGAAATCTCGGCAACCTCAACGAGTTGACTTGATCTTCAAATCATGTCAGCCTCGCAGGAATGAAGAGATCCAGTATCAGAGCACATCCATCAGGAGATGCACGGAGGGCGCATTCCGCCGAAAATTCTGCACCTCGTGTTCTGCTTTCACGAGCACACCAAGTTCTTTTTAAAGTCGGTCAGCTTCATGAGGCTGAGGCGATGTAACTTAGCCTAGATCAACTTGTTCGTCCTGATGGCGATTGGGATTGTTACGATGACAGCATCGCCCGTGCACCCTGACATCGTGAATCGACGGCGGGAATGGATCGTTTCTGTAAGAAACAGTCTGGTCTGGTCTGGTCTCTTCCCGTCCCCAGCAAAATACTGCAGGGCATACAGTAGCGAAGAGCCCATGTTCCGTTTGATGGCTTGGGTGATATGAGGAACAGTGCGTTGGACAGTGCATAACCGGGATGTGGACCCTTGCTTTTGTACCCGTTCTTCCTTGTCAGAGCAATTGGTGGATTGCTTGCTTTTAGACTATGTTCGTTAGATTCTGATAATATTGGCTGTTAGTCTAATTAGAGATAGGGACGGTGTCCACCTCGAGATAACCTCATGTCATTTGAGTTTGATGATCTGAGACTAGGCAGAGAATTTATTCCGATCTATAGCTCGTATGCATAATTCCTCCAGAATAAACTCACCGACAAGCGTTAACCAACAGTCACCAATCCTCAATTTATAAGCTTAGCCGTGCAAGGCATGTGGGGGTTGTATTGGAGGGACCTGGTTTGCGTGGGAGTGGAGGGGCTTGCGCAGCCTTGTAACGCACCGTGCCTTATCTGATGGATACTGTACAGTGCTATTGGATCATTTCTCGATCCAATTCCAGGGCCCCTCGAGCTCCCAAAAGTACCTTTTTCAGCGGGCTGCAGTGGCCACGGTACCTGCATCCAGAATCCCCCTCCGTGAGAAGGTGTCTGTGTGCCTGGAATCCCTGAAAATCCAATGAACGAATCCCTGCCCCTCCAAGAATCGACACCACACAGCACACCTGCCGCTCCCTTGAAAAGTTGGCGGCGGGCGGGCGGGCAGAACGAGATACATGTACCTGTTGTAGTAGGTAAGGACTGTGGAAAAGAACTAATGGGAATCATCTCACCGCCTTAATTTCTCGTGCCAAAAAGTTGCTCCCCAATCGCTGCGTGGCTTCAGCGGCTGCCCCTCCACCGGCCTTTGCCTTTGCCTTGGGTAGTCTCCCTCCATCCTTCTCCAGTCTCCTCCAGAGCCCAGAGGGGAAGTAGTGCCCCCTTTTTCCCATTAGCTCACCTTAACTGCAACGTTGAAGTGGGAATATCTTTTCTAGCCTACCTTGCCTTTGCTTCCACCTCCTTTATAAACCTCCCCATTCCCTCCCATCTCTCTCCAAACCCTTACACTCGCTAGCATACTACGTGTGTCGATTCGTGACCTCGTTTGCGCGCATCGTTTCTACAGATTGTCCTTTGCCTTGTCTGTAATATCTTATACCGCCTCTAATCATCATGTCTTCAAACGGTACTCAGGAGGCCCCCATTGAGGTCCGCCGCATCTGCTGTGTTGGTGCTGGTTACGTTGGTAAGTTTCAGAAACCTTTTCCAATCGACTCCCCACGAGAGAGCGAAAAGCTGGTGTATCGGATTTGCGAGAGTTGTGACAAGGCGCTCGATATCATGACTGCGCGCTTATCAACCCCTCGATATGCTATACACCGCTCCAATAACGCAATTGAGTTCCAACAAACTAACAAACTTCACACAGGTGGCCCTACCGCTGCTGTCGTCGCTTTCCAGAACCCGAACATTCAGGTTACTGTCGTCGACCGAGATACCACCCGCATTCGCCGTTGGAACTCCCGCCACCCCCCTATCTACGAACCCGGTCTGCACGATATCGTCCGAATTGCCCGTGATGGTGGCCGACCTACCAAGATCTCCAATGAGCCTACCACTGATAGTGAGGGTTCCTCTGCCGAGGACGGCGAGATCGCCGTTGCTGAGCGCAAGCCCAACCTGTTCTTCTCCACCGACATTGCCAAGCACATTAGCGAGGCCGATATTGTCCTGGTTGCCGTTAACACTCCCACCAAGTACCGTGGTGTTGGTGCCGGCAGCGCCACTGATATGACCGCTTTCGAGGCTGTCACCGGCGTCGTTGCTCAGTACGCCCGCGAGGGTGCCATCATTGTCGAGAAGTCGACTGTTCCTTGCCGAACTGCCCAGCTTGTCGCTGATACTGTAAGTACATGGTCAATGTTGCAACAGAGAAGCGGTCAAATGCTAACAATGTGATTCTAGCTTAACATGCACCGCCCTGGTGTCCATTTCGAGATTCTCTCCAACCCCGAGTTCTTGGCTGCCGGTACCGCCGTCAACGATCTTCTCTACCCTGACCGTATCCTGATCGGTTCTGCTCCTACCCCCTCCGGTAAGCGAGCTGCCGAGGCTCTCGTCAAGGTTTACAACGCCTGGATTCCTCGCGAGCGCATTCTGACCACCAACGTCTGGTCTTCCGAGCTCGCTAAGCTTGTTGCCAACTCTATGCTGGCTCAGCGTATCTCCTCCATCAACTCCATCTCCGCCGTTTGCGAGCAGACTGGCGCTGATGTCGATGAGGTTGCCCGTGCTGTCGGTGTTGACCCCCGTATTGGTAACAAGTTCTTGATGGCTGGTATTGGTTTCGGTGGCAGTTGCTTCAAGAAGGATGTTCTCAACCTCGTCTACCTTGCTGAGACCATGGGTCTTCCCGAGGTCGCTGAGTACTGGCGCCAGGTTGTCAAGATGAACGAGTATGCCCGTGACCGTTTCTCCAACCGTGTCATCAAGTGCCTCAACAACACCCTCGTTGGCAAGAAGGTTACCATTCTTGGCTTTGCTTTCAAGAAGAACACCTCCGATACCCGTGAGGCTCCCGCTCTTGAGATGATCAAGACCCTTCTTGAGGAGCGCCCCCGTGAGGTGGCTGTCTTCGATCCCTGCTGTAACCCTCTGGTTATCAAGGCTGAGATCAAGGAGCTCCTCGGACCCCTCGCTGAGGGACACAACATCACTGTCCACGGCAATGCCTACGATGCTTGCGAGTCCAGTACCGCCATCATCATTGCTACTGAGTTCGACGAGTTCCGCAACCAGCCTCCTCCCCCTCCCGCCCCTACACCTGCCGTCCAATCCAAGACCATTGGCCGCAAGCCCAACCCCAAGGCCGACCCTCGTCCTTTCGAGAGCGCCACCCCCAGTGCCAACGAGCTCCTCGCTCTCCACAAGCACCTTGTCCAACGTGCTGATGTCCAGTCCCATGACCCTCTGGACCGCTTCAACGTCGAGCCCAGCTGTGAAGACGACTGCCCTGACTGCATCCAGGAGCGTGAGAGCAAGGACAGTGGC